ATATACCTATATAATATTAATAAGCTAAATACCTAATATAATAGTACTAGAATTTTAGCTAATATACTAATTCTCCCTTAGAGAGCTTATATAAAGATATTAAAAGCTATCTTATAACTAATATAGGAGACCTCTTATACTTATACTTTTACCTTAAATAGGTTATTAAATAAAAAGAATAAGATTATAACTAAAAATAAGCTATTATAGCTAATTATTAGATAGTAAATTTTAACTATAAGTAGCTTAGTAAACTACCTATCTTTATTATAAGAAAGGCTCTTAAGTATATTATTAGGTAATATAATAAGACTACTAGCTTAATTTAGCACCCTTATAACCCTACTAGGCAGCTATTACTAGCTAGTAGTACCTATTATTATAACTACTACTTTAGGCTTTTATATATATACTAGCTTAGGTAGCTTATCCTAATAAACTCTATACTTAGTAAGGACTAGGTATATACTTACTAGTGGCTTTATTAACCTTTAGTAAGAAAAGTAGCCTTCTTATAGTAATTTTAATATTAATTATATATTAGGATATTAAAGAACCCCTTTACTAAATATAAGACCCTAATATTATTTAGAACCTCTATAGTAGGCCTTAGGTGGCTATTAATAATAAGATTAATATCTTAGCTTTATTAATAATAGCTATAATAGTAGCACCTATTAAGCTATTATAAAACCCTCCTTTATAGCTAGAATTACCACTATTTAGGCGCTCTTTTTAATAGAGTATATAGCTACTTTATTTAAGCGTATATTATATAAAAATATAAGCTAAACTAGTTAATTAATAGGCGCTAGCGCCGGCTATATTAACATAATTACTATAGCTAGCGCTAGCGGCATAATCACTATAGCCAGCGCTAGCTATACTAATATGATTACTATAACTAGCGCTAGTAGTATAATTACTATAGCTAGCGCTAGCTACGCTAATATAATTACTATACTAGCGCTAGCGGAGGTGGTTATAGTTATAGTTATAGTTATAGTAGGAATTAGGGTAGAAGAATTATTAATCTAGGTCTAATATGTGCATAATCATTAAAAATAGTGAAAATACGTTTTTTAAGTAAATTAGCGAGGGTTAAGAGCCTTAGCGGCGGTAAGGGAAAGGTGGTAGTTATATTAGTGGTAGTAGTAGCTAGAAAATCTTAATATAGGGCATTTTTTAAAGATACCTAAATTTATATGAGAATCCTATATAAAATAAAGTACCTCACTAAAATCTTAGGTAAGCCGTCACGTGCACCTGTCCACCTAGCAATATGGCACTGTCTACCTAGCATTACTCTAATCCATGGCAATTCTGTGCTTTATTTCATTCTATACTTTGAAAGATTCGTCCTGAAAAGGGAGTTCATCCGTCTTCATCAAGGCTCTGCTCTGCAGTAAACCCCTCTCGGCGCTGCGGTGACCTGCTAATACGCCTGCTTCCGCTGTACCCTCCCCCCGCCCCCCGTTCCCTGTTAAGGGACCTACCCAGCCTCCATTTCATCATAGCCGCTTCTCAACAATGGCCTTTATCTTTCTTATATCCGCAGCCTCGACTGTTCTGCCCTTGAATCCAGTCATGCTCGTGCCCATGAATATTGCATTATAAATCGCTTCTTCGGTCGCATCAGCCGCCGACTCGAACAGGCCATTGATGGAATCATTATCCGCCATCTGCACCGTCAACGGGCTAGGCTGCAACGGGTTGACGGGACGTGAGACTTGGCCCGACATGGAGATTTCCTGGTACGGAATCTTGTTTGCCGTGGAAAAGGCCAGGAAAATATCGCCAGAGGTGTTGTTGCCATAGCCACCCACTTTGGCGAGACCTACTGTAGCACGCTTTGCCAGTCGCTGCAGCTGGATGGGCAGCAGGGGCGCATCCGTGGCTATGACAATGATGATGCTTCCGTCCTTTCTGACTTCCTTCTCGGATGTCTTGATCTCTCCTTTCTGCACTGCCTCCCGCTCTTCCTTGAGGATCGCCCCAACGGGGACACCGCCGACGTGAAATGTATCGGCGCCACCGTAGTTGGCCTGCACAAGCACACCGACCGTATAGTCGACCTCGTTGCCAAATTCGTCGACGCCCTTGACAATTCGACTGCTTGATCCTGTGCCAGCCTTGAATCGATGACAGATCATGCCAGTCCCGCCTCCTGTGCAACCCTCGGGCACAGCATCTGATGAGGCATTCTTGATGCTATCAATGACATGCTGCGGTGTCAGGGGAAAACGGCTATGATCACTAAGAAATCCATCGTAAGTCTCCCCGATGATCGGGACAATAAATAGAGGCATCTCGCCTTCGTCGTCCAGATGATACCGGTAGCAGTACTCATAGATGCCTCGGTAGGCATCGCCAACTGTGCCAGTCGACGTCAACAGGATCGGCGATGTAATGAGACCAGTTTCCTCAATCCAGTGTGATCCTGTCAGTTCACCACACCCATTAAATCGGAATACTCCAGAGAAGCCGCAGTACTTGTGCCAGTCTCGTCTTGGAAGAATTGTTGTAAGCCCACTATTGACGTTCTTGTCCTCGGACTGAATAGTCGTGACGTCGACCAGCACGCCAGGAACGTCGGTAATGGAGTTGAGCTTTCCTGGGCTGAATCGACCTAGGCGAAGTCCCGGTATCGCCTCACGCACTCTCGTTCGACCTGAGTTTGATTCGCTCTGAGCCATGGTTTCCGATGATGCTGATGCTTCCTTCGTGCCGTCAGCAGCGGCGGCGCTGGCGGCGGCGTGGGCAAAGTGGTGTTGGTGGCGGCGGCGCAGCTAGAAAAATAGGTAGCAAATACCTACCTAGGTAGGCACAGCGCGTTTTGCAAAAGATACTTATTTTTATACGCGACCAGCCTTATGAAACCATGTATCACATTGAGCTCCTAGTAACTCACGTGCACCCATCCTCCTAACAGCAGCATAGCCTGTGCCCGTAGCATTCCTTTAAAAAGCTCCCTACTGATGTGCCAATTTAATAGTGCGACGTATCAAACTTGATATGAACGAGGGCGTAATCGATTCTGCGATAGAGAAAGGGCAATGCCACAATTAATTCGTGTATTCAGAGCGCTACCAAAGGAACACTTCCGCGTGAATAATGGTGTGGCAGTGAAGCTGCGGCCGTCGTCACCACAACGACACTCCTTTGACATACACGTCAGCGGTGGTTTGGTCCAAGCGAAAGCGTTATACCCGGAAACTTACAAAGGTTGGTCAAATTGCTGCACATGCTTTCAAGTAGACGGTCGTCTAACTGAAAGGGCGCAGCACCGAATGGGGCGTCCCTGAGACCCAATTCTCCTTATCAGCAACTTCTCGTCAAGAAACTCTTCAAAGGCGATGATGTTCGGATATACTCCATACCTAAAGGTATTTCGGAGAAGCAGATTTTACGATGCAGAATATCATGCCAACTTTTGCTAGGAATGCCGCTTCCCGAGAGCCTGTTGCTTGTACACGAGCGTTCCGACCACTACTCCCTGCAACCAGCGCGAAACATGCCGCTAGAAGGTAGATTCGCCCAAGACCTGCCGCAACAGGTCAGAACTAACAGAGCTGCCAGAGGCGAACCGGGAAATAACAGAATTCCTACTGGGCAATGCTCTAGTCTATACAAAGAGCCAGTGGCTCCATGCATACCCTGAACCGACAGACTTTGATGGCACGCCACGATAGTTCCTCACGACACTGGTCCATCTTACCAATTGCCGTATCAAGTCACTGCTCAAGTCATGCAGAACAACCCTGTTTACACGTTCTTCCAAGCCTCTTCCGCATTGTCACTCGCAGCTTCGAATGGATGTGAAGCTAGCCACGACTCGACAGACTCCTTTGTGGCAGCGCTGTCGAAGAAGTCGTCCAGAGAACGGTTCAAGTCTGGCGTTGTTAGTGGTACATCCTGTAGCCGATGCGAAAAGGGACGTCAAACCTCGCAGTGACATTCCGCGAGATGGCTGCAGACTAAACCATGCAAGGTGCTCGTAGATGAGAATTAAACTCTCTGGGATGGAAGTTCCTAGAAGAGGTCAGTCAGCGCGGGATAATATAACATCATCTCTCAGAACATACCTTTCGGAATTGTATAAATTCGCGGTACGTCCACAGTTTCACCAGCATCTTTCAGGTCAAGAAATTCATCATAATGATTTCTAGTAAATTCCTGCATCGAAAATGTGTTGGGAAACAACGTTGCGCCGTTGGATTCTAGTAGCGGCGCGTCGCGCTCCGTTTTAGCAAGGGAGAAAATGGGCATTGATTGAGAAAACAAGCCAAAGACTCTCACCATGACGTTCCAGTTTTGGATAGACGAGTCCGTCAGCGGCTACCTCGACTCCGTCATCGTAGAGATCCTGCGGTCTATTGCCGATTTCTTTGCGATCAAACAGACTCGGGCGGTTTGCGCGCCGGTAATAGTGCAGGGTTGCTGGGAAGCGGGAATGAATGGCCAACGGGGAGAAGAAACGCCGCTGGGGGTTGCGAGCTGATAAGTTTCGCAGGGGTCGCGCGTGTTTCGTGACTGAAAACATTTCTATTTTCGTTTCTTGTTATTGAATTACTCTTCTCGAGTCCCTCGCGAGGGAGTCGGGCAAGGAAGTTTGTCCATGGCAAGCACCTCCTGATGATATTTGTCTGCCGGATCATTATTTGCCCGCCACTGTGAGGGTTCAAGTTCCAATCTCTGACCTGCAATTTCTCTTCCAAATAGAAAAAGGAACAGAGTCTTGTCCAAGAAGGTCTTGCTGGCTTTCGGGGACATTTTTCTCTCAATTCAATAAACTCGAATCGTGGCGGGTCTACAGCTATGGCGGGCTCTACGGCTTCTAAGCCCGCCACTGGACCACTCTAGAGTGTCGCGATCGCAGTTTGGCAATTGCAAGAGGTGAGGATGAGGCCCTGCCTGCACGTCTTACACGGAATTGTGTCGCATCATATTCAGTCTTCTTCCAGGTCTTGGCGTGGCAGTTGGGGTATATAGTTGAACAAGAGTAGAGACTGTACGCCGCTACAGCTTATTGGACAGTTCCGAACCAGAATTGCATTACCAATTACATCGCAAACTGATTGCCTTATCTTCTGATTATACTCACCAGCCTCCCCAACCAGGAAATTTTTGCCGAGTAGTTAGGTATGCCCAGGTAACACGCAAGTCTTAATGAGAGCCATTACATTCGTGTGCGTAGGTTCAACAGGTGTCACATATTTCTGTTCCTTTGTTCTTTTTATCCCTTCTTTTTGTCACGGCCGAGATTACAGCCGAGACGCGTTTCCACATAGCGGTGTCGACGACACGGTCTCGGCATGCTGGCTGATTGATTGATATCTGATATGGAAGCGCGGCCCGGAAGCCTACAGGCTCACGCCCACAAGGTGCTTAGATTGGACACTAACTAAAATCTTAAATCGTATTTAGCCTCGATTCATTTCTTGTTTCCAACTTGCATTTGCTCTATCTTTGTCTCAATCTATAGTTTCCTTGCCATATCCGCGTGGCGTTCTCCAAAGAGCCGAGTGTAGGGGCGTGGCGCCTTCTCCGCTAGCCAACACGTAACGCATTCCTTGACCAATTGCACCCTACTCATTCTTGCATTTGCTTGAAGATCTACTGGTATCTTTTGGATATTAACTCGGCGATTTGTACGTCGGAATCTCTGTAAGGACATTATTGTTTGTCTTCATGCCTACCGTCGCACTTGGACAAATATCTGCCTCCAAACACACACGGTGAACATTGTCAAGCAGAACACATATATAAAAGCCTAGTTAAGCTATCAGCTCAGCTATGAGCTAACTTTGACCAACGTTTGTAGACGAGCCATGGACATGAAATCCTGCCGGAAACGACGCCCAATTCCGTCCGGACGACATTCGTACCAGCCAGGACTACATTGTCGTCGCCGTGGCGTGATGCCCTCGTGTTGGCTGACATATGAGGTGGTTCTTTCACAAATATATGACTTTATCTCATACATTTAATGCAGGCTGTCGTGTACCTCGATTCATTTCGTACTGCTTCAGCCTCCAGCTACGAAATTGCTTCGTCTGCAGACAGGAAGTTCCTCCTTCCTCCCGCGACATATTCCCAACGAGCCAGCTCGCTGGCGCTGCTGTGCCCAGACCGCTGCTAGCAGGGGAGCCTACGCCTCGTCGTTCTGCTGTATGCGTTTCATCTATACTGGAAGTGGTACTAGATGACCGGAATCCTACAATGGTTCAACGTGCAGCCCTGCTCGGCATCTGTCAACCACCAGATTTCGGAATCTTGCCTGAGCTTTCCTCGAATGTCGTCGTAAATAAGGATCTGAACTCCAGGAAAGCCACGTCCTACGAAATTGCGACTTTGTCGAGAAAGAAAGAAGCAGAAGTATAGTTGTGGCGAAAGAGTTATAGATACTGGTAGAACCGTGCCGACGCTGCGTGCGGCGTGTGTTTTTAAATGAATCATTCATTTCATTCACGAAAGTACTCTTTCTGTCTCAATCTTGTGTGCAGCAACTTCTTCACATGATCAATTGCTGAGTAATGTGTTTGAATGATCGCCTCTGATGGTGATTCCGGGTATCAGAGTGAGGCGAGCATGTGGTACTTTAGCCTGACTGGGGTGTTCGTTAGCCGGCGGTGCAAGCCGTGTTTTGGTTGAGACATTGGGGGACTTGGCAGACGAGGGGAATTGCTTTTCCCGGAGAGGCCCTGAAGAAACACGTCTAGTTTCGAATATTTGCTTTTTCTGCGTGGTCTAGCACCCGCACCTGCATGGCTGTCTCAGTCGGAAGCCAAAACATGCATGAGTAGGCGGGCAGTGGCCGTCGCTGCTTGGCTGAGTCAAGATTGAGTGGCGTTTTGTTTTTTTGCGGAACTGCCGGATCTGCGACGCAGGATGATGTACGCAAGCCGGTCATCATGTGGCGGAGGCGGAGGCGGAGGCGACACAAATGGAGACAATTCATTCTTCAGCAGCAAAGTCGCCGTCGGGGGAGGCCGACAACCCCAGGAGAGCGGACATTTGGAGCTGGTGCGGTGCCTGCGTCGCTTCGGACGGACAAAATGGGGCAAGATTGGGCCAAAACAGGACTCAGCTCGGAGCCAGTTGACATGAGGATGCGACGCTGCAAGGACAAGGCAGGAAGGGAGGAAACAATCTGGGTAGACGCTAGTCGAGTTGAGACTGGCGCATCGGGGGCGTAATCTCGCGAGCTGCTGCTTGACGATGTTGATAGAATCGAGGAGTGGGTATGCGAGGCCATGGGAACCTGGGCGGTGCACAGGTCGATAGTCCGTGAGCAAAATGTGATGGAAGCGACTAAGAAACAAGGTAAAAATAGTTTATAAATGGGAGAATAAGCGATGCTACTTGGAGGGAGCTGAAAGAAGTGGCGCGTACTCGGTAAGGGAGGATAGCAAGATGTTGCGTGAAGGGGCTAGGTTAGCTAGCCTTGGGGCGGTCCAGTTGGACGACTTTGATTCGAGGACATCCAGCAACGGTATTATCTCGGAGTTTTCATGAGAGCCGTGGTTCATTCCCGGCAGAAGATGGGGCTACGATATAGTTAGTAGTAGTTAAAGTGTAGGTAGGTATCCATAGGGTGCGATGCACGGAGCATTTGTGCTGGCAACTGCTGAAAGAGGTAGGTGAATAGGCTTTCGTATTGTACCAGCAAGGTTAAGTGCGGATGCCAGGCGGACGGCCGATGGGGATATGCAAGACATGAGCAGGGCAGGGGTGTTCAGCAGAGCCGGGACCCAACGTTTGGTGATGCAGATATGGAAAGTCTAAACAGTATGCGTAACCAAAGGTAAAAAGAAAAATGGGAGAACGGGCCGAGCCATGGTGTCTTGATGGATGAGATGGTAGGCTGGGTTGGTTGGACGGTTAGGTGTAGCATGGAGATGGTACGGCATTTGTGATGAGTCGCAAGACGGTGGGTGAGTGTGGAGAGAAGAAGGGCAGATGGATGCAAGCACTGTATGCGTGGGTATTAATATATGGTATTTACTGGTTTTGCAAAGCCAATTAGCCAGCAACTGAGTCGCGAGATGAGATGCGAGATGGTACGTATTTGGCTCTCATCTACATATATTAGGTACTCTACAACGGATGAACCTGACAGGCAAGTACCTTTTTTGTACCTCGTCAAGTTGCGCCCTCCATCTAACTACCTAGGACAGCAAGGTATGATAAGAGCAAGTAGCTCGTCATGGCGCGCCATGTCGCAAGCCAGCAGCCCACAAGACTCAAGCCACCAACAACGCCATTGCCGCATTCGTCCAACCGCAAATGGCGCCCCAAAGTAGACAGAGCAGGCCATCAGAGATTCGGGCCTGCCAACTGCGTAGGTACAGGCGAGCAGGGTCTCGAGCTCGTCTCGAGTCCATTGGTGGCTGACCTTCTGTACCTCTTCTGTCACTTGTTCCTGGTCCTCTGACTCCCCCGCCTGAACCCTGACTGATGTCAAATCCCAGACCACTTCTTCTTTTTCTTTGCTTTTTCCTCTTCGTTTATAATTCCTGTACCTTTTTTTGCTTTTTATTTCTAGAATGTGTTTCAATTGCCCAATGTCGGGTTAGTAGTTCAAAGTCATCTAAGCGCCGCGACAAGACTGCTGCACTCTTGTGATACCCGAAAAAAGGTCATGCTGTGCTCGGGCCATCAAGTCAGTCAAAGAGAGAATAAACTGATGCGACCAGCTTCATCGCAGGATATCGACATGGGATGCCTCTTGATATAGGTACCTGGTGCCTTAGTTGCCGCTAAAAAATTATTGGCTGGCAGCCACAAAACGACTTGCCCACCAGTTCCCCGCCCGCCTTTTCTCAGCCTTGGGCCTGGCTTGCGGCGCTAACTACCTACCTACCTACACTTACTCCTTTGTAGCTTCCTACCAGATTCTGCCCGAGTGTGCAGTGTACCACAATCACAGCTCCCACCTGGCCACGACTCTCTCGTCTTGGTGCTACCTGCTCGCCTTCGCACCACAAATACCTAATCCTCTCGTCTCTCATCATCTACTGACCACCGTTTCACATTCACCTGCATCATCACCGAATCTACTGCAAGTTTCCTCTTCCTCTCTCACATTCCTCTCGCCGTCCATTCATCCGCCTGCTGCTTCCACCCCCTCCGCCGAACCCCACGCCGCCGCCATCGCCGTTTTTGTTCGCCCGCCCTAGCTAATATTCACGCCGCGACTCCAAAGCTCTCTTCCACTCTGCAACATCGTTGGCTCTCGCACCCAGTTGGATCTGTCTATCTCACCATATACTCCCATGAACAACTCCGATACTTTTCGCCACGAGTGAATGCCATCGCCTAGCCATCCACCCCGGCTTATTCACAACCATCACACCCTCGACGCCAGCGATCACATACTCCACCGCCTGCCTGCATTTGCCAGCCTCGACAGCCGTGCCGCCTCCCCAAGATATCGGCTGCCCCGGCATACAGCAACCGTTTTGCTGTCTTGTACATTCTGACAGTGTCAAGCATATCTTGAAGTTTTTGTCTCTCCGCCATTTCCCCCGCCTCGCATCGAGCGACGTCGCGACGCATCAAACCTCGACCCCGCCTCCGCCACTCCCCTCTGCCGCACACCCCTCCCACAGCTCATTCACTCAATCTTGATGGCTTGACCTCTGTCATGGCATGAATTTTCCGAACCTTAGTATGGATGGACAGACAGCTCGGCCCGCTGCTACTAGTGGTGAAGGCCAATACAACCAGACTCTGCAGCAGCCAGACCTAGCTGCCACCCAAGACACAGACTTGATCTCCGATGCCGTCGATGCAACCCCCGCCGCTCTAAGATCGCCCTTTCGATCCAATGCCACTCCAGCTACCGTTAATCGAGCTTCTACACCAGAGCTTGCTGAAAGTCTGGCCTCCGGAACGAGCTACATGAGTCTCGACCCTATACCTGTCCCACGAAACTCTCCTGCTGCCCCCGGCTCCCCACGAGATATCCCTGGCGGCTTTGGTAGACGCAGAGGCATCGTATTCAACGACTCATTCACTGATCCCTCCGAACTGGACTCGGCTTCTCCCATAGCTTCCAAGAGCTCTCCCGTCCCCGCTCGCCCTCGCACCCGCACCCTCGACGGCGCAATCATGTCCCACCGCGCTGTCCTTAGCTCTTCTGACCAAAGAAACCGTGTTGGCAGCATAAGCTCCTCCATGCCTCCCACCCAAACATCTCTTGAAGACCAAAAACAGCCCTCCGTCGCCGAATCCGTCTCATACGCCACACCCGCTCTCCCCCCACGGTCTCTAGACACGCCATCAACGCCCACTTCCACACGAGACAAAAGGACCGGCAAGCGTCTGCTCAAACATCGCCCGATCTCACGCCCAAACTCTCCAATAGCATCATTAGCACCTTCTGTCGACTCCATGTCTGTGCCCATCGCCGTAGAGGACCCAAACAACCTGGTTTCTCTGATGAAGACGCTTTGTGGGCGCATGCGTGGACAAGTCGAGTACCAGGCGGAACCCGGCGGCGCATGGTATTCCGGGATCGCTTACGTCGATGAAGATGCAGGCAGTCTCATGTTTGACACCAATCAAAGCGGCTCTTTCCATATACCCATTGTTGACGACTTGAGAGGCTGCAGCGTTGTTCCCGCCGAATATACTCAAGGCGATAGGCAGTGCCTCGAAATTACTACACCGACTCCCACACATATGCTCTTACTTCCCATCATACACGACGACCTCGACCTCTGGTTAGCTGCTCTGCTTAGCTGGCAGCAACTGCGGCCCAACCCCATCAAGTTCGCCAACGGCAAGCCGGCAAGCCCCACGGCCCCTTTTCGACCTGATTTGCGTCCCTTCGGCAAGACGCCTGACGAGACTAAGCCTAGAAACATAATCAAGATTGACAAGTTGATGCTTTGGGACAAGGGCGCCGCTCCCAATCCCAGAGCAGCCTTTCAACGCTCCTCAACACGCGATATTTGGTCGCCTTCAGCAGCTTGGCGTCGAGTTTCGTGCATCTTGCATGATACCGGTGAGCTGACGCTCATGCTGGAAACCGATTCCATCGTCCTGTCTCACATCGATTTGACTCAACTCTCGAGAAACGCCATCCAGCAGCTAGACCGAACTGTTCTCGATGAGGAATTCTGCATAGCCATCTTTCCAACCTACGCCCCCAAGGCTTCGCGCGTTTCCGTTTTCCGCCCAGTATACCTGGCCTTGGACAGTCGGATACATTTCGAGGTTTGGTTCGTCTTGCTACGCGCATATGCTATTCCTGATCTGTTCCACCTTGGAGAAACGGAAGACGACGTGCTCAGCAATACTCTCGACAGCGAAACAGAGAATGAGGGCGAGATTTTCCGCATGAAGAAATCTGTCACAGTTCGAATAACCGAAGCCAAAATAAAAGCTCGACCAGCAGGACTGGACTACGTTCTGCCTGAAAAATTGCACAAGATGGAGCACGACCCGCTGATCGGAAATTATCTGGCTGAGGTCATTCTGGATGGCGAAGTACGAGCACGCACAACCACGAAATGCATGACAAAAAACCCCTTTTGGCGTGAAGACTGTGAATTCATGGATCTGGCACCTTCGGTTCAAGAGCTATCTGTCGTTCTGAAGCGTATTGAAGGTATGGACGGCAGCCGAGGCGCCTTTCCCCAGGAGCTCATTTGCGGAACGGTTCATATTGCCCTAGATCAACTAGAGCGCGGCCAATCTCATGAAGACTGGCTGCAAATCAGAGATGAAAAGCAACAAGTCATCGGTTCCATGCTTATTAGGCTTTCTCACGATGAGCATGTGGCTCTGCTAGCCAAAGAGTACGAAGCTTTGTCCGACACCCTGCACCGTTTCCCAACTGGGCTGACTACTCTCATCTCTGCTGCGTTGCCCGGACAGCTCAAACAACTATCCGAACTATTCCTCAACATCTTCCAGGCTTCAGGCGCTGCATCTGAATGGCTACTCGCACTCGTCGAAGATGAAATTGACGGCCCTGGCAGCCAGACATCGATGAAAAAGTATAGGTTCAACAGCAGGCTCAAGTCGAACGAATCAATCGAATCACCTAGCGATCGTGAGTTGATTGTTCGCGACATGAGCAAGTCGCTCGCGGGCGAGGCGAACCTATTGTTTCGTGGAAACACTCTTCTGACACAATCATTTGAGTTTCACATGCGACGCTTGGGAAAGGAGTATCTCGAAGAGGCTCTGCGGGACAAGGTTTTTGAGATTAACGAACAGAATCCAGACTGTGAGGTCGATCCCAGCAAGCTCAACGGGGCCGATCTTGACCAACACTGGAACCAGCTCATCCGCATCACCTCCGAGATTTGGCAGTGCATCGCTCAAAGTGCAAAGCGCATCCCGCCTGAGCTGCGACACGTTCTCAAGTATATTCGTGGAGTTGCCGAAGACCGGTTTGGGGAATTCAAGCGATCCACGACCTACACAGCTGTATCCGGTTTCCTGTTTCTGCGTTTTATATGCCCTGCTATCCTCGCGCCAAAGTTGTGTGGCCTGCTGCGAGACTTTCCTCGCCCCAAAGCACAACGCACTCTGACATTAGTAGCGAAGACATTACAAAAGCTGTCAAATTTGGGAACTTTTGGAAAACGCGAAGAGTACATGGAGCCGATGAATCGATTCCTCACATCACATCGATCGGTATTTCGCGAGTACATTGACCAGGTCTGCAGCATCCCCTCAGATCGCGGCGTCGTGGCACCCCCTGCCAACTATAGCACTCCCAACACTATTTGTGGACGGCTTAGTCCTACATCGAGAGAGGGCCTGGGTAGTCTACCATATCTCATCGACGCGCCCATAAGCTTCGCTGGTTTGGTCAAGCTGTGGACAAGCGCCGGCTTCGATGATCTTAATACAGAACACACCGACGGTGAACTGATTATTTTCAACGATCTTTGCTTAGGCCTGCAGAAACGAGTTGACGCCTGTATGGCTAAAGCTGGCCGCGTGCGCGCTGCCGAAGCCGCAGCCCGGGGAGCCCCGTCGCGCCTCGTTGAAACGCTTGAGCAGGCTGCCCTGGCAGAGCCCTTGCGCTCGCCCTACAGCGCCGCGTACACGGCCATGTGTCATGACGTCGACCAGTTGTTCAGCGGTTCCGGTAGCGATGGGCCCGATGAAGGCAGCAGCAGCAGCCGCCGCAGCAAAGATATGCGCCGTGGGCGTGACGGCCACGACGGGCGTAAAACCGGTGGCTTTTCGTCCCGTGGAACTCCCAAGGGCCGAAACGGCAAGGTCGGCCGGACGCTATTAAGCGGCATTATGAAAATTGGTGGTCGCGCTGAGAGTCCCGATTTCAAAAACCGGCAATGACATTTGGTCTAACACAGGCTTATAACTATCCTTGTTCTTGTTCAAGTATACACATCATTTTCAGAGGCTACTTTTTTTCTTTGTTTTTCTGCTGGCTGGGATGGAGAAATCTCGGGCGAGGCCAATCGTCTTTTACGCACATTCATATTCATATTTACATCACACGCGAGCGAAAAGCAAAAAGGGTGGTACGTGATGCGGCTCTCTATTTTTGTTGGATGTGGGCAAAAATCAAATATCCAGACGTATACAAAATACAAATCTCAAACATGTTTACCTATTCACGTCGCGAATATCATCTCCTGGATGTAGTTTTACGGCTGTGTAGGCTCTCATGGTGCATGGATGTATCGCTCTTTAGTTTCACTAATTTTTGCGAGGGTTGTGTTTGCGTAATATTGTACATGTCTATCTGTGTGTAAATCGTACAGCCGATGCGATGATTTGCCAATCCTAGTGACGGGAATAGTCCACCTAACAATGGATCATCTCCGCCCCCGACATTTGTTTCTCAGCAAGGGGTGCCATCCTTGCTTCGGCCCGCCATTCAAAAGTTGACAAGTCTCAGTGATCAGAATGTCTTGCGTGACGTCTTTCGTCACCAGCGCACTCGATGGGGCTCGGCGATTACACAATGTCTTCAAGTCCGTATCCGTGATTGAAATGCGGGGAGGCTTGTTATCGCGCCCAACCACTTGGTCGTTTGTTGTTGTTTTGCCTGCCGCGCGGGTCAAGTTTTTGCAGGACTCTTCAGAGACTTGACTCTGTTTCTATTTACCGCCAAGGTGACAAGAAAATTTTTTTCATGTACATCAATGTCTTTTCTCTCGGGACGCTGCAGTTTCAATTTTGTAATATTTTTTGGACATCCTTGCTTGGTCAGATGTGACGGCGGGCCAAAGACATGAAATTGTTTGCTTCGAAAATTGCCGAGACGTCAAACACGGGAACAAGATCACCCGCTGTGAGACAATGTTCCACGTTAGCGGTATTTGGTCTGACAGTGCAGATACTTGGGCAGGCCGGGGTGCTGTAGACCCCCCGCCTCGCCCTCCTCGTACTGCACAGACCAGTCCACCGTCTTTTGAATCACCAACGGGTCCTGCGGCGGTGGCGGCGGCGTCGGCGTCTTGGTCAACGTCGTCGCCGCCTGGGCTCCGTCCGTCGAGCCGCCACCACTGCTCCCATCGTCGGAGCGGCTCTTGCTGCGCCACGCTACCGCCGCCGCAGGCACGTCGCCTGACTGCGACGTGGGCCTCGTCACCACCTCTGTCTTGGACAGGGGCACACTTTTCAGCTTGCTGCTGCTGCCGCTGACGTCGTCGCCGCCGGTGTTGGTGTTGGTGCTTGCGTTCTTGGACAGATTCTTGAGGCGGTAGCCATTATCGCGGGAGCGCGCCGAGCTGCCGCCCCATTCACCGGTGCTCATGTTGGCCACGTTCATAACCATGCCCGTGTGGAAGCTCCGCAGAAAGGGAATGAGAGCGATGAGGAGCGCGGCGATGAGGGAGTAGCCCAAGGCGATTTGCTGCCAAACGAGCGGCGACATGACCTGCACCGCTGGATCGAGGCTTCTAGAATACGACTTGATTGCCGCGGTGTAGATGCCGGTGAAGACGGGGCAACTGAAAACAATTGGTTAGCAAGTCTGGAAAGGTGGCCTGTGCCGGCTTTTGTTTCTGAGCTCACAGTAATCTCAGCCCGAGTAGAATGGTAAGCATCCACTTGCGCGGGGTTCTCATCTGCAGCGACCAGACGAGGCCGTAAAATACGCAGAGAATGGCCAGCTCCGTGACGCCGTCGAGGAGCGAAACAATGACCCAGCGCCGGCCCAGGCCGCCGCAGCGGCGCTGGCTGTGTGTAGAGAGCAGCCCGTTGGCGGAGCAGTCGACGGTAATAAGGAGGATCGAGGCGAGGGCAGCAGCAGCGAGGGCGGCGCGTATCACGACGCATATGCGCTGGACCGTCTTCATGGTGGCGGCGAGGAGGCGCTCGGTAGCGAGGAGCACGGCAAACTTGGCCATGTAGAGGCCGCATATGAAGACGGCTTGCGAGGTGAGAAGGAGCTGTTTGTTTGTGTCAAAGTGATTAGCCTTTGCACAACATGGAGAGGAAAGGAAAGGAAAGGAAGCCGTCCGCCTTACCGAACCATTCTTGCGCTCGTTGCCCTGCGTCACGTCGAGCTTCGAGGTGCCTAGACCCGAGGGCATGCCGGCAAAGAGCGAGGCGTATTGGGCGACGGCCAGAGCGACGGCAGCCATGCTGGCAAAGTCGTCGCGGCCGAGCATGTGCTTGCGGACGTAGAGACGGGCGCCGAGCGTCGTGCTGACAAAAATGAGGCTTAGGATGGCGGCGATCCAGAGGGCGCCGCGGCGATCATCGTGCTCAATGACGGCAAAGGCCGGGAGCTGGTGGACTGCCTGGCGGCGAGCCATGGCCGGCGGTCGAGAAAAAAGCCACGGGACGCCCTTTTTCAGCCAATCTGGCAAAGAATATGATGTGTGTAGAGGAAATCACGGCTTCGTTGTCGGACCTAGGTGGCGCAGGCCATCAAGGATGGATGGACGGACGATTCTGCCAGCAGAGTAGCGCCTCGTGGCTTTCGCGGAGAAAGGATAAGGGTTCAATACTGAGGGGTTCGACGTTGCACCGCTGACGAACCAGTATTAATGATAGCGCACGCAATCTAGATTTCGAAAAAGAAAAAAATTAACGGTGCGCCGCTACCATCCGATGTGTTGCTTGCTACCTTGCTCAAGAGAAGCCAGCCAGAGTTGTAATGACCTGGGGGCCAAACTAGTAAAACTAGTAAAATGATAGTTTGCTGTTTAATCTGAAAAAGGTTGGCCAAGAGAAGGCGCGACAAAAGGACTAGTATCGATTTGGGGCAAATTAAAGCAGTAATTACTAGTACGGGCTCACGCATAATAATCCAGTATTCTTCATTAGCCGAATGGCCAACTGGCCAACTACCTTACCAACTTACCTTACAAACGTGCCATGCAACCCACCACTTCATTAACTAGCTCACTGCAAGTCACCAAGTTTAGTAAAGACGAAAGGTTGGGAAGAGTTACCCGCCAGGAAGGAGGGGGGCCGGGAGGGGGCAGGACCCGTATCAGGATTCAGGCCGTCTCAGCTTTGAGCTATAAGGCAATGCCGGTGCATTATCCTTGACTCGCCTGTAGCCCCCAACTCCACCATCTCACCACATCTCGGCGGGAAGTTTACCAGTACTCGAGGCGAAAGAGGGGGGGAGTCAGGTTGGAAGGGTAGAGGGAACAAGGGGCCAGTCGATTGGCTGGCAATTGGAAACATTCTCATTGTTCTGCAATAGTGTGATCCATATTATATGCTTGCTCATCTTATTTTTTTTCTTCTTTCTTGTTCATTTCTCTTGTTTTCCGTTTTCCGCGGGAAGAAACGGAATTTATGTCAAAAGCAAAGGAAACAGCAAACAGATTCTTGACAAATTCTTCATTATTCCCCCTTTACCCCCCCTCCCCTTCTCAACTGTAGAAGAGAGAGCTCTCAGCTTCATCGTCTCCCCCTTCCCGTGAATGTGAACAAACAGAACACAACGGGCCATGGCGGAGAGCCGCATCAGAATAGGTTCCGCTGCTGAGCGGCGAACCTTTGAAATGATTGACGACGACGACGAGCAGCTGCGCAAAGATCTTGTCAAGTATGGCAACGATGACGATAAACGCGACATGGCCCGCATGGGCAAGATTCAGGAGATGAGGGTGAGTTTTTCTTGATGGCGCCCAGAAAAAAAAAAGCCCACTGGGCTCCAGCCAAGCCTTATTCGATTTCCCGCAGAAATAAAATAAACAAGTCAATGGAATTAATTCATGTTTGCTAATATGGAGTTTGGGGGCCTTCTTCTCTCCCTTGCAGAGAAATTTTAAATCGCTTACCGTGTTGGGCTTTTGCGCCATTCTCATGTGCTCGTGGGAGTCACTCCTCAGGTTCGTACCAAGACGAAAACGGAAAAAAAAGAAAAAGAAGAACCCCCCCCCCCAAAACGTATCTGCAGAAAAAATGGGCTGATAAATTTTTTTTTTCTTTTATTCTTCAGCACCGCATCGCTTGCCCTCACAAACGGAGGCTCGGCTGGCCTCATCTATACCTGGCTCATTGCCTGGGTGGGCTTCAACGCCGTGTATGCCTCCATGGCAGAGATGGCCTCGGTGGCGCCCACCACCGGCGGCCAGTACCACTGGGTATCGGAGTTTGCGCCGCCGGGCTACCAGGCTTTTCTAAGCTATGTCGTCGGTAAGGCGTTCCTACCCATCTGCGTTCCCCCTTTATCATGACTCGGGTATCGCGACTTTTCGAAACAGGATTGCTAATCACGAGAGGGGGGCCGGAATAGGTTGGCTTGGCGTACTTGGTTGGCAAACGCTCGTCACCTCGATTGCGTTTCAGGCGGGCACCGAGATCCAGGGCCTGCTGGCGCTCAACTACGACTCGTACGTGTTTGAGCGCTGGCACGGCACCATGTTCGTCATGGCCATCATCGTGTTTGCCTTTGTCTTCAACACGCTCCTGGCCTCGCGCCTCAACCTGGTCGAGGGCGCCATCCTCGTCGTCCACATCTTTGGCTTCTTCTGCATGCTGGTGCCGCTGTGGGTGCTCGCGCCCCGGACGCCCAGCAGCATCGTCTGGACGCAGTTCCACGATGGCGGCTGGAACAGCACCGGCCTGTCCACCATGATTGGTCTCATTACCAGCGTCCTGCCGCTGCTTGGGGCCGACGCATCCGGTACGTGTTGTGTGTGTGTGTGTGGTGGAACGTTTGATTTTTGGTTTTATTTCGGCCGATTTACCGTTTACCGATTACCGAGTTGCCGTCTTCTAACAAGAAATCACAGTGCACATGGCGGAAGAGGTGCAGGATGCGGCGCGCACCCTGCCGCAGAGCATGATGTGGTCCATCAACCTAAATGGTTTAATGGGGTGGCTCACGGCAATCACGTTTTGCTACTGCATTGGCGATCTGGACAAAGGTAAGCATAATAATCCTCTCAAACAGCCTTCTTATCTTACCCACATTGGGGGCTGACACGAGTGGCGCATCAGTTTTGGAAACAAAGACGGGGTACCCTTTTATTCAGGTCATCTTCAACGTGACCAAGTCGTACCCCGCCACCAACTTTCTCACATCCATTGTCCTTCTGATGGCCACGTTTTCCTGCGTCACCATCATGGCATCTGCCTCTCGGCAAATGTTTGCATTTGGCCGTGACAAGGGCCTTCCGGGCTCGGAATGGCTATCCCGGGTTCACCCCACGCTTGGCGTCCCTGTCAACGCCGTGGTGATGTCGACGGTGATTTCCATACTGCTGTCGTTGATCAACGTGGGCAGCACCGTCGCGTTCAACAGCCTCGTGTCCCTCGGGTCCGGCACCCTCATGGTTTCGTACATTGTCTGCATCGGCTGCTTCATGTGGCGGCGCTGCGCCGGCGAGGCCATCCCGCCGGCCAAGTTTTCGCTCGGCGCATGGGCCCTGCCCGTCAACATTGCCGCCATGTGCTACCTTTCGCTCGTCTTCATCATTGCCTTTTTCCCCGCGGTACCGCTGCCCTTGCTAAACGCCGAGTCGATGAACTGGTCGTCGCTCATCTTCACCATTGTCGTGATATGGGCCATGGCCTACTACTTTATCTGGAGCCGGCACGTGTATGAGGGCCCTGTCAAGTTTGTGAAAAAGCCCGACGAGGACAACGGGCCCAACTTGAGCCGCGCCATCGATCAGTCGAGGACTCTGTAACTAGTTATAATATCATAAGGGCATAATAATATGGGATGGGGGACGTGAGAAATGACAAAAGACGGCTTTGACCAATCTACCCGATACATCGATTATCGTGTGACTCCAAAAACCAAGCCCGTGGCTCCGTACGGTTATCAAGCAAAGAAGCGGCAATGGTGGCGTTGTTTCGGGCCGCATCCAGATCCTTAGTTTTGGTTCGACAAGTCAGGTCACCAAGAGCCTCAGATCCAATTCTCGAGCGGGCTATCTCGAAGCACACATCCACAATGGCGTTTTATGGCATGACTAGCATGCTGCCCGCGCCACGATAGGAGGGGGACGGTGGACATGCGCGGGTTTGATAGCAGTAGCAGTAGCACATGGCTGAAAAAGAACCCCCCACCAACGCAACCTGTTCCGTCGCAGAGCGCGCAACGGAACCAAGAACCAGGTTATCCGCCCTAGCCAGGTTGCGCGATGAACGGGTAAATTCTTAGCTTGTGGCAACTCTAATTAGTTTTTTTTTTCGGCAAATGATAAATCACAAATGAAATCTACAAGAAAAAGGCGAACTAGTGAATATACCCAGTAGCTCTTGATCCCACCATTCAGCTTCAGGCTTGGTTGGCCTCGAGTTTTGCCCGCTTGGCCATCAAACCCGCTTGCCCGTCTTTTAATTTTTTTTAATATATACCCCTGTTCTCCTGAAGAATTCCAAAAGGGCCAAAAGAAGCCCCTCCGGGGGTGGGCGAGGCGCACTATCGATGTAACCCTCGTAACCAGCGGCGCGGGCTGCACTCCGTTTTCGTCCCAGACAAGGAAGCTCATTCATGCCCATGAGAGCTAAAACCACGCTAGAAGGCGGGACAAGACAACTGGGGCTCGCCTGGGTCCAGGCTGCAAAGTACCGGAGATGGCTGCCCATTAGATCAAGAGAAACAGCAAAGCAACAACGGGGTGGATTTGGTGGAGTCCAAACTTGGACTGGTACTCCGTAGCAGTGCTTGCAGTGGTACCTTGGTAGGTATGCTACTTGGTATAGTGGCAGTGGTAACTGCGAAAAAGGGCCCCAGAAGAAAATGTCCCCGCCGTATCCTGTCCACGTCCGCCAAGTCTCCATCGCAAAAGAGACCCATCGCAAGACCCCATTACCAGAGAGACCCCATCGCCAATCTTGAACGTGGGCTGAACGCCGAGGCCGACACGGAGAGACGACTCAGACGAGTCGACAAGAGGGACGAGTCGTCCACGGGGTTGCATTGCATGAGGACCCAAAACGTGGCCAGAGAAGAAATCTTGTCCACTTCAAGTGTACTAGTCCTGCGCCAAGCTTATAGCCAGCTATTATTTATTACTTATCTTCTGTATTAGTAGTCGTCTGTTGTATTCGAGTTCGCCCCGTCCAAAAACCTTGCTCTCTCTCTGCCTCTCTGCCTCTCTCCCTCTCTCTCTTTTTAAATCTCGCCTCCGCTCTCTTTCCCGTCTGGTCCGTTCTTTTTGTTTTCCGCGCAAGAGGGGTTCTGAGACATTGCTGTCTTCTTTTGCTTCTGGAAGCCACACAGACACTTGCAATCAGATTGTCAACTTTAAATTGTCAACTTTAAATTGTCAACTTTAAAATTTGTCAACTCTTAAATTGTCAACTTATCAGATTGTCAACTTATAAATTGCCCAGTCTTGAACTGTCAATTTCCAACTTGTCGACGTTCAAATCGTCAACATCCAGTTTGTCACTCACAGAACTCTGTTCACACCAGAAACCATCATGTTTCTTACAGAGAAAAGCTCCCCAAAGGAGCACAATGCCACGCTATGTGACGACAATCACAGCAGCACTGGCAGCGAGAGCGCCCACGACGTCTTTGGCTCCGAGGAGCACCACGACATCAAGTACAAGCGCCTCTCGTGGCAGCTCGTTGCCATTCTCATGATTGCTGAAATCGTGTCCAACGGCATGCTTTCGCTGCCATCGGCCTTTGCTGCCGTCGGCATGGTGCCCGGCATCGTCATCATCGTCTTCCTCGGCGTCTTTGCCACCTACACCTCGTGGCTGCTGGTGCAGTTCAAGCTGCGCCACCCAGAGGTGCACACCATGGCCGACGCCGGTTTCATCATGTTTGGCCCCATTGGCCGCGAAATCATGGCCTTTGGCACCTTTTCCTTTGCCATCTTCGCCACTGGCAGCCAACTGCTCGCCGGCCAGATTGCGCTGGCTTCGCTGAGCGATAGCAAGCTCTGCAACCTCGTTTACACGGGCATCTTCACCGTCGCCTCGCTCGCCGTCTCCCTGCCGCGCACATTCCACGGCTTGGGATACGTCTCCATCCTGAGCGTCGTCAGCATTATTATTGCTGGTATCGTGGCAATGGGTGCTGCTGGAGCTGAGCCCGTCGTTGGTCGCTCTGTCGAGGCTGCTGTAACCTCCGACTTCTACTCTGCCTTTGCCGCCGTCACGAATCCCGTCTTTTCTTTCGCAGGACACTTCATGTATGCGCCTACTTGCAGATTTTGTCCCTACTTGCTCATCTTGTCATGCTAACGTGCTTCTTTTCCTCTTCAGGTTCTTCGTCCTCATTTCCGAAATGAAGGAACCCAAGCACGCGATGCGCTCGGCCTACTGCCTGCAGACCTTCACCACCACCTACTACGTCATCTTTGCAGCCGTCACATATGGCTATCTCGGAAGCCAGGTCTTGTCGCCGTCGTTTTCTTCGCTGTCGCCATACTGGGCCAAGGTCTCGTACGGCATTGCCATCCCCAACTTGCTGCTCGCTGCCGCCCTATATGCGCACACGGCCGCCAAGGTCATCTTTGTGCGCCTCTTTCGCAAGTCCAATCATCTGCACAGCCATACCGTCATTGGATGGAGCGCCTGGGTTATTCTTGTCGTCTTCTGCAATGCATTGGCTTTCCTCCTAGCCACGGGCGTGCCCATCTTTAATTACCTTGTTGGACTTGCTGCCTCACTGTTTGCTGCTTGGTTCACTTATGGCGTGTAAGTGCAACTCTGCCTCGAACCATTCCATAATTCGTCAGCAACTAATTAAAACTTTTCACAGTGCCGGTATGTTTTGGCTTCACGACTCGTATCACGACGGTGCAGGTTTCCACGAATGGCGTCGTCAATGGGGCCAGTTTCTGCTGTGTGCATTTACCGTCGTGGCCGGTGCTTTCATCTGCGTCGCTGGTCTCTATGTCACCATTCGCGGGCTCGTGGATGCATACGCCAATGGCGAGATTCCCTCGCCCTTCTCTTGCAAGTAGATGCGAGTGCGCTATTTGCACAGTTCAAAAGAGTGATCGGAGGGTTGGGAGGCAAAGGAGGGAGCTGTACATATGCTAGCGTGGCCCATGCGTTGACCACTAGTGCCCGTTGGCCTCAATTCTGTACATACATATTCTAATGAGCGTATCGCATCACGACTGAAGTAAAAGACAAAGCTTTCCTGTCAAGTCGTCAAAGGATCCCTGGAATAGCGATATGATATGGGTTTGGCGAGAGTGAAGCTGCGGGTCAAGAGTTCGTCTGGATTCCACCTTGTTCTGATGCACATCGCATGCCCCACCACCAACACAGCCAACCACCCACCCTCCAGCGCGCGTTGCGCTGGTAGGTATTTATTCATTCTTGCAACAAACTCACGAGTTTGCTCTTTATTCTCCCCTGATTATACCTACGCTACTTATTCTGAGAACAGCTGAAAATACTCTCACAATTGGCCGCGCAAACACCTGTCCCCCAAGAGAACGTGAACTCACCCATTGCAAACGCACCCCGCTTGACCCCGCGCTGCGCATAAGCTTGGAGAGCTTCCCAACTTCCAGCTTCACACAATTTGGCCTCGACACACGCACCATCAAAGCCCTCTCGATAAAGTCTGAATCTCTTAGAAACCAAAAGCATCATGGCTTCCGAGACTGCTGACAAGGCCAGCCGGCCCCGCGTCTACTTTGACATCTCCATTGGCGGCAAGCCTGCCGGCCGCGTCGCCATGGAGCTTTACTCGGACCTTGTGCCCAAGACAGCTGAAAACTTCCGCGCCCTCTGCACCGGCGAGAAGGGTCAAGGAAAGTCGGGCAAGCCATTGCACTACAAGGGCTCTATTTTCCATCGTGTCATCAAGCAATTCATGATCCAGGTAAGCTTGGAACAAAATGCAGGGATCTGCTCAAACGGAGCCTGGCTCTGAACCCCAGTTTCGTTGCTAACGACGCATGCCTGTTCTTTTCAGGGTGGTGATTTCACTGAGGGTAATGGTACCGGTGGCGAATCTATCTATGGCGCCAAATTCGACGATGAGGCTTTCCCCGAGAAGCACGATCGTCCTTTTCTCCTCTCCATGGCCAACTCTGGACCCAGTAAGCACGTCCCAAGTTCAAATCCAGGCCCGGTTAAAAACTCTAGGAGGAAATACAAACAACAGCTACTGACCATATGTTATAGACACAAACGGCTCGCAGTTCTTCATCACGACCGTCCCCACGCCTCATCTTGATAACAAGCACGTCGTCTTTGGCGAGGTCCTGAGCGGCAAGTCTGTCGTGCGTCAGATTGAGAACCTGCGCACCTCGTCCGGCGACAAACCCGAGAAGGAGGTTGTCATTGCCGATTGCGGCGAGCTCAAGGGCGATGAGGCCCTGACCGCCGACGTCAAGAAGCCCGACGCCACCGGCGACCCCTACGAGGATTTCCCTGACGACTTTCCGGCCGAACAGCAGCCTCTCCCGGCCTCCAAAATTCTCGAGGTTGCCACTGCATGCAAAGACTTTGGAAACAAGGCCTTCAAGGCCGGCAACTTGCACCTCGGTCTGGAAAAGTACGAAAAGGGTCTGCGCTACCTCAATGAGGACCCTGACCTGGACAACGAGCCCGCCACTACAAAGCCGGCCCTTGACGCCCTGCGTTTCTCGCTCAACAACAACAGTGCACTTCTCAGCATGAAGCTCCAGAGTTGGGCGGAGTGCCAGCGCAGCGCTTCGGCTGCTCTAGCTGCTACCGGTGAGGTCAAGGACGCGGACCGCGCCAAGGCCCTGTATCGCCGCGGTGTTGCCCACGTCCACCTCAAGGATGAGGAGGCTGCCATCAAGGATCTCGAGGAGGCGCACAAGCTGGCTCCTAGCGATGGTCTGATTGTCAGCGAGCTGAACTCTGTCAAGATCAAGGCTACAGCGCGCGCCGCCAAGGAGAAGGCTGCGTATAAGAAGTTTTTCCAATGATCAATGGGAGACTTCTACTGTATGATTGCATGACAAGTATCGGCGAGATAAGAATCAGAAATAAAAATGAATAAAATTGTATGCATCTTCAAAGAAATATGCCCTACAAGCAGTGTCGCCCGTTGGTACCACGAAGTATAAACTTTTTGCGCCACTAATTCGCCGTTGACTGGATCTAACGCGCGGTTCGGCAAGCACGGGCGTCTCCGCAGCCCGAAACTCAATTCTATGCCGACAGACGAGAAATTAATCGATAAACAAAGCATAAAGTAGCTTTTGGTCCTTGATGTCGAATATCAAAGTGCACGCTTGACAAGTGAAACAATTCTGGTGGACCGGAATAAGCTGGCCAGACAATGCGGCGAAGGGCAACAAGAGGCAAGGACCTGAAAGCCCAATCCGGCCTGTCACGGCAAGAACTGCAAAAGACAACAACGAAAGAGCTTCCAGGGTAGGCGGCTTTCTCGGATCAAGACGTCCCTCACCAGAACTCGGTGGTATGGTGCTGTCGAAGCATGTACCGAGCTGCGTGAGATGTTCCTCTTGAGGCGGGCGTAAAAAGTTGTTGCAGCGCTCTTCTTTTTTCGTGGGCGTGACAGCTCCGACAAAGCCAGTAACGCTCACTGTTGTGTCATAGGTTCGCGCCATACAATGTACTCATAATCCTTTGATCGCTGTACCGACGACCCGTCCGTGGCGGGACTTGCCTTTTGGCGCCCATCAGTCGTCTTCCGCAATGCCAGATGGTCTCCTAATCGAGGTCCGAGTCTGTCACCGAAAGACGCGCCACAGTGACCGGCACCGGCGCAAGCGGTATGAAAAACACAGACAGAGCCCGTTCGGTGAGGTGACAACTGCGGCGGCAGACTGCGTTGGCAGCGGCGGTTTTTCCAGCGACGGTTGGAGCTACAAGAAAAGTGCATTTGCATTTCGACTGGTTTTCGAGGTCTCCTGGTTTTCATAGCATGGCTCTGTCTTACTACGGCGATTGTCAATGACGTCTTCTTCTGCCTAGGTGCTTGCCTACCGTGAACCGACTCGTATCCGCAGTGAGCGGAACAGACCTGGGGACTGTCCCTGGAGCGTCGGCTAACTTGATAACCAGAAATGGCACGTCTACGACGGATGCCACGTCGAGCACAACTGCACTGATCTCAAGCCAGCTCAGATTCTCGGAAAGCTCAGCAGTGCTCAACGGGGGGTCGACATGCATGTTATCCATGTACCTTGACAATTCCAGAAGTGGGTGTCACTTCTTCGAGGCCATCACACTTACAACGGATTAACAGTCGCTAAAATCGGCAAACGAATGAAAAGGTAGTACTGCAGAGAAACCATGCTAGGCTCCTTTCCTAATTAGTTTTTCAGACCGCAATGCAGTAATGTTAGAGTTGAGGGTGCAGCGAATAGTCAAGCCACGTACTTGCTCCGATCTATACCCGATCTATATGACAATATGACGATATGCAGAAGCAATTCTATAGTTGTTCTCTTCTCGTAGATTTTCTATAGCCCTTTCTTACCATTTTCTTGTGTAGCCTTCCCGCCAACGTTGAGTTCGAGAGTAACCTACACCGGTTAGTACTGCTGAGACTGAAGAAGCCCGTGTCACAGCGAATCTGACGTACAGGACCGTCATTGATTAAAGAAACCTCCATCATAGCTTGAAACCTTCCGTCTTTGACGCGATCTGCTTGATAGCCAGCTTGAACTTTTTGGACAAAGTACTGATACAACCGTCGCGCCTCTTCGGGGTTAGCGGCACCATGAAAGTCGGGTTTGGTGCCCTTTGTAGTTTTGGCTAGCAGAGTGAACTGCGATACTGATGGAATTATCATGTTAGTGAGTTACTCGACCTCGTTGCCCTGAGATATCATGTCATACCACACAGCACCTCACCGCTAATGTCTGTCACGCTCTTCTTCCACTATAGTATAATCAGCACGCAGTCGCATTTTGAATAGAGTGATGGAAACTTGCCCTGCCACCAGAATCGTCGTCCCAGAGCTTCATGCGTAGCACCTTATTTGCCATGGACTCCATTTCTTTTTCGGTGTCACCTGGTGCAACCGCCGCAAAGACGAGAACGCCACGGCCAATGGACGAGACGAGCTCCTTCTCCACTGTTACGGAGCCCGAGAGTACTCTCTGTAGTATGGCTGCAGTGAAACGTCAGTATATCATGCAGTGCCAGAGCGCAGCTGTTGGCACCTTTCATCGGGTCGATTCTCTGCAGAGGCGATGGATACTGAAGGCAAGCGCCACCAATTGAAGTGCTTGATTCGTAACTGAAGATGGGGCAGTAGACACAGATGTTGCAACAATTAGGTTAGATTGAAACAATGCATGAAAGTGCAGTACAGCTGATCGTAGGATAATGGCATTGATACCTAGGTATTTAGAGCCTGCTTTCTAGGACCTTCTATAGCCTACCGACTGGCGGGCCGGCCGGCTGCTAGTTAGCAAGCGTTGTGACCTCGCCGCGCCAAACGCGTGGGCGAGGCTACCTTAGGCTTAGTCATGTGAGCTTCTTTGTACCTGCACTAACAGCTTATCCCTCGAAGTAAGTACTAGTAAACACAGGTGCTGCAGGGAAGGAGAGCTCCTCCCTCATCACTACAAAATAGAATAACAACCTTGTGAAATGTAACATCAACAAGGCCCGCCTCAAAAGAAAATAAAAGCATCCGATAAAGTTACCCATGTACAACTACTCTACCTGCCCCGGCGCATAGTGGCTGAAATCTTGCTGTCGCGCGGTACAACTGTCGCGCTAGTCCTGATGCAGCCTGGTACATGCTCAAACCTTACAATCACAACTCCATCTCATAATCTCTCCATTGCCGCCGACCGTCAGCCCAACGAAGCATCCGTAAAGCCATTCATTGGTCCAACATTAATCGGCTGCTACCTTCGTCGCGCTGCGCACACTGCTGTGGGCAATCATCTTGGTTACGCGACGTGTGACAACCCCTCCTTTACCCGCCCGACAGGCCCTCCGACCGGTTCTTTGCACACGTGTGCAAAGCATCTTCATTCCCGTATCCCTTGCCCTGGAGGCACAACACCAGCCACCGACCACCCGTGCCGTCCCGAACGCTTAGTTTCCCGCGTCGTCGCGTCACAGCATATTCATCATGGCGGCCCGAAAACTACAACAAGAGGTCGACAAGTGCTTCAAAAAGGTGGCCGAAGGTGTTGCCGAGTTCGAGTCCATCTACGACAAGATTGAGCTGTCGAATAATCCGGCACAAAAGGAGAAACTCGAGGACAACTTGAAGCGTGAAATCAAGAAGCTACAGCGACTTCGCGATCAAATCAAGACATGGGCTGCCAGCAATGACATCAAGGACAAGGCGCCGTTGCTAGATCACCGCAAACTGATAGAAACCGTGTGTTGTCCACCAACCCTCTCCCTAGCCCACTCAGCGCTTCTGTGTTACGACCAGGAAAGCACATTGGTTGAAGCGGCATGACTGATTATTTCTTCTTTCTAGCAAATGGAAAAGTTCAAGGCGGTAGAAAAGGCAATGAAGACGAAAGCCTATTCCAAAGAAGGGTTATCAGCGGCAGCAAAACTGGATCCCAAGGAACAAGCCAAGGTTGAGGCAGGCGAGTTTCTGAGTAGCATGGTCGACGAGTTGGAACAGCAAATCGAGACGTTAGAGGCCGAGAGCGAGCAAATACAAGCGACCATGAAGAAGGGCAAAAATCAGGGTGCCAAGGCGGATCGCATCGCCGAAATTGAGCGTGTAATAGAACGGCACAAGTGGCATCAGGGCAAACTGGAACTCATCAGGCGCTCACTGGAGAATGGCGGCGTCGAGACGGAGCAAGTAAACGATCTTGAGGAGAGCATTCGCTATTACGTGTCTGATGGCATGAACGAGGACTTCATGGAAGACGATGAGATGTACGACGAGCTGAACCTGGAAGACGACGAAGGAGTCTTTGGCATGGGCGCAGACGGCGAAAGAGGGTCATCGCAAGACAACCAATCCGTACAAGACGATCCTGAACCGATACCCGAAACCGCGCTGAAACCTGTTCGAAAAGCAGCAAAAGAAAACGAATCCTCGTCATCGCGTAAAGGCTCTGCTCAAACGAAGTCACCCTTACCGGCGCTTGCTACTTTACATACGCCTTTATCAACCATCAGTAATGGTTCGACTGCTAGCATGAAGCCCGCCACAATACCTACAAGAGCGCCTGGCGAAACATTGAAGTACGCCTCTGCCGCCGCGGCCGCCGCGGCAAGTGACAGGGCCAACGTAGGTATATCGCCACTACCTCCTCCGCCTGGCAGCGCTGGCATCTCTTCGCTTCCCTCGGGGCCGTCGACATCCAACTCGCCCGCTGTAACCGCGGCCCAACCCGCGCAGCAGACGCCGATACAAGCACCAGCCAGTGTTGCAACTCCGGCCCCCGAAGAGCCCTCCCCGGAGCCCGCTCCTGCGCCGTCTGCGCCTACGACAAGTCGAGCAGCCAAGAAGTCGAAGGCTGCAGGCAAGCAGCCGGCTGTTGCTACCGAACCCAAGGAGACGCCTGCAACGAACGGCACGACATCGAATGGGGTCAAGTCCAAGACGCTAGCCCACGTCCCTGAAGAAGAGAGCATATATCACCTGCCCGCTGCTCTGCAGGATCTGGTTGAGTCGTACGAGATGGCCAAGAAACACCCACCGTCGCAGTCGGCGCCGTCAACGCTGCGTCTTATGGATGCAAGCCAGGCCAATTGCCCGGACCAGCTCGACTCTGATGCGCCGCGCAGCTACCGACCGGAGAACCCCGTGCCGCAGGGTATGTCGAGCTTTCCGCGCACGCCGCTTCCAATCTTTGAGGACCCGCGACTGTATCAGCGCATCGATCCTGATACGCTATTCTACGTGTTTTACTATAAGCAAGGCACCGCGCAGCAATACCTTGCCGCCAAAGCACTTAAGGACCAAAGCTGGCGGTTCCACAAGCAGTATCAAACGTGGTTTCAGCGGCATGAAGAGCCCAAGAGTATTACGGAAGAGTATGAACAAGGGACATATCGTTTTTTTGATTATGAGAGCACTTGGTAAGTGGTCAAAGGCATTCTGTGGACTTTGCAGATGTTGACGGATTGGCTAACATGGGAAACATGATAGGATGAATCGACGTAAGGCCGACTTCAAATTTGCTTACAAGTTCCTCGAAGACGAGGTGTAGTTTCCTCGAAGACGAGCTGTAGGGGCGAACGAAGAGAGGTAATGGTGGCTAGGGAAGAGGAAAGTGGAGGGTACTGTACATTGTTCGAGGGAAATGTTATATGGGCGTTTTTCTTTTTGCAATTTGCAGACACATGAGGAAAGCTGCTCAGTTCCCACACCAAGCTGGACTTTTCATCGGTGCATTTGCTTCTCTTCCTTGCACTAAATCGGTAGAAATCAGGATCAGGGTTTCTTTGTTTTGGGTTTTCTCTCCTTTTTTTTGTATCTTGGGCTTGTTCGATGCCCCTAGTTCAGAGGCTCGCTGGAAAGAACCATAAGGCGTGGGCCAACTGTGGTCTTGGTTGCTGATGCATCCTCTTCTGTTGCACCACCAGGTTTAAATGGCCATTTCGTCATTTTAGTCAATGGCCAATGTCAATGTCCAGTGGTGTTTTGACAGCGAACAAAACCCTGCTTCGTTTTCGTGATTCGTCCTTGATGTTCAGTGTACGTCTGGCTGCGTGACTTGATGAGAGGAAGGAACAGTGACGAGGACGTGAAGCGATGGGGGGTGACGGTCGACGGATTTTTGCGGCTGAAATTGATTGTTGTCACATGCAGGAAGCGAATGAATGCAAAATCCAAGCTACAGCTAGCGCCGGGTTTACCCTTGCGGACAGAGCCATTGGCGTTCATACAAGCGACAATTGACTCGCAGACGTAATACAATACACACGAATGACCAGAAGAGGAAGCTAGGAGACGACAGCAGACACGGCAATCCAAAAATACCGCGTGCCGCTTTTGGAGGCTGGGGATGCGAACCTACCGAAAAGGCTCCTCTATAATAGCCTCAGCTTCATCACCGACATTGGAAACATGACCGAGTACCAGCAGGCAAACGTTGCGAAATCTAGCTTACAGCTGGGGCGTATTGTAGCTGGCGCGCGATGATGACTTGTTAAGGTTTTAATTCACTCACATCTTTGGAAGGCAGGGGGGGTACGCGTGTAAGAGAGACGGCAGCGGTCGCCCTGGATCCGAGACAAGTTGTAGGATCCAGAAAACGCCAAGCTTCTGGAAGGTGTGGATGCTGCCGCCTCGATGCGCTGCGGGAGTCGAGCCAACGCAGCCGGGCATTTTGTTTCGATTTTTAGGCAGCGATGAACGACCAGGCTGAGCATGCAGCGACCGATATGGTTTGCGCATCAAATAGAGGCTGGGGTTGGAGGGAGGGGTGTGTGCTGCTTACCGGCAGGAGGAGAGAAATGGGTGTGTAACACGGGGATGCAGAACATGTCGCTGACTGCTTCATTCTGTTTTCGTTTCTCTTGGTACGCAGTGTCTGGTACTATACGTGAGACCGGGGCCGACGATATTGTGCCTGTATTGGATGCGTCATTTTCTGCGCATCCAGGTATCGTGCAGGTTTCCCTCCATCCGTAGGATTGCTTCTTTGCATCGGCGCCCATTTCAGTGGCCGCCCCATGACGGGCAATGATGTGCGGCGCCTTGGCTGACCAGTGAGGCAGTGACCAGATAGTTATCGTTATCGGCCGACAAGGTTTCTGTGCCACCCCCGGATAGAGTGCTTTTTTTATATTTGGGCAGTCGAATGTATGAGTGGCTGGCTGCAAGTGAGGCTTGGTCTTGTACTGATTCAAGTTAGGTCGCTAGAAATGGGAATGTGACGTCGGCTGCTGATGGGAAATCGGCACCGATAAATCGAGGCTTGTAATACGATGCAGGTTGGGTATGCACACCCTCCAGGGTCGAGTCGCTGGCTGTTGTCGTAGATTGGCAATTGGCAGGCATCGCCATTGACGCACAAGAATGTTGAAGAATAGAGTCAATTAGTGGCTACCTTACCAGAGTTGGAGTTGCAAACAGAGGCAGCTGCGGGCAGCTGGCAGCGCGGATGCTTGCCAGTTGTCAACTTCAGCGCCTGCCAAGTGAATAGATAGGTACAACAACCGGCTGGAAACCGATAGAGAATTCTTTTCCCTTGTACAATCGAACCATCTACTGCGGAAATACATCTTCCATTCCGACAATCTATATTGCATTTCGATTGCAGTTAACACGACCGCTGTGGGAATGCCCAGACCAAGTTACCCACGCATGCCCACGCCACCTACCCGGTATCGAACGGCCCCGACTACGGTGAGAGAGAGAAGAGGCTTCGTTCCAACTTCACGAATTAGCTTACGAGAGCTCCATATGCGCCATTAAAGAAGAGTGCACGCATCGTTCGTCTGCCAATCCAAGTGCTTTTGTTTGTATTCACGGCGAGGACCGACGATGCGGTGAATCGAAAGAGGAGGGTCCTTTGTCAAACTACCAGGCCAGCGCCCCAGCAAGATACAGCGCGAGCACCACCTCACGGACAGGCGCCCATTCACAAGCAAGTGCCCATGGGGAATTAAAGGCAAGTGCGCCATCGGAAGCTCCGAGAGCGCGGACGTGCGGTGCCACCTAGGCATTAGTTATGGAGTTGGTGTTTGTCTCGCCGACGTCTTTACTCGCTCGCGCAGATGCAAGCAAGGATATGGGACCTGCCTCAATGGTCTAAACGGCTCTCTTTTCCGGATCCATATCTCCATCAGGTGACGACAAGCCTGGCTGATTGGAAGCTGGGGTGATGCTGCAGTGGGTAGTCTGGCAGGGGTCATGGTTTTGGAAGCTGTGGAAGCCTTGATGGAAGCTTTCCTCTTTCGACGCCACCACAATGCAAGACAAGACAACAAAGACTCAATACTCAAGAGACACAGTTGGCTTGGTTGAGGACAGGATGTCTAGCGGCAGGGGCCACTCGCTGGCCTGGCCTCGCTGCGCCGTCCAGCCTGCTCTAGGCTCATCGTCAGGCACTTTTCTATCCAGGCCGCATCCTTTCTCGCGGCGAGTCGCGGGCATCGGTGTGGGTTCACTGCACGCCAGCCTTGTGGCGGAGCGCAATAGTGGTGCTGTTAATACTACCTATGAAGGACCAATGAATCTGTACCTTTTGTGTCGGTGGCTATACTGACTGTTTAATATCCTGGGTTGTCGAATGGGCGAGCTCGACGCCTACCACGAGTCTCTTTTCCTCAATCAGAAGGGTTCTTGCAGTGGGCTGCGCGTCGAAACTCAAACCAGTGTGCGCATCACTGACGTATCGGCGCAGATGAAAAACCATTAGCGCTCGCCCCAAGCCAGCCCAGCCCAGGTGACCCAAAGTGCCAACCAATGTCGGCAGCAACAGTTGGCACTATCAGCCCGCATGGAGAGTATCGCTGCCAGCAATTAATGCCATCGGTGAAGGAACGGACTAGTGCACTTGCATAGAGCCATCAACTTGGAATCGTCTCACGCCGATTGTTTCCGACTGCCAAAAGGACTGCCGCAGCTGCGACAATGCCCTCTGGTTCCGTCATGCCAACAATGACTTTGTGGGCGCAGCAATCGATGGGCGCGATAGCTCACCAGTAGTTAACTCCTGACTACCTTATTACTCCGAAATAGTTAGCAGCTGGTTGCCCACCAAGGCCCGGCCGAATGCCCTGCAGCCACTGGCCTCAAACAAGCAGCAAACCAATGTCTCGCCTACGGATTCAATTGACTCGGTAAAGGAGAGTCTTGGTCTACAGGAATGAGATAGTCTTGTTGGCTCCAGAAACAAGCAATTGTCAGATGGCTGCTGCAGCCGCCACGTTGGTACGGTACGTCCTTCTAGCGGCCCCTGCGCTCCTGGCAATTCTTTGACCGGTGACAAGCTACAGCAGGCCGGGGCTTCTCCAGTCAAATTTCTGGGTACGCCCGGAACCACTCTCTAGCCAGAACAGACAGACACTGATGATAACTAAAAGATCTACTCGTTCTGCCACTGTAACCCCACTGCGGAACATTGCACGCATCGCTATCCATGCTGTCTAGGTACCTAAGAGAGCAGTAGCGCCACGATGCCTACCTAGGTACTAAGCAAGGTACTAAACAGTAGGCTCGCGCCTTCGCGTCAAGACGCGAGCCTCCGCGGACTCGCTAGTAAGTTGGGCGCTCAGCCATCGACTGCTGATGCTAGAAAGGATTTGGGGTCTTGTGGACGACATTTGGTGTTTGGGTGGCTGAACAAGGGCGGAGAGTGAACAAGATCGGATCTCCGCGAGGCCAGTGACGACAGAAGAACGACGGGCATGTTAGTGCTGGGGCTGGGCTCGGCTTGCTGGTGGTACTACTAATAACTACCTAATAACAAAGTGGTGGTGGCTCGCTCGGTAAATAACTAATGCCCAGCCACGGTGGGCTCGTAAATACAGGACCCTGTATTCGTTCGCTGGCTTTCCACATCTTTTTCCACAGTCAGACCTCGTCATTCCGCAAAGTCGAAGAATGGTGACTAAATGGGTATGGCGCCGCGATAGCAGGCAGGGGCTTGCCGCCATCCATCATCCATCACCAGCACACACACCCTCTTTGCCTCTTGTGCCTCTCACCTCCAACGACCAGACCCCCCTTTGTCCGCAGCTAATAATTCTCCACACGGATCCAATGAGCTCATTTGGCCCAGTGTCAGTGGTCTCCAGGGCTGAGGTCTCAAAGGTCGGCAACCCTTCTAGAAGCTTGCCAGAAATGCAACTACCTAGTGACTGTCTGGTTTGAAACGGACAGACACCCTTTACACCCTTTGGGTACTGCCACACTCGATTCTGGCTGTCGGGTGATATAAGTTGTCACGCACCCCCCCCTTTCTTTTTACTTTTGTTTCTAAAACACTCTTACGAACTTGATATATCTTCATCACATCTCAACCTCGATACCTCACAATTCAAACTGCTTCCGCTGGCCGGCCCTTTACTCATCTTGTTTAGTGGCAGCGATCCTTTGACGAATTGATACCCCCATCCCTGTTGCGATTGTCTTGGATTCTGCACGTACAAAGCGCCATTGCTCTTCTTCTTATTCCCAACCAAGGTAAAAACAAGAATCACTTCTTGTTTTTACTTTAAAACCTGTACATGCATCCATTTCGCCAGAGTCGGCCCATCCCTGCGAGGGTACGCCCTGGAGTCACGTCGGATTATCTCTACAGTACCTCTGCCCCGGCTGGCAACATGACGGCCCAGATTGGCAATTGCAACGACGATTTGTCTGTATTTCGGCAGCCCGAGGACTTTTACACCCAGGATTCCCGTTTTCTGGCCTGCTCGGAGCCCATCTCCCGCCATATGAGCTCAGAGGGCTCCTTCTCATTATCTACACCAGCATCGCCAATGCTGGGCACCAGCTTCAACTCCTTCTATACACTGCAAGCCAGCTCACCCGGAAGTCCCATGTTTTCTCAGCTGCAGGACATGCCAGGTGCTGGCGTTGGCTCTCCATACAGCACGCAAAGTGTCACGACGAGCTGCGAAGGGCACTCCCCGATGACTGTGGCGGAGGACTTCACAGGCGAATCGTATGTAGCCTTTATCATGACCTCGTTCCTTATTTTCCCTTTACATGTCTCCCATTTTCTATTTTCTCGAACATAATTAGACCACTCTCAACTCAACGCAACTAACACGTATTCGCGGCATCTAGGCCCAAGGGGCGCGACTACCCAGTGGTGTGCCTGTTTCCCGGTTGCGACACCAAGCCCTTCAAACGCCGCGCAGACCTCGATCGCCACTACAAGCACAAGCACGCACCAGCGTCGCAAAAAGACTCGTACTTTTGCGACTACCCAAAGTGCGCGCGTCGCCGAGACCCTTTTCATCGCCGAGATCACTTCCGTGACCATCTGCGCGAGTTTCACAAGGAGGTTATCGAGAAGCGTGGCGGCTCGGTCAGCGAGGAGTGGCTTGAGGACCGCAACGTGTCGTCGACGTGGTGGCGATGCGCCAAGTGCCTCGTACGCAACTACATCGAGCAGAGCGGCTACGAGTGCCCCAAATGCAAGACGACATGCCAGGCTAAGCGCAAGGAGCTGCGCATGCGTGATTGACTGGACGCCGCCGCCGACTGAGAGCCATTGATATTCGTCTTCTTTGTTGGAATTCTCATGGTTTCTCTCTTTCCCCTGCTATTTTCTCTCTCGGCTTATACGACTTGTTGTTTGCGTGTCACACGCTCTCAGTCGGCGGCGAGTGCCAGCGCTGGCAGCCCTCCACGAGGACCGGCCCTCTGCTACGACCGGCGCGCCAAGCCCCTATCGTTCGAGAATTAAGAAGAGTTCTGACGAAAGGGCACCATCGCGCGCAACCTCGGCCACAGGCGGTCACCAGCAACTGCAGGCCAGCGGGGGGGCAACCCACCGGGAGCAAACCCGCTAAAAAAAACAGCTTTGACGATTGCGGTATCATTTCCTCATCTAGCGGTCCCTGATACGCCCATTTGTTTCTTCTACGACCTTGCCGTACGAGGAATAAGTTTGGGGCAAAACAGCCTACGGGTTAGCCCTGACTATGCTTCTCGGCCGAGCCCACCCGCACAGCCTCAAACTGTCCAACACACACCAACCACTTGCACTGCGCACGCTGTCAATGAATGCCCTTTTGGGCAGCTTCAGCTGGGGCTGTGCTGGTGTTTTGCCTTTTCGGCTCTTTTCTGAAACTCTAAGATGGCGTGGGCATTATAGTTGTTAACTTGTTGTTGAGTCACTCGTCGAACCACAGTTTGAAAGTGAAGTAAAGTTCGACGACGAGAGTGGCTACGTCATGCGAGTGGCTATCAAATCTCCTTCTTTTCCCCGCCATTAGCTATTCACGTGTTTATGAATCTCGGGCGTATACAGAAGCCCCATCTCTTCTTTCTATATCATGATTTAGTTTAGAAATCATAGCTAGAACAATTGATATTTTTTTTTTTTTTTTTGATTAGAATCATTCTTTTTTCGACTCTGAATTTTCGCTTGTGACTCTGAAATTGCATCACCTTGCACAATCGCTGACTGAACCTTGGGGAAAAACCCAAGTCGGTGCCTAAAACGATGTGCAGCGGGATCGTCCTCAGCTCAGGCGGGCATCTCCCTTCTTTTTTTCGCCTTGTGACTGTGCCATTGTCCAATCACGCCTCGACACCAAAACCTGGGCAATTTATGCACAAACTATCCTTGGTGTGCTTGGCAAATCTGTTGCTTTTCCTTCTCCTCCTCCCCCCGTCCCCCCCCTTTTCAAAACTCTCTTTCCTTTCTCTTTTACAGCTCCAGGCAGACGAGTTTTCGACAATGCCATTCGCCTAACCTCCCTTCTCCCCGCCCCCGCCTCCTTCGCCAACTCAATCGCTAGGATCACGTACATAGTGCCACGAATGAGCAAACCACATGACCTCTTTTGCTGCCCAGTTCCCTCCCCCCGCTTTCCGCTTTTCCCCCACAACGAAGGATGGGAGGGAAGGGAAGGAGGGGGGTCCGCCCTGTGGTGCATGCATCTCCATGGAAGTCTTCTCGAAGGAATACTACCAAAGTAGAGAGAGGCAACAGAGGGAAGCCAGTGGTGGTGGTGGTGGCGCAGCTCCCTTTTGCCGGGGACGCGTGACTCCACATTTCTGTTCTACTAACTTATTACCTAACTACGGATACCCTCAGCGCCAACCCTTGCGGTCTTTGTTTTGGACTGTTATCGCGGGGAGGCAGTGCTTTCTCAGTCCATGGGGCTTTGTATCCCCATGCCTTTTCGTCTCCTACATATCATCGGGCCTGCTTCTGTGCCAGTCATGGCCTCTAGTGAGACAAGGTACAGTGGATACGGGAATAAAGCCTGGTTGCGCCGTGAGAAAGCTTATTGTTCGACTTTCATTTCGCCTGCGACCTGGCGCCGTCTTCTTCGCACTCTGGCAAACGGCCAAGAACTGTTTGGTAGGGACTGATGAAGAATTCCAGTAGATTGCCCGAATTATCTGCCTCGCTATAACTCCATATTATGCCATTGCTGGAACCCCTATCATCGAATTACATGATGCGCCATACATACAACAACACCTCTTTCCCAAAAGCTTACTGGTACATGAACCTCATCGCCCTATGTAGATGCGCCGTGCCCTCGCTTACAGATCCACCCCCCCCCCCCAACCGTACCCTACCTGGGGCGCTGCACTGCTTGGCTGCTAAACATGACACCACCACCACCATTTGCAGCATCGCAGCATCGCAGCTAGTCTAGCCCTGCCGAGCATGCATGTCTCAACGCTCCAGGCAGCAGTGAATCCTGCATTGTGCAGCAGGATGTAGCTCATGGTGTAAACTCAATCGGATCGCCCTGTATGTTGGGCAGTGCTCTGATATCCGGCCGTCCAGCCTCGCGTCGCCTATTACGTCGTCTTCGGCTCATCAGTCGCCCCGATGGTGCTTTTGGCGCGAAGGAGCTGCTCTGTTCTAGCTCGCTGGTCTTGGGTACCGCTGCCACAGCAGCGCCGGCACCACCACTGGCGGCCAGCCTGCCCACAAACAGACTCGGTGGGTGGAACGTCGACTCTGGCTTCAAAGTCATGTGCTGCACCTCCAGCAATGTAGATTGCGATACAGCTTTCGACTCTGTGGGTAATGCGGTCATTACTTCGGGTTCATCTCGCAATTCACCGAAACAAGCGGGGGCCTCATCGTCACAGGTCGTCTGGGGTTTATTGGAGAAGCGCATACTGGTGGTCGACGGGCCTTTCGCGGAAATGGTCAGTGGCGGTGCTGGCCCAATTGGAGCCGGCGTGGGGACCTGACACCGTCGTGTGGTAGGACCCGGAGATGCATTTTCTTCAATCGCCGCAGTCTTGACCCCGAGCTTGCTCCGGCTGTCGGACGCTTCATCTCCCTCGGGACCACAATGCTCAGATGACTTAATAGCGACAGGGACAGAGTGATAAGACCCAAGCACGAACCGCTTCCACACCATGTTCTCGTCCTCGTTACCAAGCTCTGGCGCCGTTGGCACCGAGCGCTTGTAGGGCAGCGCCGACAGCCGGTTGCCCAGATGACTTGTCTCAGCTATTCTGTACACGTCGGGTGTGGTGATACTGCTCGGGAGGGAGTCGCTACCTCGAAGAAATCCTCTATCAGGAACGTCTGCAATCGCTTGGGACGACGGCCGTCGAGGCGAGGGAAGATCGAGGTTGCGCTCAATTGAAAGAGGTAAACCATTGCATATGCCCGGTTGTCTGAACTCTCGTGGGGACTCGGATATTTTGCTTGAGCTGTTTTCTTTAACAGGCTCCGCTACCACACCTTCCCCAGACTTGCTCGCCGTAGCCGCAACGTAACTGGACCCATCGCTCTGTAGCCGCGAAAGACTCGCTGGCTCGAGATTCAGTGCGACATCACCACTAAGCGCTGAATCCGACAACCTTGCATAGACACTTTGCGGCATGCATCTAATAGGTTGTGGATGAAGAAATTGTGTTGCAGGAATAGCCTTGACCAAAGGCTGGTCGAATATAGATGGACTCGTGTGCGGCATGCTCTGTACCTGCGTCTCGCGGCCAGCCTTTGCTTTCCCAATCTGCAAGGCCCGCTCAGCGCAAGGAGATTCTGGAATGAAACTGCTGAAACTTTTGGATGCGGATGACGAGATGTCGTATAATGACCCTCGCTCGACAATTGGCGTCTCTGGTAATGCACTTTGTCCTTTAGAATGCCACGTCCTGATGCTGCTTTTTCCAGGACTCCAGCGGTATTCCTGGCTCGCGATTTTGATCACGGTGTGGGCAGAAACTCGATCATTTGATTCCTCGGCCAGAGGCGATCCGAATTGATTGTGTGATAAGTGGCGCTGAAATGATTTTCTTGATCTCGCCGTCTCCGGGTAGGTGATGATCACAGGCTTCTGTAGCTCCACGCCGGACCAGTCGCTCTGCTGTAATAATCTGCGTCGTTTTGCGTCCATACTCGCTTCATCTTGTTCCTGAGAGCTATGAATTCTCTTTATCTTCTCTATGCGTCCGCCGTTCTTTGGATACTCTGTTGCCTGCTGCAAAGTCTCGGGCAAGTCTTGCAGTGTCAAAAGCCTGCTTCTCGGTTCTCTGTGCCGTATCGCCTCAGGGATCTGTTGAACCGATACCTCCTGCGGGTCCTTGAGATAGCTTGGAACAAAATCCTCCGCGTTGTACTTTCGTCTTCGTGAATCGGTGACTTTCTGGCGCTTGGCCTGGGCGAAATACTGCTTCTGCCTGGTCGCATCAATGTTGTAGCTTCTCCGTGAGTGGCGGGCAAGCTGTCCGTTGTTCCAGTTCATGACCGATTTCAACTCGAAAGTCAAGGGAATTTCTAACCGATTTGATCTGATAGACTCATTGTCCGATACAGAATATGCAGCTGTAAAAGTGGCAAGCAAGAGCTGGTGAGGGCACCAGCCGTTTGCCAGCTGGCAGTCAGTGGTCGTCATGGCATGCACGCGCGCCTGCACCCCGAATAGTCGCGAAGCTTCAGGTAACGGAGTGATACTTACACGGAGTACTTTAAATGGATTTTCTCACCACTCCAAAGCCACTGTCATCTGCGGCTTCATGGCTACCTTGCCTCGCGGATCGTACAGTGTGTAAGGTGCGCATCCAATATATCCGCACTGTATGACATCCCTGAAGCCACGCCACATAGCTCAAGCCTGTGTCCGTCGAAGCTTGAACCCAATGCAGACCAAAGTAATCGGGGCGCATTATATCGACAGCGAGCGCGCGACTTGAACCGCCCCTTTTTCGAGCATACAATTTTAGGAACATGGCGGACGCTGAAGAGAAAGCGCGGCAGGAAAAGATTGCGGCCGCAAAGAAGCGCGTGCGTTTAACCTGGTAACACGTACCCTGTCCAAGCTTACAATAGCCCCGTCAGGTCGAGCAACGCAAGAAGAAGAAGGACAAGAAAGCCGCCGACGCTTCAAAAGATGACATAAAGGAGGAATCTGTTGATGCAGCTGAAGACGGGGTTCCCGAAGTCACCAAGGACGATGTCAACACGGCAAAGGACTCCGCTATCGAGGATAAGTCTGATGACAGCAAGGCCGACGAATCTGAGCCCACATCTGCACCTTCTTTGGCTGAACAGTCAAAGGCAAGGTCTACATCATTCCGAGCGAGCTCCATATCGGGCATGCCTGCCTCACCAGGGCCGTTAAGCCCGGACGGCGACACTGCGCCAGACATCTACAGAAAGCACGTCGCCCGAATCGAGGAGCTAGAAAAGGAAAACAAGCGCCTTCAGAGAGAATATTCTGACTCGGAGAAGAGATGGAAAAAGACGGAGGACGAACTTGCTGATCTACGGGAAGCTGAAGACAAAAAGAATTCAGACGATACGGAGAAGCTGGTAAGAAATTGTTTACAGCGACATGAAATTGGCTAAGCAGCATATAGAAGGGCGAAATTGCTTCTCTGGAACGAAAGAATACCCAGCTTCAGCAGCAGATTTCGCGCGGCTCCGGCCACGCGCACCGCCAATCCGTTTCCACCACATCGCCGCCCCCGGCGCTCCAGGCCGAACTCGATTCCAAGACGTCAACAATCGAATCGATGGAAATTGAGATCTCTAAGCTGCGCTCGCAACTCGAGCGGCACCAGAGCGGAGCGTCGTCCGAGAAGGAGCAGGTCGCCGCACTAGAAGACAAGGTGGCACGTGCCGAGGCTGCTGCTGGCAAAGCGCAGCGCGAACTGCAAGACGTCAAGAAAAACCTGGAACGCGCCACCGAAAAGGCGGTCCGCGAAGGCAGCGAGCGATCCAGCGCCGAAACCAAGGCGAGCACGTTGGAGCACGAGCTGGCGGCGCTGAGGGCAACCCATGAGGAGCTTGCCAAGAAGGCCGACAGCTTCGAGAAGAAGGCGGCCACGCTGACTACGTTGCACAAGGAGCAGGACGCTCGCTCGCAGGTGCTGAAGCGCGAAAAGGACAAGGCCGAGGCCGAGCTCGCTGAGCTCCGCACCCGCGTTGAGAAGCTTGAGGGCGAGAACACCAAGCTGCGCAGCCGCAAGTCCACCGATGGCGGCGGCGGCCTCGACGACGAGGGTATGGACGAGCTTGAAAACGAAGAACGCCAGCGTTTGGAGAAGAAGATTCGTGCCCTCGAGAAGGAGGTGCACGAGCTGCGCAGCGGCGAGTGGATCCAGCGCCGCCGCGACATGGAGTCGTCGTCGGGCTTCCAGGACGTCGACCTGTCAGCGCCATACGGCTCGCCCGCGCAGCGCAATAACTCGAGCGGCGGCATCGGCCAATTTCTCACCAACGGCCTCAATGCGCTCGCCGGTGGCGGCGATGACGACGAGGGGCTCCTCGAGGACGACGACGCCGAGTTTGACGAAGAGGCGTTCCGCAAAGCGCACGAGGAGGAGCAGATGCGCCGCCTGGAGCGCATCAAGGAGCTGAAGCGCGCGCTGAAGCACTGGGAGGGCTGGAGGCTGGACATTGTGGACCTGCGCCGGGGCGGCGTGCTTGGTGTGGGGGATATTTTTGATGTCTAAAAAAAAAACTGCACGGACTCATTGTAGGAAGATGAGGTTGTGTATAGCCTAATGCATGGTGTTTATTATGCTCTACCCAACAGTCGATGGCAGTTAATCGTGTTCTCTGAAAGAGACATTTGAGAAAGCACGTGCATTTTGAATGGGGAGCGTGAAGGGAAGTATATTGGTCTCGGGCCGCGTGAGGCGTCGTCGCTACAACTGACTCCATTGGCCAAGGGGAAGAAGCATGCCACGAACCCCTTTGAGATGGTATTAATCCATCACCACCAAGTCTGTTCGATGCCGAACATCATTTGCAGTCATATGTGATGCATCAGCTCATAACAGTGGCTAAAAACTGAGCCCATTTACATTAAAGTAGCTCGAATATCGACGTCCACATGTATTAAGCTGCACACCAAATGTATAAACCTCAATTGTCGGGGCCTCTGGGACCGGAAAGCACTAGGCACAATACGCCTCTTCTCCAATTGAGGTGAGACGGAGCTCGACAATATGATGGCTGTCAATAAAATCGACGAGGTTGCTTGCTCGTCACTCTGAATCAGCCCGCTCTAGCACGCCGGTAATTGCTCCTCCTTCAACGGTTATGACTGTGTCTGCAGTCCGGATTGCCTCGAGGTCATAGGCAACCATAAGAACAGTGCAGGTAGCAAACTCCCCATCAATGAAGTCGTATACATTTTTACTTGTATGACCATCTAGATGAGTGATGGCATCGTCGATAAGCACTACTTTTGTGTCTTCTCTGCGCCTGTGCAGAGCACCACGGGCAAGGCTCAGTAGTTGCTTTTGCGCCTTGGAGAAGCGCATCCGCTTCATACTGGTATCAAGGCCGCCGCGACGCTGCACCGCATCCCACAGCTTCACGCGATGCAGCATGCTGATCAAATCGGCGTCACTGAAATATGGTTCCAACATTGAGAGCGGATCCAAGTTGCAGCGAAGTGTTCCTTCCAGCTCGAGACCTTCTCTCGTAATGGTTGTCATGGAGGACCTGAGAACTACTCGAGGAATATTTTTTATGTTCATATCGTCGAGTCGGATAGCGCCAGAGTAGTTGATCATGCGCAGCGCTGCCAGTATCAAAGACGGCTGCCGGCTGAACGATAGTCAGTTGTGTTGGCTACTTTTCCTGAAGAAAATACATAAAAATTCGACAATGAGGAGCTGCTTACCCCCCGGTTCGTGAAGAAACAACGATCTTCTGTGTGCCTTCGAGGGAAGCGTCGACTAATGGCACGCGCGTTGAAGCTTCGTCAATGTTCACACCGCTACGCTCTCGTTAGCCACAGTAAAAATTCTGATTAGTCGCGTTCATACTCATTCTCTGTTGCGACCCTGAAGAACTCAAAAGCTCCCTTTGATGGCCACTTGGAGGGTAGAGGCTCCTCTTCTTCATCAACTTCGATGGGGGTTTCACAACAAAATCTGCGGATACGAAGAACAGCCCCGAGAGACTCGTCTAATTTAGACCAAATGGTGGCTATTGAGTTCAACTTCTCTGGCAATTCGACAATGCTGAACAAAGCAAGCCCGAGACGGGCTGGCGAGGAGGACTGCGGATAAATAAAGGCGAGACTGATGGTCGCTAGACCGACAGCAGTGGTGAAGATAGCAATCGTGTATTCTAATTGACGTTTAGCCTCAAGCACGTAGTAGTATGACTTTTGGGACAGTGTAAGAGCTCCATGGAAGTCTTGGTAAAAAGCGGATTGCTGCTTGAACGCGCGAATGTGCTCGATACCCGCGGCGGTTTCGGAGCAGCGTACAGTTACACCCATCAGAGCTTGGGTTTCAAGAAGGTATAGTCTCTGGGCGAATGGTAAATATTGGCTCCGAATGCGGCATACAAGAGCCCAAAGAGCTAGAATGAAAGCCACAGTGTACTTGGCGCAGCAAGAAATTATCAGTGCATCCAAAGTCAAAGAAATCATCACTGAAACAGAGTCAGCAACAAGGCGACCAAGTTGAGCTCTCAGTGGCTTGAAAGCCGGTCAATGAATGGAGAAGGAAGAGAACTTACTGAAAGAGCGTTGCATCAGAGTGATGGGAAGTCGTCTTGATATCGTTTCCAAGTCTTCGTCAAAAAGCTTCAGCAAGGAGACAATGTTGGCATTGCTCACAAATTCCGGCGTCGCCACCATGACGGTCTTGGCCAGTCTCCAGTGCAGTTCGATAGAAGACTTTGTGCTGATGCGCGTGAAGTAGAGATGAGCTGCCATTCGGTTACATAGGACACTAGCGACGCCGAAGGCAGCATAGCCGGCAACATATGCTGGGCTCAAGACACTGTCGGACAGCGACAAGCTCCAAAATATTTCCAGCATCTTCTCCATAATTGCCGTAGCTGCCACGGATATGTACCAAGTCCGTATTGTTTTCTTGCCCGCCGGTTGCTGAAAATACGACGAAAGCGAAGCGTCTTGGCCATGCGTGGCAGTCTTGTCACGCTCGTCGGGCTCCTCCGGTGGAGGATGCAGTGGAGACTCCGGGGCCTCTTCAAGAGTCGGCGGGAAATTAAAAAGGCCATTGCTATCGTGCAACATCGCTCGAACATTGGCGGCGCTCCTGTACGTCGTGGCAATCTGGCTCTTCATACGACCATCGTAGCCAACCGTGAATAGGGCGTCGGCAAACTGCAAGTGCCCAAAGTCGTTGGTAGCCATAATGACAGTACACTCCCAGTTGAATACCAGGCCACGATCGCCAAATAGATTCTCGTAGATTTGAGAAGCCATGTTGTACTGGACAGCATTGAGCGGGTCATCGAGGACGATGGTTGTCGGACGGTTGTAAACTGCCCTAGCCAACGATATTCTCTGTTTCATGCTAACACTCAGTCTGCCTCTGGGGCCATCAATCACAGTCATATCATCATCAGGCAACTGTTCAAATTCGTGTTCCAAGCCACACGCACGGATGACAAGTGCATACCACTCTTCATCGAAGACAGCGTCTCCAACAATGCCATTCTGTATGCAAACAAAGGGCAACCAGACATCTTGAGCGCAATATACCATGGGTCCGGAAGACACGGTAAGGCGACCGCTGCTCGGCGTGATTTCGCCAAGAATGAGGCGCAGTACAGCAGATTTTCCACATGCAACGGGCCCGAAAATCATGGTCATGCCATATTGAAAAGCTCTCAAAGTCGCATCAAGAAGTATTACCTCGCCAGTCTTTGACATGACAGTTACACGAACAAGTTCGACAGTTGGAGTTGCTCCCATGAGACTAGAAACCTCGCTACCATCTTCTGCTGCGTCCGTTATGAGGCGTTTATCGACCAATTCGTCCAATAAAAGAAATTCCTGTATGCGATCTAAAATTTGCTTCCCTTGCTGCCCACAAGACAGACAATCCACGGCAACGTTGAAAGCAGTGGACACACTTCTGATTAGCATGAAGCAAGTGAATATTTCTGCCACTCTGAAGGTGTGCGAAGGTTGAGTCAGATATAGATAGCCAGCAATGACTAGAATCGGGGTCATCGAATGGCTGAATGCCACTTTCAAGTCATTTATATCAGTGAACAAGATTTAAACAATGGAATGTGCTCGTGTTGGAAGACCTTACACAGTGAGAACCCCTGCATTCGGGAGCCACGTTCATACAACAAAGCGTCCACTTCCGACTTTCTCTGCCGATTCAAGTACATTGCAAGAGCTGGGCCGAGTCCCATCATTTTGATGCTTTGAAGCTGTTTGAGAATGCTAGAAGTGAGCGCTACACGGGACTTGCGTCGCTCCGTAACCAGGTTGCGACGATGAGATTCTTGCTTTCCGCTGAGAAAAGACCCAAGAGCCACCACTGTGGGAACAATCAGAAGATAGAATTAGAAAGACCAGAATGGGGTTAGCTTACGCGTGATCGGAACGAAGATCAACAGCGATGCATTTCCGATGAATGACCAGAGGAAGCATATGCCAAGCAACACCTGGAAGACGGCCGAAGCAACGTCTTGGGTAGAGACGATTAGGATCTCGATGCTTCGCATACCATCCATAAGTTGGGAAAGGGCAGTTGAACTCTGAATGTCCATTGCGCTGACTCGCATCATTTTATCGTAGATGGCTGCGATCAGAATCGCTCTGATAGAGACTATGATGCAGTCACTTTGCTTTGTGAACATGACCTTGAGTATCTGATTTCCAGTCAATCATTAAAGTACAAGGGATGAAGTACATTGAAGCTCAATATACAATGAGACTCACAGATTTTCCAATCCATATCATTGCTGCCGCTGCGATATTTACGACGGTTGATACAGATTTGGCATCGTCTTGGAACACTGTGGTGAGGATCTGGAAGAACAACAGTGGCTGCGCAAGAGTGAAGACAGCATGGACCAAGCGCAAAGGAGCTGTGGAAAGAAGCATCCTGCCTAGTGTGCAGGTAATTGCTTTTGCCAGAGCCTGCTCGGAATTTTTGTCGACTGCCGTGGCTTAGCTAGGTCACTTCTAAGAAGCTGGCTGACTTACCACTATTCCACTGCACTTTGAACTGGCGGAAGATTGCCTCGGAGCATAGTTTCCAGGCCGGCTCCGGTAGATTCTTCAAGTCACAGTTTTCCAGGTTTCCCGGGACGGAAACCAGACCTGGCCATGAAAGGCATGACCAAATGCTGGGTAGACTCGGAGCGTCTGTTGCTCGGCCCTCAAGAAGCGTAGGTTGAAGAACTAGAATGGGGTTTTTGAAAGACAAGTTCAAAAGAACGTAGAAAAGTTTGAGCGTTACAGTGACGAGCTGAGAAAAGCCGATGCTGCCTAAACTTTTTTCCGTATGCCGCATCATTGCGAGGTCGTAGAGAAGAGTAGTGGTCAGAAATATGTTGTGGAATGTGATTGAAGGAAAGGCGTAACGTTTTGAGAATTGCAAGAACCAAACAACAGAGAGGGAGGCGAAGAATGAGAGCACTGCGGCGAACATAGTCTGGAGAGAGTATGACGACTCGTCGTAGCACCGTATGGCTAGGTTCATAGCCTGAGCTATGAGCATAGCACATGACACCGCCAGCTTGGTGGAAGCAAGAGCAGGTTCACCAATGAGAACGACTTGGGGTACATTGTCGTTCCAAATTGGTGTGAAAAGTATGGTTATGCCGGCGGGAACTGCTGTGATGATGAAGTACTCGTAGGCCTCTGTTGGGTCCAGCAGGACCAACGCCAAACCTAACAGTCTGTTCATTCTGGTCGAGCGCGGAGAAGACTGGAACAAGATGGGGAAGACACGCGCCTCGAGGGGGTTTGCCCGATATCAGCAGGTGGAATCCGCCTTCAGTTGAAAACAACGATGAGGATCAGTATCGTTGTTTGGCTGAATTCCAAAGCAAGACGCGCATGAGCGGAGCATGCAAGACAGATGGACCTGGTGAGAAGGCCAGTTGACCGGTTGGCTGCGCTCGAAACTGCTTCTAGGCGTGGAGTTTACGAACCATCGGTATGGTTGGCAGCCAAAACTTGCCGGGTGGCTTTGACCATAGTGAACAGTCGGGCCAATCGTGTCTTGAAATCATGTGCGCCCACCCGTTGCAACCTGTATTTCGCAACTCGCCCACCAGAAATAAACAGCCAAAATGGTGCACTTGTTCGCGCGTAGGGAGATTGCACAGTTCCACTGCAAGTTAACGCCACCAACCTCCTCCAGAGGTACTTGGCCGACAAGTACCCCCCAAAGCGCCCCCATACTCCACAGACGAGCAAGGATCAAGACAAAAGTACCCTGGTTACCCTGTCATGAAGACATAATTTGAGCAAGAGACTGAGCTATAAGCGGCCTAGCTAGATTTCTAGCACGAGGGCGTCTGGGACCCGGAGGCCGGAGGCCGGACACTGGTCTGGCTGAACCGTTGGAATAGCAACCCCGTCCTTTGTGATGAAACATCTGGCAGAGACATTCAACCAGTAGCTTTCTTCAGTGCTGTGCTGAAAGAGAGAATGAAGCTGATGACCAAGAAAAGCGTGTACCGTCCGCCGTTCGCTGTACTTGTCAGCTATCAGTACCAAGTAGTTTCGTGTTACCATCCAAGGTTCCCCTATCTGCAGGGTGATGGATAGATAGCCAACCGTGCCAACGTAGTCCAGTGGCGCAAGTGGCGTCAGTTTTGCCTGCTCGAGGGCGCTCGGAGTACCAGTAATAAATGACTTGAAGTCTCGTGCGTGCACACAGCAGTCGACCTGGCGAGGGCATAATCTCATGCTGACATAATTACCAAAGGATTTTGGCCCTAAGTCCTGATGAGGAAAGTGGTAACCAGCTGCGGGGAAAACTCGCGCCAAGGGTGGCGCCGAGATTTATTTATTTTGCCAAGAGGCGTTGTTGGCCTTGCTTGTCCCGCTCAACCCATGCATATAACTAACATCATCACAATCCTCGCAAACTCACAGGCAGGATTCGAAGAAAATGCACATGCCTCCTGCACCAAGACTCACAACGTGCGGACCAAACCATGCGCCAATGCGAGTGCCTTTGACCTGCCAAGCTTGGGTGGTGGGTGATGGGTGGTGGGTGCACCATGCTCCATCCATCGCCTTGTCCTGAGCTGCAAGTAATTTGTACTGTGCGAGGCAAGCGAAGCGGCTGCACGAGAGCAGCTAGTGATGCAGACAATACATACCAGCGTCAATATATGAGCACCACCGCCCGCGTGCTCCGCCATTCTATTAATTCGTCAGCATTAATAAGGAGGGGGCTTCTTAGTGCAGTCGGCAGGGAAGAAAGAAGCAACTCGGCTCTTTCTTTGAGTGATAGATTACGAGGAAAAATTGAATTGGAACACATCTCGAACGAAATGCAACTGAATTGACGCATGCTAGTAAGAACAGGCGACAGACAGGTCACTTCTAGTAGCTATTGACCCACGCTCCGGTGCGCAAACTGCGACGGAGCACACGTACAAGATTGCCCGAGTCTAACTCGACTGCGAGATCCATCTCGGCGGCATAATCTCTCTGGTGCGCAATGGTGATGACGGTACAATCCGCAAAAGCCTCAGCCATCAGTTGTCGCATATTCTCGTCCGTTGTGGAATCCAGCGAGCTGGTCGCCTCATCTACCAAGATAATCTTCGTCTGCTTGACTTGCTGGTGTAGAATCGCCCGAGCGAGGAATAAAAGCTGCTTCTGGCCGTGGGAGAAATGACTTTTCGACATGTCAGACTCCAGACCCCCCTGCCGACGAACGTGAACCCAAAGACCAACGCGTTCGAGCGTCGCGATGATTTCAGCGTCGGTGGGGGGGCTCAAAGCGAACGGAAAAGTGTTCATACGGATTGTCCCCTTCAATTCCACACCTTCCTGTGTCATTGTCGTGATGTTTGCGCGCAGAACATGTCGAGGAATCATCTTGATTGAAAGCCCATCGATATTGATGCTGCCGGAGAACTCAATCAAATTCAGGAGTGCGAGCATCATCGACGTTTTTCCACTACAGATGATTGTCAGTTTACATTGTTATCAATACCGAGAGTGTAAAAAGTTGTAGCTCACCTCCCAGTTCGCCCACTGATACTGACTCTCTGGCCATGCTGAATGCTGACTGTCGTATTCTTGAGAGCATTGTAGGCCTCGCCCTGTAGCCCACTGCAAGAGTATTAGCCAGTAGACGGGCACAGGCAGATAAAATTCCACCAAGGCTTACGTATATTTGGCAGTGACGCAATTGAAGTCAATCTTGCCACTCGATGGCCAGTTGTCTGGAAGTGCTGGCATATCCTCGCGGTCCTGCTCCACGGGAGTTTCTTTGCAAAAAGACTGAATTCGAGCGAGACCACCCAGACTCGTTTCTAATTGTACCCACATTTGTAAACAGTATGACGCTGTGGTACTAAATGAAATCAAGTTCAACAAAGCCAAGCCAATGGCGCTGTCTGAACTAGACTCTGGGAACACAGTCGTTACACTGACAAGAGTGACAGCAGTAATAAATGCCATCAAATCTAGCACCAAGGTCAGCCACTGTTGAATGCATAGTAGGTAGTAAAACGGTCGCTGGCTGTGGTTGAGGCGTGTAATCAGCTCTTTATCGAAAGACCGCTGCCAACCAAGACCACGAATATGGGCCATTCCAGTGCTTGTCTCTGCAAAGTGTGTGACCAGCGGCGATGTCGTCTCCAACTCCAGATATCGTAGCTGACGTGAGGTTCTCAGATAAAAATATTGAATGCCATATAAAATCGCAACGAGAAAAACAATGATGGGTGGCGTGAGTTTAGCTCCTGATGCGATGATTCCCATGTCAACTAGAACGTTGAAAAACATGGAGACTGTCGTCATTAACATCAAGGGCATTTGTTGTGATATAAGAGAAATGTCCTGGCTAAATCGGTTGAGAAGAGACCCGGCATCTGTATGGCTGAGATACGAAAGTGTCGAGTCCAGAACGGTTTGCAAAAGTCTTGAGTGTAATTCAACTGAGCTTTTGGGCACGATCTGCTTCAAAAATTGAGCACCGGAGGCACACGTCACCACGGTTTCTACGAGGCTTAGAGCTGCAAAGCCTGCAAAATACCAGTCGTTTGCTGCGTCTGTACTTAACCAGATTCGCATAAAGATTTCTTCAGTCGAGTGAGTAATTAGTCAGAACTGAAACTGTACAGTCGAGTGCTTACGGGGCATCCTCTCCATTACAGCAGCAATTGCAGCCACGGTAAACCAAGTGACAAATAACAGGCAGTGCGCAGTACGGAAGTAGTAACCATAGAGTGACAAGTCCCCATGTCGCCTTTTTTGGTCGGGCTTGTTCGTCTCTGGAACTTGTCCGCCCAAGTCAACTGACGGCGGTTCGAATTCTTCACATGTCGCAGGCACGTCCATCTCGGGTCCCGGAGTTTCTTCTCGAACGTTGGTCGCAACGCCACGGGCCGAATTGTTTCGGCTGTTCATCTCTTTTTGGCGGACCCGACCTTGGTGGCTTATCTCAAAGACGATGTCGGCCTCCTCAAGAAGCTTAGCTGTGCAACAATATAAGCGATTGCACAACACTCTTCAAAGATGTAATGGATTTACTTACGCTGATTGGTCGTAATGATCGCTGTACAATTCCATCGACGAAGCAGTCCGTTTCGACCGCAGACTCGCTTGAAAACCAGTTCTGCGGTGTCAGCGTCTAGAGCACTGAGGACATTGTCCAGTAAAACGATCGAGGTTTGAGCAAACAAGGAGCGCGCCAAACCCTATTTACCGTGTCATCAACCACTGATATCGATAGTTCTGTTAGTAATTTCAACCTACCAAGCGTTGCTTTTGTCCTCCGCTCAGGTTACAGCCATTACTACCTGCCATACTGCTGTCGCCATCTGGAAGGTCGGCGATGTCCTTGTCGAGTGCGCACGCATAGACGACCTCATTATAAAGTTCCTCAGCAAATGGGTAAGGGCCGATGATGTTCTCTTTGATGGTGGCATTCCGTATCCATGGCGTTTGGCTGGTATAAGCAATGATCTTTGAAGCAACTTCTAGAGTGCCTGTGTTGACGCTGAGTTCACCCATGATGGTCTTGAGGAAAGCTGATTTGCCGCTACTGACAAGCCCATGCATCATGGCGAGAGACCCGGTGGGGACGCGTAATGTAACATCTTTCAGTATAGGGCCCGAGAAGTCAGAATTAACAGACACGTTGTTCATCGTAACCGCATATTTGCTGGGTCGACCGTGCACAGTCTCGTTCTTCTCTGTTTTCTCTGCTTTATTTTCTACTCGTTCAGGGCTTTCGCGTTGGTCCCGTCGCTCAGGAAGCGTAAGAAACTTTTGGACACGTAGAAAGCAAGCATACCCACTTGCATAATAGGGTAAATGGCCAAGGAGGCTGTTGAGTGGCAGAGCCGCAATGAAGATGGCGGCATAGGCGGCAAAGGTTTCTGATACTGTCATCGGCCTTGAGGCACGTGTCCAAAATCTGGCACCAGCTAGAACCGCCACGGGCGTCATCGCAGCGCCAAATCCATCTATCAAGTGCTGGTAAGTATAAGTCACCTTCGAAGAGCAAGCAAATTTGTGTCGAGCTTAGCCTACAGATACCGTAAATCATGATACGGCAATTACGCTCAATCATTGATGTTTCGATTTCGTCCAGTCTCTTTTCTTGCAGGTATGTGGATATGGCATCTGTTAGCCCCATGGCCTTGATACTCTTGAGTTGGGCTAGAAAATTGGAAGTGGCGGCGACACGGGTCTCGACCTTGGTGTTCCAAGCGGTTCTTGCGCTGGCCATCTTCTTGGTGACCATATAGGTGCCCATGGCAGCAACTGTCCAGAGTGATTAGAAGTCTTTCATGTGACATACGTTCGGCGCCTACTGACTCGAGGAAGGTATAAAAATGAGGAAGCAAGCATAGCCAACGAAAGTATAAAGCGCATAGATTCCGAGACCAAGTTCCACCAAAGATGCCCAAGTCGAGTGCATATAGCCTAGACCTTCCTGAACGCCCGCCATATCCGTTGTCATGAGCGTAACGGCAGCTGAATTTTCGAGCTGGTCAATGGTGAGCCTCTGCAACTTGTTGTAGATTGCAAAGACAAGAATCCCTCGCGCGCAAGTTATTGCTTGTAGTTCTAGTCGCTCGAAGATGGATCTCGATACCTTGGTAAGTGAGTTGGTCAGCCAAGATGTAGCTAGATGGCACCCAATGACGGACAACTCACCATTAAACCGCCGAAAATGAGAACAGAGGCACCAATGAGCCCATTGGTAACTGCCGAGGAAGCACTGTTTGTACTGACAGCATCAATTACACGCTCCATGAAGAATGGCCGGCTGAATGAACAGCCAATGAAACATAGCCGAGGCAATATAGGAATCAAGAATTGCCAACGGAGCGTGCGAAAACAAGCACGAGCCAGCGGCAGCTTGGTGCTTCTGTCCACTGGCTTACAATTAGTATTGATGGACACACCATCATGGGACGGGGGAGTTGCCAGAACCAGGCGCCGTAAAAAGACTTACCCTCGTTCCAATTTGGTACAAACTTGTTGAAGAGAGGTTCAGAATCGTATTGATCACCGATGTGCGGCAGCTCATCAACAGAGAGGTCTTTGACAAAGCCCAACCGAAGAATTGGGGTGACCCAGAGGAGCAATGCTCGGCCCCAAAACCCACCACGCTCTGCCGGGCCCAGGCGAAACGAACTCGAATGGAATAGATGATGTTTCGGTATCTCTTCTATCACAACAAGGGTGAATTTTAGGACGGCGATGGTTGCCTGCAATGCACCCAGAAAATCGAGTGAGCCTCGCAGAAAATAGGACCGCGTCATTGCCATGTCGAAGAGCATTGTCGCGGAGAGATAGACACTCAAGAATGAGGATTGGTGCAATGAAAAGGTGTGACTGATGTAGAGTAGACCGACAACACAGAGTGAAGCGATGAACGACATGACGGATGCCGCGAGAGACACACCTGACCGATACAAGCCCGCCTTTTGCCACGAGATAATACTTGCGAGCTGTACCGCGATGAGTGCAGTGCCAGCAGTAAGCTTAAACCAGAGAAGAGGACCAGGTCGGACTTTATGAGTGGCAAGCAGCATCCTACCGAGATAAAAAGGCATGAGAAGTATGACGATGCCTGCTGGAACCATGCCTAGCATGACAAGCTCGAATAACAAGGTGAAGTCGAACTTGCCGGGCAGAATAGGCCCGAACTCGTTGTCGAATGTGGGAAGCATTGTGGCCAAGGCCCGGCGGAGCAGCAGGATGAGGGTCAAAGTCCGTGAGCGTGCATGTGAAGGGGTTGAATCCTAGCGTCCGGATGCTGCAAAACAGACGGTGTCTGCGGGCGTTGGGAGACAAACAGGGCTTGGATGAGATGAGAAGCAATGGCTAACTATATAATGAGCGTGGGAGCAACAGGCCAAAGGAGGTGGGGCAAGTATTGAACCAAGATGGGCGGCGCAGTTGGAGGCAGTTGGAGGCAGTTGGATAAATCTGGTGAGGGGGCCACGGAGCAGCAGCGAGATGGCACACGAGGCTTGTATGAGAGAAGAACCGCGATCTGAAGACCGAGTAGTGGAGTCGGGAATCAGCGACCTTGACATATGTGTGAAATATGTATACAAGGGCAGGAATCTCATCAGGGCAGGTGAACGAACACGACGACAAATTTCCAGCGAGTAGTAAGTTACTTGACTACCCAGTGCCAGCCAACCAATCTTGCCAGTTATTATAGTCATTAAAAAACAACGGCTGAGCGATCGGTTGATTGTGGAGGTGTGGAGCAAGCAAAAGAACCCGGCCTGCGTGCCTGCTACCACCTGCCTACCAGCGTGCCAGCCTAAGTTACCTAGGTAGTTGCGGGTTACCAAAAGGCTCAAGACTCAAGAGGTAGCAAAAGGGAATTGCTGTCTGAATAGGTCTTGCCTACCTACCCAAGAGGTGGACAAAAAACATGGCGGATTTACACTGATTTTGGCGCATGATTAGCAGTGGTTGTAGGTAGACAAGCGCCATGTTTTTTGTCCACCGAGTACTACCTAATCCGCACTCGGTCTCCAGACTAGCTTCCGGTCTTCGAGATGGCAATCTAGCCACTCACTACCTAGTTAATTTAGTTAGCGCCAACTGGATAAAGCATCTCCGCATCTTGGATGTAACGGCACAGACTGGCCAAGTACCTCAGGAGAGGCTTGCGGGGCGTCGCTTTCCAGGATATTCAATAAATAGCTAACAGGTACTGATTATACTGGGGGCTTGCCAGTAACAACAAAGTAGGCGCAGTTCTCTCTTCACATTACGAATATATACACCTACTTACTGGTACATCATTCAATCCCAGCTATCGAGCGTCTGAATACTAACCCTGCACGCATACAGATGGCGCTCTCATCCCTTTGCCAGTGGAGAAGGAAGCGGGTGGTCACTTTTGAGGGGTTTAATAATAAGCCACTCAGAGCATCACCAAAATAACTACCTGGTACTGGCACTTATTATTCGCATCTGGTGACTGAGTACCTGTGGCCTGGAAAGATATTAGCGAGTACGAATATCTTAGCGAGTATGGCCTCGCCACGCCTGATCCGAGTACTCACAGGTATTTAGCGGTGGCTCGCCCATTGTGTGTGATAGCTTCAAGACTCTCTGCTAGGAGAGAAATCGTTGCGATGTACCCTTTCGGGACCCCAGTCAGGGCTTGGTTGCAGCGCCGGAGAGGAATTGTGAAAGCGGCCTCCCTCTGTTGTAATGCTGGATTGTGGTACCTATACTTATGATAAGCTTTGGAGCGGCCGAGGGATTGCACACTGCGTCCCCGACCGAGATGTAGTCAAGAATCGGCCAGCGTCCCCCGCTCTAGATATTTCTCTCGCAAAGCCACGTACCAGTGATTGACCCCTTTGCCCTTTGTCAGCAGGCCGCTCGGTGCTGCACGCTGCGCTGCGCTGGGTATCAGGCTGCTCACTGGGCATCAGGATGGAAATTCGGGCTAGTGCAGCATACCCTACCGCCAATAGTACATATATTCGTGCGCAAGCGAGAACATGTATCAATGACAAATTATCGACGCGCCTCACTGGGTAGTGCCCCCAGCGTTGCCTCTCGATCCGCTGCCATGAGCTCGGGGGTATACGCTGTCTTTCCCGTATTTATATACATGCGACCCTTGAATAATAGGTTAATCGAGTCGTGGTAGACTATTGGCAATACTTGTCAGTCAAGCCGCAGTCAGCAGCAGCCGACCAGTTCGTAAAACATACGGGGTAGTGCACAAACAAGGCTTGTAGCCGAAATTAGAGGAATGAGAATATAGTGCTGCATCTTTTTTTTCTTGTTGGAGATTTCTGCGAGAGAGAGAACAAGAAAAGAAGTTGCGTGATGATGCTTGGACGCGTCGGGCAGGAAGGTTAATGTGTGGCAGAAACAAGTTGTGGGGCTTTTATCGGCACGTGTGGCGACGTCAGCGTCGTGACTTGTGTTTAGAACCTACCTAACCAGCTATTCAACTAGTTAATATCTTTATCACATCTGGATCGAAATTATGTTACTCTTGTTGGTATCAGACAAAGACAAAACCCCATTTTATAATAGACGTGCATGAGAGGTGTCTGCTGACCTCCTCGATAACAGCAAACTAAACCACTCCACCACCAAAAGCCGCACACAATGTCCAAGAGGCTTTCAACCAAATTCCGTACCTTGGTGGATGCCCGTAGCCATTCGAGAGCCATTGGCGGGGAAAGAGAAAAACGCCTTCCTCGTCAGAGGTAATCTGGACAGTCAGTCACGTAGTCTCGAGAGTTGAGAGAAACTATGAAGCGCTGAGCCTTTTTCTTTTTTTGCTTTCGTTTGTATTTCTGGCTCTGGCTCTCTCTTTCGCCGAGAGGGCAACTTTGGAATACCTCCTTATCAGCTGTTCTCTTAATTTCCTACCTGCCCACTCGCTTTCTACATCATGCAATGCCCAGGCTCGGCGATGGACAAAAACCGCTAGTTTAAGCCGCACGCTAATAAACAAAAAGTTGTTTTTACCGTGCACAAGTCCGGTCCATGCGCCCGCGCGCCGCGTGCCGCCGCCGTGTTGTTTCCGACGAAGCGGCCGTCCGCGGCCTTGTTGCAAGCCAAAGGTAGCCTGATGATGGTGAGAAGTTCTGCGCGAACCTTTCAGAAAAGACGCAGGCAGACACGGGAAGGGTGTACGGGTTAGCCTCGAGCGTCGTACAAATCGCCTAATGTCTTGCTCTCCCTTGCCGTACGTAGCACCCGCATCGGGCTGCACCAAATCCGTGGTTCACCTTGGATATACTCAACGTTTATGAGTTAGTGGCCACCTAAGCCAGCCCAATCAGCCCAGCCAAATCAGCCCAGCCAAATCAGCCCAGCCCAGGATGTTGCTGCCCCCCCCCTCCCCCCACTCTCAACCAGCTGCTCTTGGGCCATGGCGACGTCACTTGAGCCGCGCTCCCTGCGCAGCCTCATTGCCTTGTTGCAGTCGAGGGGTTCGTGTCGCGTGCGGGTGGCAGAATCCAGAAGGAGGGGTTGCAGGAAAAAAAGCGTGTAGCGTATTGACGTTGCTGCCGCGCCCAGGCCAAATATTTTATATCCGAGTCGACAGTAGACATCTGGCCACTTCTGTCCCTTTGGCTGTTCTTTTCTATAAATATTCAACAGCCTTGGCCGTGTTACCATTTGGACCCTTTCTGTCCGACAATTGATCCTCGCGCTATTTTTTCATTCACCATTTTTTCTTTTCGATCGTCCGGCGCAGCAAACAACAAAGCCGGGCTGTCTGCCGCCCAGTCAAACTCCGACCTTCTCCGTTCGGCTCGGCTCAAGCCCCTAAAACTTTTTGGTTTGCCTACTTGCGATATATACCCACCCAGCTAAACAAGCTTCGCTGCGCAACGAGCGAGCGAGCTTCCTCCTAAATAAATACTTGCTACGTGGTACGTCAACACCCCGGAAACCCCACTTGTATGGATACAGGAACGGGCATTTCGTGAATCTAACTAACTAGCTAATTGCTAATCGTTTTGTGCTTCAGTCTGTTTTTGTTTGGTCCTCCTGAGTCCTGGAGCCCCTCCCGCCGTCGTCGGCCCTCCTCTTTTCCGCGGGTGTGCCGCCATCCAGACGCCGTTGCTATTACGCGACGCAAAAGGCCTACACACGGTAGCCTATATACATACTAGTTAGCAACAACACACACAACGCACGCACGCACACCACCACCAAGCCCTGTTTTCCGCCTGTTCCTGCGAGTCCAAACGTTACCCCGCGTCTTTCCGAGATTTCTGTTTCTTTTTTTATTTTCCCTGTATTTTTTTTTTCCCTGCGAAACCCCTCCGCTGCGTGCTTGCCCCTCATTAAGATCGACCTCTCTCTTCCCTTTCCCTTTGACCATGAGTGCCTCCATCTCCAGACTTGTTCTTACATCCCGCGCTGTTTCTCGCACCTCTACCACCTTGCGAGCGTCTTCATTTGCCCGTCCCACCTTTGGAGCTTTACAGACATATTCCCCCGCCGCTGTCCGCACCATGGCTACCTCGCACAAGATCAAGGTCAAGAACCCCGTCGTCGAGCTCGATGGTGATGAGATGACCCGCATCATCTGGCAGAGCATCAAGGACAAGTTCATCCATCCTTACCTCGACATTGACCTCAAGTACTACGATCTTGGCCTCGAGTACCGTGACCAGACCAACGACCAGGTTACCATTGACGCCGCCGAGGCTATAAAGAAGTACTCTGTTGGTGTCAAGTGCGCAACCATCACCCCTGATGAGGCCCGCGTTGAGGAATTCAAGCTCAAGAAGAGTAAGTTGTCCATTGCCCATATTACATTGTCTTGCTCGAGTTTCAAGCACCCTGTCTCGACGAAACCCCTGCCACATGCTCCGCCGTCCCAACCAACGCTGACCAACACCCACAGTGTGGCTCTCGCCCAATGGCACTATCCGCAACGCCCTCGGCGGCACAGTCTTCCGTGAGCCCATAGTCATCCCCCGAATTCCTCGCCTCGTTCCCGGCTGGAAGCAGCCCATCATCATCGGCCGCCATGCCTTTGGCGACCAGTACCGCGCAAAGGACCGCGTTGTCCCCGGCCCTGGCAAGCTCACCATGGTCTACACCCCCAAGGGCGGCAAGCCCGAGGAGATTGACGTCTTTGAATTCGAGTCGGGCGGCGGCGTCGCCCAGACCCAGTACAACACGGACGAGTCCATCACCGGCTTCGCCCACGCCTCGTTCAAGCTCGCCCTCGACAAGGCCTACCCCCTCTACATGAGCACCAAGAACACCATTCTCAAAAAGTACGACGGCCGCTTCAAGGACATTTTCCAGGAGATTTATGAAACCACCTACAAGAAGGACTTTGAGGCCAAGAAGATTTGGTACGAGCACCGCCTAATTGACGACATGGTCGCCCAGATGATGAAGAGCTCTGGCGGCTACATTATGGCTCTTAAGAGTACGTATTTTCCTTCTCAGCGCGGCTTGGCTTTCTACAATATGCTAGCTTGTGCCAACGCTAACATGACCAGACTACGATGGCGATGTCCAGTCCGACGTCGTCGCCCAGGGCTTCGGCTCCCTCGGCCTCATGACTTCTGTCCTCATCACGCCCGACGGCAAGACATTCGAGTCCGAGGCCGCCCATGGTACAGTCACGCGCCACTACCGCGAGCACCAAAAGGGCAACGAGACGTCGACCAACCCCATTGCCTCCATCTTTGCCTGGACCCGCGGCCTCGTACAGCGCGGCAAGCTCGACGACACCCCCGACGTCGTCGCATTCGCCGAGGCCCTCGAGCGCGCCTGCGTCGACACCGTCGACGTTGACGGCGTCATGACAAAGGATCTCGCCCTCGCCTGCGGCAAGACGGGCCGCGAGGACTACGTCACCACCGGCGAGTACCTCAACGCCGTCGAGCGTCGTCTCAAGCAAAGCTTCAGCCAGGGCAAGCTGTGAAAAAAAAAATGAAGAATCAACAACCAAAGAAGAATCCCCCAAAAGGCAGATGGAATAAAATACCGAAACAAACAATCAATATTCAACTGACCGCATTTCGTTTTTACCTCTTTAAGGCACCTCTTTGAGGGGGGGCATCTGTTGCGCTCTGAGAATATGGAGCAACTCACCCCCCACGGATACGACGCTGAACGCAGACCCGCAGAGATGTGTGCTTCTCCGGCATCGGAAGCACGCCACATGGCCAAAACATCCAAAGGACAAAAGAAAAAAAAAATAACGCATGGCGTTTATACAAAAGACTACGGAAAAATCGCGTGTGTGACGGAAGAGGATGGGATTGATTATATACCAGGTGACATTTTTCTACCATATGACCCCCCAAAGACATGGGTTTTTGAATATACATCATTTCAAGCATCTCAACGTGCACCCTGCGCAGCGGGATTCTCCATGCTCATGTTTTGAAATGTCAGAATTTTTAATGCCTCGTAGGATTGAACCAAAAAAAAAAAAAATAAGAAAACGTGTCGCTGCTAAAAGTACACACAAGACTCGTTACCCTCAACATGTCTGGTGACGAGCTCGCTTCTGCATCACGGCTCCCTTTGTTTGCGCCCGTCCCCGTGTGCTTCCCTTCTCCCTCCTTTTGGTTGCCTGTCAATAAGTTTTGCATAATCTGTCATGAATAAACTAAAACAGACTTTATTATAGAGCAGATGATTTTTTCACTCCAAGAAAGAAAACTGTTCTTGAACAAAAGTGAAGCCTCGGGAGTAACAAGAATAATCGCTTTCGAGTCCATCATGTGTTGCCTGTTTTTGGAATTCTGAAAGAGCAGCTGCCGCTCTTGCACCACTGCAACCAAGAGAAAAGTTGTCTCTCCTCAACGTAAAGAGTAACGCGAGCTGCAGACTGACGGTCCAGCAGAAATCTACTCGACCGCCTCCTTCTTCGCGCGGCGTCCGCTCGGCGTGACATCTGCGTCGCTCTTACGCTTCTTCTTGGACGGTCTGCTGGCCGAGCCACCAGGTCTGTATCCGGCGTCGTCCTTTCTCTTGCGCTTGCCGCGGCCGACGGGCGTGCCGTAGTCAGGTTCCTCTTCCATGCTAGCATCCGCGTCGCCGCCCTTGTCGCCCTTGTCGCCCTTGTCGCTCTTCTCTACAGCAGACGCGGTGGCGGCGGCGGCGGCGGCATTGCTGACGCGGGAAGAGACGCCGCTCGCGCGCTTGACCCGGGACGTCGGCTTGCCACCACGCTCAACTCGTCCGCCGCGAGACTTGCGCGCGCTGGCGCTGTTGCCGTGGGCGCTGGCGGAAGCTCCATCGGCACCACCGCCGCCGGCAGCATCGGCGTCATCGTGGGTCTCGCCGTCTTGAAGGAACACCTTGGGGGCGTGTTTGCGCAGCCAATTCGTGACGCTCGTCGGGTTCTTGAGGTGCGGGTGAGAGGAGAGGTGGCTGTTGGGGTGGGCGCGCGGCGCGAGCGTTGGAAGGTGGGCGTCGGTATCGAGGCTGCTGTCCACCGTGAAGATGTAGTCGTCGACGTCGTCGGGTGTGAGGAAACTCACCGGGTGCGACTCGCCGGCACCCAGGGTCAGGTCCTCGATGATAGGAGCGTTGGCGCTTTTGGCCGTGGCGTAGTTGGTGTGCGGCACCGCCGTCAGAAGCTCCTCGAGCTTCTTGAGGGCTGCAGCCTTTTCCGACGCATGGTTGCGATCGATGGCCAGTGTGGGAGCTTTGACGTCGCCGTTAGGCGTGAGAGCCACATCTATGCGCTTATCGAGGGGAATTTGGGGACAGTTGTTGATGTCGAGGAGGATGTCGAGGAGGCGGCTAGAAGTGTTAGAGTCAGCACTTGTGAAGCCCGCATGAATGCAATTGAATTAAAGAAAAGCAGCGTACTCGTTTTCGACGGCTAGTCGCTTTACTGTCGCCGAAGTCTTTGCTTCGTGCTTGTGCAGCTCTTCGCCGGTCTGCATCTTCTGATCAAAGACGATGCGCATCTTTCGATACTTCTTCTTCCATGACTTGTAGCCGACAGCCTTGCGCTCCGCCGAGGGCTCCGTCTTTGGTTGCAGGTCCTCCATTGAGGATGTCTATCTGTGGTTGTGTGGGGAGAAAAGAGAACGGAAGGGCTGGGGCGAGAGCTCAGCGCGTTGGGATGCGACGCTGCTGGCGTGAACAAAAGGTGTCCCCTAGTGTGGCTTCCGGCCGGCGCGGCGCGAAAAGCGCTGTTGGAATTCGACGATGGATGCGACGCGATAGCCGAATTTGATGATAAACCGGAAACAGAAGATGCCAATGCGTCTCGTTTTGATGACTGTTGAGGCGGGATGAGATAGAGAGCTTGGTGAAATAGGCAGGGAGAGGGGGGTGTGATAGATATGGAGATTGCGAGAAAAGGGTTTGCTTGAGGCGGCTCTAATCACGGGCTGTGAGCAGACACCATCGAGGGCGCTGTGGGTATCGTAGCGCACTCTATTTAGGCTGGTTGGCCGAGTAAGAGGCACCTACAGCCTACCTCTGATAGGTAGGTCTCTACGGCAGTGTGTAGGGCAAACTGTGCCATATAATATTAGGCGTAATCATAGACCGTGTGGGGCCATAAAAGAGGGTAATGTACAACTAAATATAAATAATAAAATATACAGAATCACTAATATAATTATAACTTGAATAGTTTTTTTTATTATATTATAAAAAATAGCCTTCATTATATTTTATTAAATATTAAAAGGTAAAAAATCAAATATATAATTAGATGTTATTAACATTTTTTTAATTTAAAGGTAACTAGTTTACTATATTCTAAATACAATGTTTATAATCTTTTTCATCATTAAGTCGGCTACAAAACCTGTCTCTACACTCTTCTAACGATCCTGGCCGAATGCAGCAGCTGTGCAAACCAGCTTCCCTCCGTCCTAGCTAGGGCACGCGGCGCTCCGTTCTCCATAAGCTGGCCGTTACCTGAACGAGCATCCGTTCAAACATGTCCACGACAATGCCGAGCCGATGGGAGACCATGATGACGGTGGCGTTATGAAACTCGCCCATCATTGTTTCCATCATCTTGCTCTCGGTGGCAGCGTCAATCGAGCTCGTAATTTCATCGAGGAGGAGCACGCTGGTGCCGCCAATTCTGCGCTCAAGTTCTGCACGTGCCAGGCTAAACAATTGACGCTGGCCCTGGCTCAGCGTCGAGCTTTGCAGAATTGCATCCGCGCAGTCAGGTCGCACGGGGTAAAAGTGCTATCACTGGCCGTACAGCGCATTTCTCTTGGTACCTTATTTGTCCAGCTCCGTTTAGATCGGACAGAATGCTCCGTACCAAGCAACTACTAGTTACTCGCAAGGCTGAGGAACTTTTGTCCAGCCATTATTAACACGAGTAAGTACCAGTTGGCGATTGGCATCACAGCTAAAACTGCACTTTATCTTTGAGACGCGCGGGAGGAAGAAACCATTCGTCTTTCTGCAGGCTAGTTTAATTTCAAGTGAGCGCTACATTGAACTCCAGCGTCACATCGCGTCAGATGCCCACGTGTATCCGTACCCGGTAGACTTTTCAAGACTTGACAGATTTAATTCTGCAAATATCTGCGAACCTGACACAAATTCGGGTATTTAGACCCTTGGTGCATATACAATATTATTTAGTGCTATTTTTTCCTGCAACGAAATACTGTGTGCTGATCATGCGGTGTATCAATAAGGCGTACATGTGTAAAGCGTAAGGCGTAGTACGACTGCTTACATCACCCTCTCTACACCCATGTAATGTCACTGAGCTTGTTGTTGGTCCTGATCAGGTTCAAATTACTTGTTGCTTCTCTAGCTCTGGGATGTATTTTCGGCCTCTACACTTGTATAGTAGTTGTACTTGGCCAACTGCGATTACCCCCAAGCAGCATCATGTATTCTGACCGCGACGGGACTGCTACCAAACAGTCTCAATCCGCCTACGATAGCCGCGTGCGATATCTCCGCCTTGCCACCAGTGTGCTAGTATCCATTGGCTTTGGCGCCGCAATAGCAGATGGAGAGTATGGCCGTGCTATAATTCAGTGGCCGGCCGACCCGGTCTGGGCGCTCCATTGGGATCGGTTACTTTGGGTAGGTCTGACAGCTGATGCGGCGTTGCTCATGTCCAAAATTGACCGCGCCAACGCTGTTCTGCTGTAATTTTTCTGACATTTGCATCTCTCACAGCCTATTCTCTGGCTTCACACGATTTCTCTGTATATGCAGCAAGATGCGATTTCTACTCATCACTCAGCCCTGCGCGGTGCACTCATGTCGTTAATGCTCATCGTCTTTCGACTGCTTCGCAACTCACCAGCCAGAGAGACTAGCGAGGTTGCGTTGCTCGTGCCTCTCCAACTCTTCTGTGTCATTTTATGTGTCTTGGTACAGCTTTCGATTCCACGCCGTCCTCAACTGTTCACCAATAAAGGGCATGCTGTTGATGCCGAAAGCAGCTCCTCTGTATTGGTGCGATACTCGATGTTCTGGTGCCATGCTGCACTGGACATTGCCAGCAAGTCAGATACTTTGAGCACAATGCCCGCCCTAAACTATGAAACGAGAGCTTCAAGCCAATCCGTAATTACTGTGCCATCTTCGAGACCGTATGTTTGGAATCGCATCTTGGCTGAGCGCCTTTCAACCTTTGTCAAACAGTACATTGTTGTCGCCATGCGCGCCGCTTTTGCTTTTGCGCCTCCATACTGCCTAGAACGTCTTCTTCAGTGCCTGGAAAGCTCAGAAACCGTCAGCAGCAGGGCTTGGATGTGGTTCGCGGGCATGGGAGCTTCCGCTATTGTCGAGACCGTCGCCAGCAACCACACAGCATGGACCCAGATGTCGGAGATTGGCATACCTGTCAAGGCCCAACTCATAGACTCCATCTTTCGCAAACAGCTAGGCAAGAAAGACTGCAGAGAAGAGAAAATTGCATCCACGAGAGCGTCGCAAGTTCCCGACGTCATCAATGTTGTGTCCGCCGACTCCAACGCGCTATCATTTTACGCGGCCATTGCCTACATTCTTCCCTTTCGACTGTTCAAGTTTCTTCTCGCAGTCCTGTTCCTGTACTGGCTTCTCGGATGGCAGAGCACGCTCGCTGCTGTTGTGGCAACTCTGGCATGCTTTTCTGCTCACCGTTCCACAGTCAAGCAGACAAACGCAGCGCGGAAAACGCTTCGGTCGTCTCGCGATCGCACCACGGCGGTTTTGAAGGAAGCCTTCTTTTCACTCCGTGAGATCAAATTTTCCTCTCTCGAGTCGCAATGGGAGTCGCACATAGGTGCTGTCCGCGAGCAAGAACTCCGAGATCTAAGCTGGAGCCGGACTGCTGTAACCATTCGCGGAATTTGGGATACGGCTGGGCCATTCTTGGTGGTCATCGCTGCATTATGTGCATACATGTATACCGGTGGAAGTATCACTCCGTCTATTGTGTTTCCAATGATGAATGTGCTGTACCAGCTGCAGGACACATTGAGTTTCGTTCCTACGGCGCTGAACGACTATTTCCACTCCATAGACACCTCTGGCCGCATCGACAAATATTTGGCATCTGCGGAACAACCATTACTTGCTGAGCCGTCTCCGTCTGGAAACATTATTTTTGAAAACGTTACCATTGCGTGGCCTTCAGACCATGTTAGTGAAGTTGGAGACGATATAGAATCAAAGACTGAACCCGCAAGGTTTTCGCTCCGGGATCTTAACATGGCATTTCCATTTGGCGAATTAAGTATCGTGTCTGGAAAGACAGGTTCAGGCAAAAGTTTATTGCTCGCGGGTATTCTGGACGAGGCAGAGCTTGTCCAAGGTCACATCAAGGCACCATCTGCCCAGGGATGCCCCAACTCCGTGGCATATGTGGCTCAGGTTCCCTGGCTGCACAGTGGGACAATACAGGAGAACATCCTGTTTAATAGCCCACTAGACCGAGAAAAATACAATCGAGTGATAGCCGCGTGCGCACTCGTACCCGATTTTTATGCTCTTGCCGACGGAGACCAGACGCAAATCGGCCGGCGTGGTGTCAAACTGAGTGGAGGGCAGCGCACACGAGTCGCGTTTGCTCGGGCTCTGTACTCTTCTGCAAAAACACTGATCCTCGACGACATATTCTCTACTCTAGACACACAAGTGTCAAAGGAGATTTCATGCGCTTTGACAGGGGAGATCTGCAAAGGTCGAACCAGGGTATTGGTGACGCACCACGTGTCACTGTGCTTGCCTCATGCCAAATACCTCGTTCACTTGGAAAACAGCAAGGTCTTATACTCTGGAACACCCGAATCTGCACCGAAAAGCATACTGCAAATGGACGCAGAGGACACAAAGGGGATGCGCACATCGGGACCGGCATCAGCGTCGTCTACTTTGAGCCACACGGGCGCGGCTACCAAGGTCGAAACCGGAGACGCAATTGAAAGAAAAAAAGTCTCAAAATCAGAGTGGAATTCTTACCAAAGCTATTTTATTGCTGCAGGTGGTATCAAATTCGGAGCTACCTTTGCGTTACTGCTAGTTGTAAGTCGGTTACTGAACGCGCTTACTTCGTACCTCCTGGGCCGCATCAAATCTCATGGCCCATCGAGGACTGCTTCATCAGAATTGGCCACTCTTCAAGAAGATCCTACATTGTTTTATAGCATTTCTCTGTATATCGGTGCCGTTGCGTTGGTGATTATCACAACATCGCTCTCAAAGCTCCATACAGATGCTTCAACGCTGCGAGCAGCCAGAGTTTTATTCCGTCAAATGACATTCACAGTGCTTCGAATGCCTTTGACATGGCTGGATGTAGCACCCGTTGGGGCGATGTTGAAGGCTTTTACAGTCGATGTACGATCTGTTGACGAGCTGATGCTTGCTACTCTAGCATCATTTATCGACAGCGCCATCAATGTCCTCACGGCAATTTGTATCGGGTATGAAACTTTGTCATCTATCCTGCAAGATATATATGCTAATATGTCTAGGTTGTATACTTCCAAATACACCAGTATAGCCACCATTCTGCTGGTTGCCTGGTGCAGCAAGCTCGTTTCACGCTACAAGAAAGCGAGTGCCATGGTAAGGCGCACAGATGGAGGGCCAATGGCCGATATCCTCGAGCATATAACAAGTACATCTGCGGGAATAGCCACCATAAGAGCATTCGGCGCTAGTAATACCTATATCGAGGCCATGCAGCGTTACCTTGACGCAGAGTCGACAGCGAAGCGACACTTTTACATCTTCAGTCGTTGGTTAACTTTGCAGATGAGTCTGTTGGGCATCGTGTTTGCCATGATTACGGGCGTCCTTCTTCTGACATCCGACTCTACAAACAATGTGGCACGTGTTGGATTCTCATTGACCTTTGTCATGTCGTTGAGCAACATGATTAGCACTACATTCAGCAAATTTGGCTATCTCGAATTATATATGAGTTCGATATCATCTGTCATGCAGTATACCGAGCTCGACATAGAGGATCCAAGTGGCAATGATGTTGCCGCTGACTGGCCGTCGGCGGGGCAGATTGACGTTCACGACCTACAAGTTGGCTACTCGACTAGCCTCCCACCAGCCTTGAAGTCCGTCTCCTTCCATGTCAAGCGAGGAGAAAAGGTTGGCATCGTCGGCCGCACGGGTGCTGGCAAATCAACCTTGACGCTGTCGCTCCTGCGCCTTCTGAACGTCCAAAAGGGGAGCATCAGTATCGATTCCATTGACATTTCGACTATTAAAGTTGGAGACTTACGCTCAAGGATTGGATTTATCCCCCAAGCTCCAACACTGTTCTGCGGGACTATTCGGTCCAGTTTGGATTACTTTGTGCAGCTATCTGATGGCAAAATCAACGACGCACTGCGACACGTCGGGCTTCTGGCCGAGGAAGGCGGTGCAGATTCGGGCCGCTTCACTGCCGAATCACCCGTCGCTGCGGGCGGTGAAAACATGTCGCACGGACAGAGGCAGCTGTTGTGCCTAGCCCGGATCATCCTCAAGAACCCAATGGTTATCATACTTGATGAGGCGACGTCGGCTGTGGATGGCGAGACAGATTCAATGATTCAAGACGTCATACGGAAACTATTTCACGGTACATTGATTGTGGTAGCACATCGACTGGAGACGATAGTGTCATTCGATAGAGTTTTAGTCATGGGAGATGGCACATTGCTCGAAGACGGGACTCCAGAAGAGCTAATGAACCGTAAGGGGGCGTTTTACAGTCTAGTAGAAGAAAGCCAAAATAGTTCTTTTTTGAGGAAGGCGATTATGGGTAGATAGATAGACAGTACATTGAGGCGCTGGACACATATTTACAACAAATATATTTTGCATTGCTTCTTTCCCAAGGGGGAGCGCCAAAGGCATACTCTATGAATGACGTCTTCATATGCTGGACTTATTCAAGGATTATAAGACCCGGCCTAAGATCTGGAGAATTTATTGTTTGTTCTAGCTAACTGAACAAAGAACTATCAAATTGATGGCAAGAGATTTTGGGAGTATCATGATGGTGTAAATAAAAGAGCAAATTGAAATTTATATTAAAATGTAAACTTGTTAACTTGGGCTGGGGGGTAAGATGATGCCCTTGACCGACCGCTTTTACCACCGTCTCAACCCGAAAATGGCCGAATGAGTAGCTGCATTGAGGTGTTGAACTTATAGTGTTAATTTTTTTGAGGTTTTGAGCTGTGTCTTGCCGTCGACTAAACCGTCAGTCCCTTGGTCTGCTTGCCCTGCTCCTCCTCAATCTTTCTGACGTTGATATTCTTCCAAGAGAAAACACAAACAAGACAGAGGGGCATAAAAGCGGCACCTGCAATCACCATCAAGCGCATGACGTGAGCATAAGATCCGACAACGGCATCGCGCTCAGGTGTACCATCGAGGAAAGATTGTTGAATTGTTATGTCGCCAAAAATGATGCTGGTGTTGGCTTTGCTTGCCTCGGGAAGGCGCTGGTAGAGCTGGTCGGGAATCATGTTGTTCCACATGGCGCCGGCAATGGCAATACCGATGGCCGCACCAACACCTCCAAAGAGACCGGCAATTGCATTGACGACAGCAATGTACTGGTGAGTTACGGGGGCCATGATGGCGATTGTGCTGCAAGAGCTAAAGACTTGGCTGCCCAGACCGACGAGGAACTGCGTAAAGACGAGCATGCCCACAGGCGCGCTGGGCTGGCGGAATGGAATGAGGAGCGCGGTGCCAAGCAGCATGATTGGCACGCCAGAGTAAGCCGTCCACTTGAAATCGCCAGTGTAGCTGATGATGAAGCCAATGATGGGCGCAAAGAAACAAGCAGTCAGCGAAAAGGTGTTGACAATGTAGCCGGCATCATCGATGGGCTGTCTGTTGACAACCAGGAGGTAAGAGTAAAAGTACGTGTTCCAGCAAAAAGTGGACAGGAACATGAAGCCGACGAGCAAACTCGATCCGATAATGGTTCCCTGCTTCAAGTAACGGAAAGGCAAGAATTGAACCGGCGCAAGCTTGGCCTCCCACACGTAAAAGACGGGGAAGAGAAGGACACCAAGGACCAGCAGAGCAATAATGTATGGGGTTTCCCATTTCTGAGGAGCGCGAGGAGCCAAACTAAAGGGTAAAAGCAGGAAAGACAGGGCAAACATGAGCACAAAGATGCCAACCAAGTCCAGCTCGATGGCATAAAACTTGAGCGACTGAAGCAGGGTACGGCCTGATCGCTGGCGCTTCTCGACGATGCCCTGCTTGCGCGCCTTGCGGTACATGGCCATCATCAGGCCAATGGCAGGCATGCAGCTGGCGATGAGGATGATGGTAAAGGCACCAAATGCCCAGCGAAAGTTTGACTTTTCATAAAACAGCTTGCCAATGGCGGGACCGGCAAAGGCCGTGGCGATGCGCGGGGTGTTGCTGAAGCCGATAAAGATCATGCGGTTCTTGAGGCTCGTCATGTCGGAGATGATGACGCCAATGACGTAGCGGATGCCAATGTGGCCGGCCCAGTAGAGGGTGTGGGCGGCGACGTAGGTCTCGACGTTGTGGGAGACGGCCTTCATGATCATGCCAATGACGCAGATGAGGAGCATGAAGAGAAAGCCCTCGACGCGGCCCCAAATGTCAATGACCTTGGCGAGAGCCAGCGGCGCGCATCCGCCGATGATGGTGGACAGGATGCCTCCGACGTTGAGAAGGCCGTGCTGGCCGAATGCGGAGGTGATGTAAGGGCTGAGGGCGTAATCAAGAGCGTTTTGGAGATAGTCGACAAACGAGATTAGATACAACCTGGAGCGTTTTTATGTTAGGAATTTTGCGAGATCAAGACACTAAGAGAAACCGTTGATGGAACTTGACAGAAACCGTGGTAAAACTTACAGCGCAAACATGCTCCAGAGCGTCCATTTGGTCCAGATGGTTGTGATGGCACGAACTTCGCGCACACCATCTTGAAAGTCAGACTCTGATTCGGCATCATTCTTGAGCTTGCCATCAACAGTAACGTGGGCTCCCTTTTCGGCGTCCTGGGCGGAAGTAATGTCCGGAGACTGATTTTGCCGCTTTTCTGGGGTGACGGCGTCCATTCTTTGCTCTGGGGAAGTTTCTTTGTCTTGTCAAGATGGAGGAGAGGCTACGCTCGAATAAACAAGACGAGACCAAAAAAAGGCAGAGACCAAACTAAAGTCGTCGCAGCGAAATGGCCAAACCAACAAACATGGAATAAAGAAGATTAAAAAGTAAAAAATAAACGGCGGCCAAAGGTCGGGACAACCTGCCTAAAGAATAGTTGCAAGCCTTGCAGATGAATGAATGGCCTGACCCTGTAACAAGCGCTGTGAGAATTTTTTTTTTTCTTTTTTCCCTGCTACACAGTGGAATGATGGACCGCATCTAGACGGGCTATGCGAAGCCTCAGCTGAATGGTTGCCAAGACCAGACCCTTGGCAATACTTGAGAATAGACGGTGGAAAAGTGCCAAAAGTGCAAAAAGTGTTGGGGGCTGCTGGGTTTGGGGGAGAGTAGCTCGGATGGACCCCGAGGGCTACCGAGTCTATCTTTAAGCCTAATTCTTAGGCTATTGTAAATTTTACGGAGTACGAAGTACATATGGGTAATATTACAAGGGGCTATGGGCTATACTCATCTGCGGTCGCTCGGCTTCCCATGTGAGGGCAATGCGCCGGCGTCGGAATCGCTCGATTTGGGAGCATGTAACCTTGGGTCTCCTCCTCTTTTTTCAATCACTTGGTCTCCCCTCATTTTGCAAATCCTGATGGAGCTCGTGAGCTGCCCTATCTGCCAATATCACACGTGAATTATCAATCCATATCCAGATCCTCCTGGGTGAGGGTTTCCTCTCCGCGCCACCCTTGTCTTTTTGTTGGAAAAGATCCATAACATCTTGCTCGGCAACGTGGTAATTATTTTGAATAAAAGAAAAGTCCCAGATTTGCAGATTCGCGGCTCAGCTAATTAAACACACTGAAGCCGCCTGGGGTGGCGAATCCCGTTTGTGACAGGGTTTCGTGGCGCAAAGCCAAAAATTACAAGGGGGCGTCCTTCAGCGGGCGCGAGTCATCAGCGATTGATAAGATGGATTGATTAGATTCTTTTTTTTTTTTACCTTTCTGCTGTTCAACTGACCGCGCCACGGCGCCGCCAAGACCTGCTCTCCTGAAAAAAACATGGCAACTTTAAATTCTGCAAAAGCCTTTTTTCCAAAGATTTTCACGGGCTTGAGGATCTGCGATGCTCATTGCTCTTCTTGGCGTTGCCACTTATCCATTTATTGCCGCATACAAATTTTTATACCAACTAACTAGTTAACACAACGCTCAACCCCCCCAAAACATTGTTCAAGTCGAGCCGCGTCGGCCGAGGCTCGGCCGGCGTCTTTGCTCCGCCGAGTCAATTCATTTTCAATAATTGTTAGCGAGCAAAAACTATCTGTCTGCAACTGCAGCTAGACCAAGTAACTAAGCCTTTTCGTGCATCCTATCCTCGCTGCTTTGTATCCAATCTATAACGCGAGATTATATACACGAGCACACACACACACACACACACACACACAAAAGTCAGCGAGCCACCACGATGCCCTCAGCTTCACCTTTGCCCATTACCGTCCGGGTCCTGGTTGCGGGCGGTAGCTATGCCGGCCTCGGCGTCGCAGTGAATCTGCTCGATCTCCATAATGGCGTCTCACCCCGAATGAACTGGGAGCCCTTTGTAGCAAGCAAGGATTGGCCGCAAATTAACTTTGAAGTTACTGTCGTCGACGAGAGAGATGGTTTCTGTACGTCTTATATTTTCTGTCCCTCTGCGTCGCAAGCCCATCACAAAGCCCACCTACGATGCAAATGATGCCCCTCCCCCCCTCCCAATCTAACACCTCTTTACAGTACACATTGTCGGCGCGCCTCTCGCGCTGGCAGACCAAGCCTACAGCAAAAAGGCTTGGGTCCAGTTCAAAGACATGACCGATCTCCAGCGAGAAAACATTACATTCGTCCACGGCAGCGTGTCGCATGTAGACTGCGCGGCCAAGAAGGCGACGGTCGTCCTGCACGGCACCGACGAGGCCAAGACGTTCGAGTACGACTACTTTTGCGCCGCGACCGGCTACCGCCGCGTCTGGCCCGTCGTCCCGCAGTCGCTGACCTACAAGGCGTACCTGGAGGAGACGGCGAACCACATCCAGGCGGTCGGAGTCGCCAAGCACGGCGTCCTGGTCGTGGGCGGCGGCGCCGTGGGCATCGAGATGGCCGCCGAGCTCAAGCTCTGCATGCCGCACATTAAGGTGACGCTCGCGCATTCGCGTGACAAGCTCCTGTCGTCGGAGGGGCTGAGCGACGAGTGCAAGGACGTGTCGCTTGACCTCCTCAAGGACGCTGGCGTCGAGGTACTGCTCAACCACCGTCTCGAGAGCTCCGACAAGGTCGACTCGGCCGACGGGGAGCCCAAGTACCTGGCCAAATTTACAAACGGAAGCACAATGGAGGCGAGCGTGGTTATTGTGGGTGTTTCGCAAAGTGTTCCCGCCACGGAATTCTACCCTGCTGCCGCTCTAGATGCTGATGGCAAGGTAAAAATCAGACCAAAGTAAGAAATCTGTTTTTTTTTTTTCTCTTTTTCTCTCTACCCCGGCTAGACAAATTTTGCCATTGTAATAACTCGCGCTTACATGCTACAACAAAACAGCCTGATGCTTCCCAGTGAAGTGCCCAATGCCGATGCCCATTTCTGCGCGGGCGACGCCACCAAGTGGTCCGGCATCAAGCGCTGCGGCGGCGCCATGCGTGCCGGTCACCTCGTCGCCATGAATATTCACCAGCTGGTTCTGCAAAAAGAAATTGGCCATACGCCGGTATTGGAAGAACTGGTGGAGATTCCGCCCATGATTGCCATGGCGGTGGGCAAAAAGGCCGTCTCATCAGGCCCCGAGGGCACCCACTCGGGAACAGACGTAATGGACAAGTTTTTTGGAACGGATTTGTATCTATCAGGCAAGTATTCGCGACTCCAGCCAGAAATCGTAGTAAGAAATGAATTTTTTACTAATAACAAGCTCTAGGCTGCTGGAAATGGATGGGTATACAGGTCCGAGAGGGCATACACTTGTAGAAATGACGCTGAGAAGAACAAAGACATGCGACTTATACAGTATTTTAACAGTGAGCATTGATAGAATAGAATAGATGACGAATAGACCAATTGCTCTTCTTTACCTTTGACTTTGTCGGCAGCATCTCCCTAGTCCGAGTCTATAACATGACAAATAAAAGTTTAGCGGCGCTCATATGATGGTTCGGAGCATAAACAGGGGCCGATAACGGCAGCTATTCCCGGGTTTTTTTTTTTTTTTTTTTTTTTTTTTTTGAAAAATCACCCGAGGAAGAAGAGTAGAAACAAGTCTCCCACGATTTTTACTGCCTCCTAGCTCGTGACAGGCGCCCGGCAGATGAGGCCGTGCGACACACAGCCCCGGAAATAGGGAAAAAATCTGACAGAGTCAAACTGGCATCTTCTTAGGGCAACCATAACCGGGTGGCTTAACTTTGGGCGGAGAAGAGGACCACCGGAAATTCACGGCATCCTAACTAGAGAAGCTCGCAGACCACGGTGTTGCTTTCATTACCACTTGTGGCGTGCAGGGGTTTTGAGTCTCGAGGGCGTATACTGCTTACAAGGATATCGGGGATAGGACTGTACGAATACCTGCAGAACTAATAAAGCAGCGAACCCACAGTGACTACGGATTATATTGGCAACAATGCGTACCTTGATTACAGGTCCAATGGTGGAGGGAGGCAAAGGGGGGGATCTTGTGGAAACAGGTAAGCGTAGAATTGCCTCAACTCAAGTGCAAGTGGGCTTCTTCAGTCTCTCTACCCGTCCAAGCCGTCTGTCTTGTTGTCCTTGACTAACCCAGAAATACGCAAACGCGACGCCAAACCCAAAACCCCCACTCGTGGCAACAAGTGTCCGACCGTCGTCGAGAATGACGTGACGAGGGGGTGGTGGATTTGAGTCGTTTATTAGTGATGGGGGGGACGTGGGGAGCGGCTGAGGCTGGAAAAGCGCCAGTCCCCGTAATCTAATCATATCCATCTTAACAATCTCATCTGTAAGCCTTTCCAAGACGAGCTGAGCTTTCCTTTCTTGGCCTTGTCTGCAAACTAAGCCAAGTGAACAGAGTAATAGAAGATCCAAAGTCTCTATAGAATAATTTGCTCTCGGAGCAGTCAGTCAACTGGGACACCGATACCTAGTGCGGCAGTCGACATCGGTATATGTTGTTTGCATGTTCCACGTTGTTGAACATTTTTGCAACACATCATCATCACCCAACCAACCTCTTTGTCCCCCGCCCCCGTCTAAACCCTGCCTGCCCCTCCCAGAGATCAAGAAGCTTCAGTACTCGGTACCAACATCATTTGATGCGGGTCGCAATTTATTAGAGAAAATGGAGACACAGATAGTACAACTTGGAGACGACTTTCCCTGCCACGTCGCGAGCTACAACGGGTTTCCGAGCGGCGAGCACGAGGCGCGTTTCATCTACAAGGAAATCTTTGGCGACCATTGCTACGATGTCGCGCAGCTCTCGGACCCGCGCTTCATTGTCGACGTCGGAGCCAACATTGGCCTGTTTAGCGTGTACATGAAGAAGAAGTTTCCAGCCTGCAAGATTGTCGCCTTTGAGCCTGCCCCGGACACCTTTGCCGTGCTCACCAAGAACCTCGCCCTGCACGCCGCCGTCGTGCGGACCCATCGGTATGCCCTCGGCGCGACCGCGGGTGAAGGCTCGCTGACGTTTTTCCCGCATCTGCCGGGCAACTCGACGCTGGTGCCCGACGAAAAGCGGCAGTTTCAGGATCTGCTCGGCGCCGAGGTGGGCACCAACTTTACCGACAAGATGTTTGGAGACGCCGGCAAGGTGCAGGTGCAGATTAAGCGGCTCTCGGACGTGCTGAGCGAGGAAGAAGAGGACGAGGACGAGTTTGCGGCCATTGACCTCCTCAAGGTGGACGTGGAGGGTGCCGAGCTCAACGTGCTTCAAGGTATTAGCGACGAGCACTGGGCCAAGGTGAAGAATGTGGTGCTCGAAACGTGCGACTTGAGCAGCGACAGGGAGGCGCTTAATACGCTGCTCGAGTCCAAGGGGTTTACGCTGGAAACGTCCAAGGCGGACTGGAGTCCCAAAGGCGCCCAGTTTTACACCATCATTGCGCGACGCGCCGCCAACTAGAAGTCGATTTGTTTAAAGTACTCGTTTATTTAAATTGAGGACACAATAAATTATATTTATGTGAATGAGTCAAGTTATCTGTGCTTGTGTTGTGTATGGCCAACTTCTCAAGGCAACAAGGCAACAAGGCAACAAGGCAACGCAACAAGTCCATCTCCAAAACCTCCAACCACGAAAAAAGGTGGTCTATTTCCTGCCTCTAAACACACTCTACTTTTCAAGATTGGCTGCAATCTGCAAAGCCAAAACCCGCGAAAACTGACGACACCACAGGAAGCTACCAGTCATGTACCAGAAGCCCTCTACACCCGTCGGCCGCCACCACCCGGTCCTCTCCTGCTCGGCGTCCAAGTCTCCAAACCCGACTAGCTGATTCGCCACCTCGTCGCCCATGAGCGCGCGGACATTTTCAATGTTCTTTTCAAAGCCCGTCGCCAAGACGACGACGTCCGCCTCGATGCTGGTCCCGTCGGCCAGCACCACCGCCGTCTCGCTTATCTCGCGCACGCCGTCCTCGCAGCGGTGCACCCGGATACGGCCATCCGCAATCATGGCACACGCGCCCTGATCGACATAGTAGTGGCCGCCTTTGATCAGCTGATGGTCCGCGAGCCCGTAGCCGTCGTCCCCCGTGCGCAGCGCCATGCCCGCCGCGCGCAGGCCATCGAGCAGCGCCTTGTCCATGTCCGCCGCCGCGCGCGTCAACCCGATGCTCATTGTCCGCACCACGGCAATCGGGAGCGAGTTTCCCACAATGTCCGCCTCCTCGGTCGTCAGGCCGGGCATGTTCCACAGCCCCAGCTGCAGCGTCTTCCACGAGTCGGTCGACAGGGTGAAAATGGGGTGGCGCTGCACCATGACAACTTGCTTGGCGCCGCAGTTGACAAAGTCTTGCGCAACGTCGTGGCCGCTGGTGCTGCAGCCAATGACGACGACGCGCTTCTGCGAGAGGTCCGGCACGAGGCTGCCCGACTTGCGCTGGCTCGAGTGGTAGATGGTGCCCTGGAAGCGCTCTTGGCCGGGGAACTGCGGGATGAGCGGCTTGTCGCCGTAGACGCCGGTGGCGAGCACCACGTGCCGAGGCTGAAACTCTTGCGTGCCCTGCGGTCCCTGGGCTGTAACCGTGAATCGGTCGCCGGAACGCTGGACTGATGTGACAGTGGTGTTTAGCAGCACGTCCAAGCCCATGAGCTGCGAATAGTGCTCCAAAAAGTCGGCGCATTGGCGGCCAGTTAGCCATTCGGGCCAGTTTTCTGGATACTTCATAAAGGGGTAGTGATCTGTAAAGGTTGGTGTATTGAGGGTTACCGAGTCGTAACGAGCTCTCCAGGCATCACCGACTGCAGGGTGCCTTTCAATTAAGACAGCATTGACTCCCATGTGCTTGAGACGGGCACCAAGGGAGACTCCAGCTTGGCCTGTATTGCCAACGTCGTTAGCCGTTTTCTCTCAAACTAGGTACTTTTTTTTTTCTTTCTTTTTTTTCTTTTTCTATAGAAAGAGGCTCAGTGTAAAGACGTACCTGCGCCAACAATGAGCACGTCTGCCTCCTCTCTGCTGGCATGACTGGTGCCATTGACCTGCGGCTCTTTTTCCCGTGCTGCTCGGCTCTGAAGTCGGCGGACTTCCACTTCCTTTTGACTATGCAGCTCCTCCAGCTCGGTATAGACTGTCCAGGCTTTCCAACGTGTCTCGACGTCATTCTCCAGACGCACCACGCCACGACCTTTGCCGTGCTCGTTGCGAAAGGTAAACGCCGCCTGAACCCAAGCCTGGCCCGCCCACTCAATAAGCGCAGGCTTCAGGCCGCCATTGTCGCATGCTTTGAGGTCTTTGATGGAGGCTTTGCTGTTGTTAAAAAAAGAGCCCATCTCATCCTGGCCTCGCTTTGTTGCAAAGTCCCAGGCCAAGCCCAGGACGTCTCGCCACCAGCAGTCTTTGATGAAGAGCTCCGATAAATTGTCAAAATGTTTTTGGTCGAGGCACTCCTGTAGGCGAGAGAGCCAGTCTTGTACAATGGCCTCTGCGTCAACTTTGTCTCGTGGCGTATAGAGCTTCAGCCCTGGGAGGCTGGGCAGGACGGTTCCATCCATGGTGGGCGGCACACCAAGATCGCGTCACAGTGTGGTAGAGTAAATGGCAAGCCTGTGTGTGCTGTAGTAAATTGCTAGTATGAGTGAATCACAATCAAGTACATAGAAGCTTGCTCGGAATGAACGGCCCAACTCGGGGCAATCTCTCTCTCATGTATGCAATCTTGGCCTCTTGGCCAGGGCATCGGGTTACGACGGTGTTATGTTACATGCAAATGGTCCACCCTCAGCCTCCATAAAATAACTAGGCATAGCACATGCATTTCATGCTCAAAGATCTACATGGGTGCTGCCCAGTTCTTGGCACGGCATTGCTTACCCCCTTTGCCCCTGTGACTTGTGTGATGAAATGTATCCAACTTTTTAGGTGTGACTTTTTCACCCATAGTATGGGTCCGCTTTTTAAGTTTAAAACGAAAGAAGCATTTTTGAGCACGTTTTATATCCCAAGGCCGTAAACGTGGAGTTTTTGACAGAAACAGCCAGTCTCTGTCAATGCCCAGTTCCGAGTGATACCGGATGTAAGTTGAAGATGCTCAGTACATATATCCTCCAAGAGGTTTAATTGTAAAAGATTCATCGTAGTTCTATTCTGTATTGCATTCTCCAAGTCTGTACTCGAATCATATCAAGAAACAGCTCTGGTTCCTAAGCTCGCGCATCAGCCGCGCCAGACAGCCTCAATGACGACGAAGAAGGACAACGGATTAGCCTCGAGACGAACAATATCGAAACGCTCATCGGCAGCTTTAAAAATTCCTCTCCAAGCCTCGGCTGGCCTCTCCTCGGCATTGAACAGAGCCATCATTCTCAGGTCCGTTGCCGTGCCCATCTGCTGTATCGATCGCGGCATGGGCGGCTGTCCAAGCTCCGACTCCTGCTTGCCGACAAAGTCGAGGAAGAAGACACGAGTGCCCGGGCGCATGGCCGGCACGAGGCCTCGCAAGATCTTGACACACTCCTCGTCGGGCCAGTCGTGAAGGATCAGCTTGATGAGGAAGATGTCGGGCTGCACAGTCTGAGGCTTGAAGAAATCATGAGCGACAAAGCTCACACGGTCCTTGAGCGCCTCGGGCTGGTGCTTGTTGAATGATGCCTGCGCTTCGGGAAGGTCCTCAACTACTATGCTCAGCTCCGGAAACTTCTCGGCAAGAAAGAAGGAGTCGTGCCCTCCAGAGCCGCCAATCTATTGATGGTGTTAGCTTGTGCAAAGGCACAGGCGCAGGGATTGATGAAACGATGTAGCAGGCGAGGGATGGACTTACATCTACAATCGTAGACTTTCCAAGTGCCTTCCAGTCGAAAGAGCTTTCCAAAACAGCCTCCAATCGGAAAATCTCCTTGAGATAGCGCATGAACTCGACAAAGTTCCTCTGTCTCCATCCTTTGCGGTCACCCTCGCCATCATTCTCGATATATTCCCACGACGTGGTATAATTTCCGATTGTGGCGCCCTTTTGGTGCAGCGCAAAAGCCGTCTTGGTCATGTCCTTGGTCAGCGCTGGCTGGCCGCGGGCATGCAATTCGAGCGCCTTGTTAATAGCCAGCATTGGTGCGCCGGCGTCGTCAATGACCGTCGAGACGAGCGCACGTAGGCCCGTCGACTTGACCAGCGCAGCAGACCGGCACGAATGCTGCACGCGACCGGTGACGCGATAGTCGCCCTCGGGGGAAAACAGCCTCAGAGTCAGTCCGTGCTCGACGACACGCTTGGCCACCTCTTCAGGGAGATTTGTGTGCTTGCCAATGTCAGAGATCGAGGCGGACCCCTCGAGAGGCACGGCAGACCAGAAATCAAAGTGGTTCATGAGGTTGAGCGCCATAATGTCCGGAACACACTGTGGATAGTTGTCAGTTGGCCATCTTTTTTTTTTAACCCACACACATAGCTATAGCTACCATCTTACTGTGTGAACATAATTGAAGATGCTCTCGCTGGGACCTTGAACAAGATACCACAAGTCCGTGATCTTGTCCAGGAGCTCCTGGCGACGCAGAAACATGTCGCCCGTCAAGCCTTCATAGCTGGTAGGGCTCTGGGCCGTAAAGTTGGGCTCGGGGACTTTTGCGTCTGCCAATGTTTTTGTGAAGCCGTTTGCGAGCTCCGAGATCTGAGCTGCGAGCCCATTGATGCTGTCGTCGGCACTCATGATGATTCTAGTCTTAATCTTGCTTTCCTAGTATTTCCGCTTTTGTTGTATTTCAAAAGGTTTCAGTGGCATCCCGAGTACAAAATATAGACAAGTGCCCCTGCCAAGACAAATGCAGTAGTTCTTTTCGTGTGTTTACGCGTCGAGCAAAAAATGCTGCTTCATCGGTAGCTGCCCCTCTGTCACCCGCCTTCCTTCCCGTCTCCAATCGTTGGCCTGTATGGTGGGGTATGTCATGATGCAACTTGAGCTGTCGCGCGGTTGCTAGCATCAAAAAGATCGTCGTCATGTGTCTTTGCACAATCCGTGCCACACGCTAGCCGTGAAACGGCCACTTGGAGTACTTGAGAAACCGCAAATCGTTGGCACTTTTCTTCTGATCGGCCTTCATGTCCCCGAAATAGACACTTGATTCCATCCTTTGCGTCGGATAGAAAAAAAGATAGGTAGCTTGTCCCGAGGCCCTCATGCGTTGTCGCATCTTCTGGTGTGACCGCGCACAGCTAGCGTTCCTTGGCTTTGACAGCGTGCAGCTATTTTGTTAGTTCGTAATTGTGCTGTGGATTCCTGCCAAGGGACAGAATAAAAACATGATGCGAAGAAGCTGCTACGCTTGCGCCCCCACGCTTTACCTACCGACAAAGGTTGGCAACAAATCCCTCATCTTGCCCCTCATTCTTGCCATGCCTGGAGAATTGCCCCCATCTTATCAATCTGATAATGGGTCGCCAAACTAAATAGTCCGCGTACCCCGCTTTTTACGGTTACTAAGTGGGCCACCTCATTCATCCCGGACCCCGTTACAAGAATATGTCGTGGCGTGTAAATAGAGTCTGCCATGGTAGAGCCTAGTCAGTACACTGCCACTGCAAAAGCGAAAAAGTAGGGGTATCGAACTTATCCGGCACGGTTCGGGTATACTCTGGGCTAGGCATGGTCTGGAAAAATTCTTAGAAAACAGGATTTGGGTGTAAAACAGTCTCAGCCTTCAAGCATCCGCATGCCTTGGCGTCCAGCCTCGTACAGACAAGCGACACTACCATGACCAGATGCACGCAAGCCATAGATCTATCGCGAACATATTCGAAGAAATCATAATAATTAATAACAGCATGAGCTCAGTCGAAAGCTGTGACTGAACATGTACGAGCTCGATCAAGACCGCGCCATAGCTCAAAAAGGAACAAATTGGTTCCCACTCAAGAAACGCTTTCGGAGAAACTATCCAGAGACGGCAGGTCAGACTCAAGTGGACTCTATTTATGAAATATTTAAGGTATATTTCGAAAGTGCTTGGCCCGCGCGTGGTGAGATCCAGTTGTATTTTCATGTGTTCATCCCTGCTGTTACTTGAACTGACCCGGAACGGCTGGTTCTCGTATAGTTTCAGCTTTCTGCAGTAATTTGTACGTGCAGAAGATACTAGCCGTAGCTCTATCCTTGTAACGGTTCGTCTTGGCTCAATTTGTACTTGTCTTTGCTAGCTGCAGCTTTTCCTTGCCCGTGACAACCCACATTGCCAATGTCAGTCTATAAGCCACACGAGAAGACGAGTCGAAAATACACTCGGACTCCGTAAGCAGCTAGTTTAATAGTTACCAAATACCTATTTTATATCGTTTGGATGACTGATACCTTCTGTTAGCGTATAATTGCTTGATATTCTCGCATCAGCCAAACTCTCGGCCTCGCTATCGCAGCCCTACAAGAGAAGAGAACATAATTTGTCACAGTAACAATGGCGGATGGAAAGAAAATATTAATGCTGACCAACTCTGAGCATGGTCAAGCAAACGTCTTTCTCGCCACTGCCCATGAGTTGCTGCAACTCGATCAGACGGCAAAAGTTTACATTTGCTCCTTTCCAGCGCTTGGCCCATCCGTGGACTCAATTCGCGAGCTGAACAAGGAGAAGAAACCGGCTGCTTCCAGGCTCGAGTTCATCAGCCTTTCTGATGGCCCCTCGTGGAAGGATGCCCTGTTTGGCAGGCCTGAGCATCAATTCCAAGAGCTCAACGATATTCGACCGACAGTCTGGAATGTGGCCAAGGCCGCAAAGTTGACACGCATTGCCTGCCCCTGGACCGCGGAAGAGCTTTGCAGCCTGGTCAAGGAGATTGAAAAGATTATTGAAAACGTGGATCCGGATCTGACCGTCGTTGATAATCTCTTCACACCGGCCGTGACAATCTGCTACAAGCTGAAGCCGCAATGGATGGTTCTGTCCCCAAACACTTACAAGGAGTTTGCGCTTGCCAAGCAGCCCAACCAGCAGTACTACTGGAAGTATCCTCCGTAAGTACAATATTTCTTTTCTGCCATCCCGCAAGATACATGGCACTCATTGACAGGGACTTCAAGACCGCGATCAACAATCCCGTTCCCGGTACCTTGGTATCAGATGCCGTTGGTGTGGTACATGGTGCGCAAAATGTACCTCAATCACAATGACCCTTTCATGCTCGAGCACGCAACCAAGATGAAAAAGGCCATTGATACTGATTATGCCGACTGGGCCTACATTTCCATCATCCCACCTGAAGGCCTCAAGGTGTTGCTAGCCTCGCGACCAGAAATCGATTTTCCGTTTGACGTCAAGCCCGAGCACATGATCCCCTGTGGTCCCATCATACGGCCCTCTATGCCCATTCAGGACGCCGACAGCGAGCTGGCTGGCTGGTTGGCCAAGCGGCCGACCGTCTTGGTGAATCTGGGAACACACGCTTCATACGACGAGCAGCACGCAAGAGGCATGGCCGGTGCACTGGACCAGCTTCTGGAGGCTGCCAAAAAGGGCAAAAAGCCCATCCAAGTGCTTTGGAAGCTAAACAAGCGCGACGGCTCAGATCCTTCTGGAGATTTGCTCAAGAGCTTCACGACGAAATGGCCCGAGGACCTACGTGTCGTGTCTTGGCTAGATGTGGAACCGACCAGCATCTTGGAATCTGGCCATGTCGTGTGTTCAGTCAATCATGGAGGAGCAAATTCATTCTTTGAAGCAATCAGGCAAGTGTTATACCCGCGCGCGCTCAATAAGCGATAAGCCATTGCCTCTCTCTATATTAGTTTGTCCAGCTAACAGGGAGGAAAAAAACCAGCGCCGGAGTGCCGCAGGTCATCTTGCCCGTCTGGGGCGATACGTATGACTTTGCAAAGAGAGCCGAATGGCTCGGCATTGGCAAGTTTGGCAGCTGGAATCACGCTCCAAAGGTTGAGGCGAATGAGCTGGGTCGTGCGCTCAAGCAAGTTGTTCTCGGGCCTCAGTCAAGCAAGTTCCAAGCAAAGGCTACGGAACTGGCTACCTTGTGCAGAGGGAATGGTGGAGGAAGACATACTGCCGCACAGACAATCTTGAATGCGATTGAGAAATAGTAGTGATGACGAGAGTAATAGTTAATTGGATGCTCGAGAAAATGTAGCACGAATTCGACTTTCCCGCACCATCACGAATGCGCAACCTTTTGCACATCTTCTCATAGGTCTCTTTCAACTCTGAGATTGTATATTATAAGTTTTGCAAAAGATTGAGCTATTCATAAACCTACCACTGTACTGGAAAGCGCAGCGAACAAGGCTGAAGCCGCCCAGTATCAGCTGATTCAGCAGCGAATTGAACCAATTGGAAATCATGTTATCAAGTAAAGAGGAGGAAACAAGTAATCTAAATGCTTTTCGTCTAAAAAGGCTACTGCAACATCTGCTGCATAGCGTTGAGCCGGTAGCTTTCATTCCTTTCTATCAACTCCGAATGCCGACCGCGATCAACAATCTTACCACCCTCGACAACGAAAATCATATCTGCCTTGTGCACAGTGTGAAGTCGGTGCGTAATTGCAAGAACCGTCGTTCCCTGCGTTGCTCTTTCAAGACCCTTCTGAAGCGCGGCTTCTCCAGCTGCATCGAGGGCACTGGTGCTTTCGTCCAGCAACAAGAGTCGCGGGCGCCTGACGAGGGCGCGTGCAATGGCAACACGCTGCCTTTGGCCGCCCGAAAGGCGAGATGCGGAAGGACCACAGGCTGTGTTGTAACCGTCTGGAAGGGCCATGATTTCTTCGTGAATGTTGGCTGTGCGACAAGCTTCTTCAATCTCTGCATCGCTTGCATCATGACCCGGTACTGCTCCCAACGCGACGTTGTGGCGGATAGTTCCTTCAAAGAGGGCCGGATCTTGGGGTACAAGCGCAATAACATCGCGGAACGAGTCTGGTAGAGTGGAAATATCCATGTTATCGATCAGAACTGCGCCAGAAGTGGCAGCATAGAGCCGCTGCACTAGGTTCATAATGGTACTCTTGCCAGCTCCTGAAGGTCCTACCAGGCCAACAAACTGCTTTGGCTTAATCATGAAAGACACTTGATCGAGGACAGCCACATCAGGATTGCTTGGATAGGAGAAGGAGACTTCCTTGAAGGTCACTGTCGCGCCCGTTTTCTCATGCGACAGTGGGCTTGGGGCTTTAGCCTCGGCGGATGACTCCAAATCATTTGACTCGGACAGATCCAAATTTGAGCCCATATTCACAATGGACATTACACGCGAGATTGCCAAGCGAGCCCTTGAAAACTCTGGCGCAAGGGTGAACATTGTACCCCAGAGCTGAGCACTGGTAAGCATCGCCACCAGAACAATGAGGAGGTCTCGCTGCGTGTACTCTCCCCTCATGATGAGCTGCGAACCCCACCAGTACGTCAATCCGTTGACAAAGGCAGACATTGAGTGTGACAGCGCCAGGAGAATGTTTGTCAATGCTGCCGATCGTACGATTTGCTTGGCTGGGGGCTCCAACAGGCGCTTGTACGAGTTCATGTACGTCTTTTCCAAAGAAAGCGTCGCAACCGAGCGGATCGACTGGATAGCTTCAGTGGCCAGAGAATTTGCCGTCGAGAAAGCCTCGTGGTGACGCTCCTCGAATCGCGCCAGCATACGCAGCTGCATGAAGCCACAGCCGAGCAGGATTGGAATAGTGACCAGAGTCACGAGAGCAATTTTCCAGGCATAGATGTGCGAGACTACAATGGCAATGATGATGTTGACGCAGACAGCAAAGACTGTGCCGAATGTAGAGCCACTGAACCCTCCAATCGACATGCAATCTTTGGTGATGATGGATAAGAGCCGTGTCGGTGTTCGTCCCTCAGACACATGCCACTGCAGGTTTTGCTCCAGAAGCGATCGGAAGGAGAGCTTTCGAAGTGCAAAGAGGATTCTCTCCCCAATAATTCCGAATCCCAACCAGGCGAGAAAGTTTGCCACCAGCTCGATACCACCAAGCATAAAGATCATGCCTCCAAAGAATCGACCATTGGACTTGATGCGCTCAACAGTACTCTGGCAAGGGTTGAGAGCACTGACAGTGTAGCCAAAAATGAGACCAGAGCCAGAGAAAGTGCCACCGACGATAGCAGCCGCCAAAAGTGCAATGAGCAACCATCCCAGTGACGGGCGAATCAGCCAGCTTATTCCTCGCATGACGCTACTGAATGGCGCTTTTACTGAAGTATCCTCGTCATCATCAGCTCCGGATTCCTTTTGCTCAGCCTTTGGCGCGGGCGCCTCGTCGCCATCACCGATAGTGGTTGACGTCTTGCTGACTCTGTCGTCAAAATCGTCCACGGAAGTACTGAATCGAGAGCCAGCAACATCGTTTGACCCCGAGGACCCCATCTTCTGCAGTTGAGCCAGACGAGCAAATTTACCACCCTCGATTGCCATCAATTGATCGTATGGGCCCTGCTCGACAACCTGGCCAGCTTCCATGACGACAATGTTATCGGCGCCACGAATTGTGGAAAGGCGATGTGCGATGGAGATGATTGTTCGCTTGCCAGAACTTGCCTCGCGTTCAATGGCGGCCTGGATTTTACGCTCACTCGACGAGTCAACGCTGGCAGTGGCTTCATCTAGGATCAGGATCTCGGGATCTCGGATGAGGGCTTGCGCGAGGGCAATTCGCTGACGCTGGCCACCACTCACAAAGGTACCGGAGGGACCAACAGATGTTCCGTACCCAGAGGCCAGCTTTTCGATGAATATCGAGGCGTCAGCCTTCTCAGCGGCTTCTCGCACAAGCTCAACGATACGAGCAACAGCCGGGCCCTGCGAAGATGCCCACGACATGGCATCTTGGCCTTTGGTAGCCGCCTCGGCAAGAATGGGTCCTCCAATAACATCTTTCAGGTCCTGATGTTCGGGGCGAGGGGAGTTGACCAATCCGAGGGCAATGTTCTCCAGAATAGAGCAGCCAAAGAGAGAAGGTTGCTGCTGAACAAATGTCATGGTGCTTCGAAGAGACCTCACATTGAGTTTGCAAAGATCCTGACCGCACATTTCAATCTTTCCGGCAGTCGGGTCATGTAGGCGCGCTATGAGGGACGCGACTGTCGATTTTCCACTACCTGATAGGCCGACGAGGGCTGTATGCTTTCCGGCGGGGAACTCAAGATTGACGTCTCGAAGAGCTGGCTGGCCGGGGCGCGTAGGATACTCAAAAGTGACATTTCGAAAAGCGATGGTCTTGTCGGCTTCGACGGGTAGGTGAACTCCAGACTCTGAAGTACCATCGATGGATGATGGAGTGGCAATGTCCTCCATCAGACGCTTGTAAGCCGCAACAGCACTACCCAAGAAAGGTACCAGAGGCGCCAACCCACCAAGCATCACGCATGCTATTCAGAATGTCAGTAAACGGATACAAGCTGAGAGACGTGCTTCAACTCTTACCGTCAATGAGAAGGTAAACAATGGCATAAATCTGTCCAATAGACGAGCCTCCAGTATTGTTGGCAAAAGCGGCTGCAATGCGGTTACTGCCCTGCCAGAATGCCAGTGCGTTGGCAGAGTACGCGATAAAGTATAGCATGCCAGTTTGAATAGAGGCTACGGCGGCTTTTTTTATGGCGTTGCCACGGGCCTCCGTCATGAAGTCGGTAAACATCTTTTCGAGGCGGGCGGCAGCGCCAAAGGCGTGAACGACGGGTATGTGCGACAAGGCCTCGGAAGCAATTGACGAGGCGTTGGAGGTACCCTCGTTCTGCAGGCCCATGAACTTTGCAATGTACTTGCTGCTGAGGTAGCCAGAGATGAGAAAGGCGGGCATCACAGAAATCAAGATGCCAGCCAGGCTTGGCTGTGTGGAAAAGGCAATGACGAAAACGGTAATGATGAAGCTAAAGGTCATGATGATTGTCCCAACCTTTTCCGACGTGCCCGACTGGATAGCGGCAATGTCGCTCTGCAATCGACTCGACACCTCGCCCGCAGAGCCGCGCGTGTCGAAAAAGGACGGCGGCTGGCGCAGAAGAGACGCGACGTAGTGGTTGCGCATGCGGCGGGCGAGGCGCTGACTGATGACGCCCCAGCAGGTGAGGTGGCAGTAGATGAGTACCAGCGCAATGGCGCCGATCCAGGCCGTCTTGATGACCTTGTCGTTGATGGCCGATTCGTAGCGAAAGGGGTCTTGTCCGGGGCCGTCTTGCGCGGCACATGTGGCGCTGTTGAAGTTGTCGACGAGCTGACCAAACAAGACGCCCATCAGAGGGAAAGGAACACCGGCACCGGCGGCGCATATTGTTCCTACGACGATCAAGGCGTAGTCGACGACGGTCGGTTGAGCCGCAAAGAGCAATCGAAAGTAGACAAAGAAGCCCCCAATGTCCTGTTGATTGCCCAAAAGTCAGTAAGAAGGACAGTGTAGATACGGCGACCCCCCGTGACGCGGTCGACATACCAGGTGCTTTTGCTTTTTAGACTTTTCGTCTTCTAGGGTCGCATCAACAACCCCAGCAGGAGCTGTTTGAGGACTGGTTTCCTTCTCACGCGAGGCATCGTCTTTGTTTTCGGCTGCCATGTTGCTACCAGTATGCACGCGCGTCTTCAAGACCGCAAACCAGCTTACCACAAAGCCGTGATAAAAAAAAACGGATTTGGCGAGCGAGCAGAGTGATTTGAATCCAACAGGAGGTTTTGCCTCGTCTACACCTCACGAAGACTTTAGCAGGATCAGATAAGAAAGATGCACATTCGCGCTCCTTGATTGTAGGTGATCTATTTGTGGCCACTTTTGATGGGGCTCAGGGTTGGGGGCAACTTTCACAGGGAAAAACAAAACAACATTGCGAGCGAGTGTCCCCCTCGGATTTACGATAGCCAGGGTCAGAAGAAGAATGAGGAAAATCAGCGGGCCACGGTGAGGGATATGTACCAGTATGGATGGATGGGCCTGGTAAAGGCGAACGGGATATGATTCAGAAGCTCAACTTTCAGTGGGAGGGCTTGTAACTGAAAAGACTCTGAAACTGGATAGATTGATAGGCCAAGGCAAAAAGGTATCCGTACTAATACTGACCATATGAGCATGTCTATGCGGCGCTCGGAGGATTTAGTAAAGATCATCCTGGCTCCGCGGCGGGGGGCTGGGGGCGTGAATGCGATATAAGCATAAGAATCAAATGATGGTGGACTCTTCTTGGCGGTGGAATGGAGCTCAACAACACGCTACCAAGTACAGAATGTTACAGAAGACCGCCTTGGACATCTGTTGACCTTTGTCCCTCGGCCGTTTGCGTTTCTCTCTCCCAGTGAATAGTTATTTACTCCAATTCTCCAAATGCCGAGCTGTGCGGAGCTTCCGGCAGCTCCATGGTCACCGAGACCAGACCAGACCGGCTCCAATCATGTTAAGCAATGCCTGAGGGCAAATTAAGATTTTTTTTTCCCCGTATTGGTTATCAATTATCCTTGAAGAAAACCATGTTTTTCAGCATATGAGATAACTTCTCAATTGTGCTCTAGTCAGGTTAAATTGAAAACAGTCGCCGGCGAGCTTTGCTCGAGAGAGCGGCTTGTTCTTGTCGAGCCAAAAAAAAAAAAGAAAAGAAAAACATAAAAAAATGGCAAAGCAGCGACTTTTATTCCTCACCAATTCCGAGCTCGGCCAGGCCAATGTCCATCTCGCGGTCCTCGAATGGCTTCAATCATCCAAAGCCGACGTCGAGCTGCACATTTGCTCATTCAACCCTCTGCGGCTGGCCGTCGAGGCCCTCAACGATGCAGCACAGGCGACTGGTGGACGCGATGTTGCCTTTCACGAATTGTCGGGCCCGACATGGAAAGAATGCCTCTTTAACCGTGCTGAGCATCAGTGGCAAGAAACTACGGCCTTGGCACCGACAGTATGGAATGCGTCGCGCGCCGCGGTGCTGATGCCCCGCGTGGTGGTGCCGTGGAACGCCGACGAGCTGCTCGACTTGACGCTGCAGGTCAGAGATATTGTTCAGTCGGTCGAGGCCAACCTACTCGTTGTGGATAATATTTTGACTCCTGCAATTACCGTTTGCTACAATATAAAGACGCCGTGGTGCGTCTTGTCGCCAAATACCTACCGCGAGTTCATTCTGGGCAGCCAGCCTCGATACGAGTCATTCTGGAAGCATCCGCCGTAAGTGCTTGATCAAGGTTCATCCAGCATATCTAACTTACTCTGTAACACGAATAGGACCGCATCTTTAATACCCTATCCTGTCCCATTCTACATGATCCCCGCTGCCTTGTATTACCAGCGAGAATGGCGCAAGCAAGGCCTGAGTAGTTGGGTACACAACAATGCGGTGCATCTCTGGGAAAAGACGGACAAGGAGATATTATATGGAGACTGGGGTCGCCTGTCATACGATGTCCCCAAGGGCCTCAAAATCTTCATACCCAGCAACCCGACCGTCGACTTTCCGTTCTCCGAGATACCAGAGCACATTGTTTCTTGTGGACCAATCGTGCGATCGACAGCCGCCATAGAGGAAGCCGATCCCAAGTTGGCAGCATGGTTACGGCGGCGGCCGACCGTCTACATCAATCTTGGAACGCACGTGGCGTATCAGAAAGACACCAACATGCACCTTGCGGGTGCCATCAAGTGTCTGCTCGACGCTGCAACACATCAGAAGCAGGATCTACAAGTGCTGTGGAAGGTCAACCGGGGCAAGACTGATCAGGAACCGGACCATTCCGACTTGTACAAGGAGGCTGGAGTTGTCCAAGATGACCAACGACTATTGATTGTGGATTGGTTATTGTCGGAGCCGACTTCAATCTTAAAGTCAGGCTCCGTCGTATGTTCAGTCAACCACGGTGGTGCAAACACTTACTTTGAAGCAGTCAGGTATGACGACTCCCCTCTAACAGCTTTTTTTTTTTCGGCACTTTTTTTTTTCTCAGAATGTTTAGATGAGCTGACTAAAAATCCAGCGCCGGCGTTCCGCAAATTGTCCTGCCAGTGTGGCTCGACACTTATGATTTCGCTCGACGAGTAGAGTATTTTGGGATTGGCAAGATTGGCAACTATCACCATGCGCCGCAATGCAGTAAAACTGAGCTGGCACCAATTTTGGTAGAGGTCGTGCTTGGAAAAACCGCAAAGGCCATGCGCCAAAAGGCAGCAGAAATGGCAGCGGCATGCAGCGCAAATGGGCCTGGCTGCGAGATTGCTGCAAGAGGTATCCTAAATTTGCTGGCAGAAAATCAAGGGGAATAGAAGATATATCCAAGTTTAGCAAGTTGAAGACACTTTCCGTAACTGTCCGCTGGTTTGGATACCTTCCAACCATTTACCTCAGGTCAATGAGATGAGCAACTTCGCCAAGACGAGTTCGTAGCGTGGAGGAAACACCAAAATGAACCAGTGCGCCGGACACTGTTGATGAGAAACATTTGATATGGTAATATTTACTGCTCTGCTCTGTAATTAATTATGACGAAAGCTCCTTCCCGAGACGCTCTAGCTCCTCCGAAATAAATGCCCGGGCATTCAGCAGCTCTGTACTGCCGTATACAACCCTCTTCTTCGTCTTTTCGCCGCCAGCTCGTGTGACCCATTCTTGCAGGTTGCCATACTCTTCCATGCTGCCACCACCGACCGTGAACACGACAGCCTCGCTGAAGCCCTGCCTTCTTTGGCCAAAGCTTGCGGCCTGTCCAGGGCCAGCTTGGCCAGGCATGCCGCCAGGCGCGTTTCCGCCGGTACGCATGGTGCTGGGGGGCGGCAGTGTACCGCGAGCGTTTGCGGATCGCGGATCAAAGTACAAGTAATGCTCTGTCTTGGCAATGGCCGAAGAGGAAGCCGTAGCAGGCTCCATAATAGACTCTACAATCTTGGTAATGGTAAGATCTCGGTCGGCGGGAAGGAAGTTCTTGACGCCGCTAATCAGAGACTCGAAATTAGATGACAGGCCAGTCGGCACGCCAGTTTCTTTCAAACGGTCGGTCAGGCGCGAGGAAATAGACGAAAATCTACCAAACAGGTCGGAAGACGCAGTTTGATTCGAGTTGTTGTTGATTGTCGTAAGCTGTGTCATTTTCGTCGTGGCACGAACCCTGTGCCATGTTAGCCGGGAATAGTCACTGGCAGTGCATCCATTACTTACTGTCGAACATAGGACAAGGACGAAACATCAGCTCCAGCCTCAGCAAGCGCCTTCTCAAACGACTCAAAGTCGGCCCGAGCTACCTCTTGCTCTGTGCTCAGAAACCATATGACAAACAGTCGTAGTTTATCTGTGGAATCATTGCCCTTGTTCTGATCCTTGATGATTTCCATGATCTGAGCCTTGGTCTGCTTCATCACATTTTCTTCCACCTGGAAGAAATTGTCCAACTGACGGTCCTTGATTCCGGACAATAGCGCCGCCAATATGTTCATGTGCATGTCAAGCACACCCTTTCGTTCTCTCATCTCAGGAAGAAGTGTTATTGCTGCCTTGAGATGTTGAGCGCTGGCGCTAGTATCGTTCTGCAAGTCTTCCAAACTTGAAACACCAGTCTTTTTCGTTATGGCTGCCGTCTCCTCTTTGTATTTTGTGAGCTCGGCGTCAATGTCCTCGGCAACTTGAGGGAAAGGTACGAGCGCATTTTTGGCCCAGAAGAAGTCGCTAGCGTTCAGGTCATAAGCTTTCTTTGAAGTACCTCTGCTGGGGTTACTTTCGTCAACCGGAGTTTCGATGGTAATGCGGTTGAGCTTCATGTTCAGAACGTCGTGGACCAGTGACTGGTATGTCCAAGAGTGAGAGAGCATCGGTATCAAGTCGACGTTGCGATCGAGTAGGATGAGAACCGGTCTTGACTGTGGCGTACTGGCTGCTGCTGATCGCGAATTCGAAAACAGGTTATCTTTGGAGTTGAGGATATGGTCGCGAAGCTTTCGGTCAAGCCTCTGTGCTACCATTTCGGCAGCGGCGCCCTTTGGACAGCGGATGATGGGAATGACACCTGAATACGATCGTCATTAATTGAATCGACACAAAATGTTTTTGCCCTGGTGCATGCTTACCCATGGTGACAATGACGCTAAAGAGACCGCTGACTATTCTGTCGACGACAGCTTCTAATTGTTCGTCGCTCGTCTTGGCGCTATTCAGAGCCCAGTAAGTGTGTTCCTTTTGCATGCCCAAGCTGAACAGATCTGGCTCAGCCACAATAAAGTTCAGATACTGGTCAAACAACTGCGCAATGTTCTCCGAGGTTCCGGCTGTGGCAGTCTGCATGGCGAAATCCTCAAGAACGACGCGAGGCATGGACGAAAGCAAGTTGATGTAGGCAGGTGAATAAAGGCCCTTTTGTAGATCGTTGGTAATGGCCTGCATATTTTGTGGTGAAGGCTCGAGCAGGTAAATGACTGGTACGTCGGGAATTTGGTGTCGGACTGTTCCAATGTGCCTATCCATGGTTAGCCGGCCAGCGGAGAAGGGCGATGTGATTACACATACATGTGCATGGTGACGCCCATTGATCGCAGGTCGCTCACACGCATTACACTGCTGATAACATCTCTTCCCAGGTCATCGAAGACAAGGACTTTCCAGATCGGATTGCCATCGGCGTCTAGAATAGGTGCTACTGGTGCCAGGAGGCCATTGGCATGGACCTCTTCACCTTCGCTCGAGTCGACCGTCTCGTTGAGGTTGAGAATCTTTTTCAAAGAAGCTGTACTCTATATTAGCATCATTGAAACGGAATATTGCCGCACCCTCGCTGGCATACCAATCTGGCGATCGCGCAGACTGTTTCCTTTGGTCGCCATGGTTAACACTGGCCCTGGAAAAGTAGTAGCGGTCTGGTTAAGGGTTGCAAATGTATTCGCAACAGTGAACTAGGAAGCCAATCCGAAAGTGCTGCCAAGCTAAACAAAGACGAATTTCATGCGCAAGGCGCTAAGCGACATAAGTTGGTGTTGTCGTGCAAGAGGCCACGATGACAGCTCTGAAGCAGACAAGTTGTTGGAGCTCGAACCCCACCAAAACGTAACTGGAGCGGGTGGCGGTTGGAAGCTCTGGCGGAGGTTCACTGTAGAGTTCACCTGCCACCAGCCTCGGATTACAGTGGATGTTGTCCTTGTGACGGGCTAGACTTTGCAGCAAAACATGCCAATGATGCGCTGTAACCTCGCCGCAGCGGACTTTTAGCGTGGACGAAATTCAAAGCCACGGGCACCAGCCACATCAAAGCTTTGATGCCTCATTTACCAGGCACACAACGCGGACTCCCTTTCTTACTTTTCGTGCCCAGCTGCAGCTTTCTAGCGATCACATCTCCCCATCATCCGCGACATCAACAACTAGCCCTCCGGTCGCAATTAATCTAGCGTCGCGAGGTCTCGTGAGGCTCACGGCGCCGCAGATAATTACTGCTGCCGATACTGGTGTCGCGCCCGATCCTACATATTTGTCCTTCGCAGTATTGAAGCTGCAGTCACGGCGTTTGTCAAGGCTAGGCACCTGCGCAGGCTTCATATACTGTAAACCATCACGAGAGGTCATCGATTGCGCAACCTCATCCACCCAGATCGCATCATTCGTTTAAACTGCCTTGCACAGGAGGATCAATTGGGTATGCTTCTCTTTTATTCCCTCCTGGCTACTGATCCTCTTCCCACACCCGCACCCGATGTCCCAGGCACCGTTCGCTGCCGCGCCTGCTGCATAAATCGAATTCATCGATTGTATATTGTGATTTCTGGCGTCTTGTGGATAAACACGTCGAGATTAAAGCGTTGGCCAATTAAACTAGCAACAAGGCAACAAGTTGAAAGCTCGCTCTCGTGCCGCGTCTTGGTCGCAACACTGGTGTTTCCTTGACTAGCGCAGTCGAGGTGAAAGTCGAAGAGAAGGAAGACCGGGAGCCAGTATCGCAAGTATCCCCGTGGTTCTGTACTGTGCCATCTCAGACCTTTTCGCGCTTCGCCTCGATGTGCCTCTGGTCGCGTGCTACAGCACGAGAGTCTTGGCATGCAACTACGAGTTGCGCCTAGGCGTTCGCCGTGGTGTATCTCGCTGGAGGCATAGGCAGAACAACAGCTGCAGGAACCATTCTACGGTTGGCGTCTGACACAAACCTTTAATCAATCTCCCCATTTCATCGCACAATACGATTGGCAGCTCGCCAAGTTATTTTGCTCTCAACAACTACAGCCTTGCGCTGTCGGTCGCAATCCCAAGTGTAGCGACCCAGGTTGTGCGAAATATTTGCAACGGGACAACGCGGCCAACCGGCGCAGCTACAGTCTTCTCTACGACTCATTTTTCCATACACCAATGATCACCGCCAATACCACATAAAACTTCTCAGGCTAATCCTCCCTTTTCTCAGATCGCTGTCGCCCTGGCTCTTCACGAGTGCAAGCCTTGTACCTTTGTACCCCCGATTTGGAATAGCGCGCTTCACCACACCACCCTCCTTGTCCACAAGTATTGTTGTACCAAACCAACGCGGGTAAGTACCTGTCGCTCTCCTCTCTTCCGCAGCTCCCCATCTTTACCTGAAATGGCTTCGTCACGGAGTCCATGTTGGTTCTGTCCACACCATTGCACCGTTGCCCTGTGGATACAGATAAGAAACTGGTTTACTGATGCTAGTTCATAGTAATAGCTTTTTTTTCTTTCTCGATACGCTGATGCACTGTTCATGCTGCCATATATAATTCTCTCTGGTTAAAATGCAGTCGTGGTCTAACCCCAGCCAAGACGACGGCAACGGGCAGCAGGATGCATGGCAATCTAGCTTTGGCTATGGCGACGAAGGAGCCGCTTTCGATCCGAACCAGCAATGGGCCCAGCATATAGCAGGCCATCCGACCGACTTTTCAGACTTTCACCAAGACCCTGCGACATTCTTCGACGCGTCTGCTGCACCTGCCAATCCTTACATGCAAACACAGTCGCTACATGCCAGTTCCACGAACCAACCGACGTTCCAGACACAACAGTATGGTCAACAGGGACAGGATGTCATTGATCCTGCTTTCCATAATGTACATCCCAATTTGTATGCACATGGAGCCAAGCCGAATGCGGGAGGCAATGTCGATCAGTTGGACGGAGGGCAAGCGTACGCCCAGCATAACTATCCTTACCCTCCTCAAGAAAACGGAGCGTTCCGCCAACAACCGCAACAATTTCCCCAAGCGCACTTGCAGCAACATCAAGTCAACCGTCAGCCAGAGCAGCATGGTGCGTTCGCACAAAATCAGCAGGTAGCAGCTCAGCCACAGGGTGCATTTTCTCACAGCTCAGGCCATGCATCTAGTAGTCAGACGCAGTATCAAACCGACCCCCGCCTGAGCTATACCACAGAAAGGCAGCAATTTTCACTGCAGAATGAGCAACTTGATGCACAACAGCCATCGAGACAGGCTTATCGAGATGGGATGCATACCTTTCATGCACAACCAGCCGCTATTCAACAAAATTCGATGCAGCAAAATGCGCCCTACATGCCAAATGCTTATCCATCTGTTGACGCGGCGGGTTCCGCCATCAAGAAGAGAAAGAGATCTGCAAACTCGGGTTCTGAAGGCTCGCAGGATTCAACGCCAGAGGTATCAGGAAAGAAGGCAGAAGACATGGACGGCTTTCCTGCTCCCGTACCCTCGGCTGAAGACCAAGATCAGCTCATCAAATTCAATAAGCGCGGCAAAACCGCCCAAGCCAAATACCCATCAATAAAAGGTCTGCCACACCTCGTGTTTGACGGAAGTATGAAGATGCCGGCTCCTAAGAGCTATGATAAGCTTGCACCCCTCGTCACGCTACCACCTCGATCCGGCAAGGCCATGATACCCGAATTGGGCTATAGCCTACCTTGCGAAATTCAAGGAAGGTTCACGAGCCAGTACCGCCCGGCACCCGACCGAGCAGGCCTGAATGAGAGACGTATGGAAGCAAAGGATCTCCTGGACCAATTCGAAGCGTCTATGAAGGCTATGGGCAAGCGTCGACCCAAGTACACAGAGTATCCGCATGCGTTCAAGGAGCAGATGAAATCAGACGAGGCTGTCAAGAACAAAGCTGGAAAAAAGGCGAAAAAGGAGCTGGAAGGTGACCAAAGCAAGCCTATTCGTTCCGCTGTGAGGCCGACAGATCCTGTGGAGGCAGCAAGCTGGGACGCTATCGGTATTGTGCATATTGATCCTTCCGTTGCCCGTACTAGCTCGTCGATTGCGCAGCGCGTGCAACAGGCCGGTGACCTATTCATTAAACTAAGAGGCGATATGAACAAGGCGAAACAGGAGCTTGACCTAATGATCAAGGACAAAAAACCAGAACCCGAAGTTGCAGCAAGCAAAGCCGATTATGAACAGAAGAAGGAAGCATTTTATCGTGCCCTGGACTCAACAGTGGAGTATGCTGACGACGCCGTCTTGGATAATCTGGGCGGCCATCAAAAACTTATTCTCAGCCTGATCAATGCTTTAATATCTTGCATCAAGGCGGCTGATTTTACAGGCAAACTCCCCAAGATTGTTCTTGAGCTCATCTCGCTCTTCCGCATGACCAAGAAGATTATTGACACCACAAACTTCGAAACTGTGCGCAAGCGCTTCGGTGACAAGGGTGACGCGGACATCAAGGAGATCATTCAAGACATCAATGCCAAGATCAAAAAGGTCACGAAAGCAAGCGAGTCTGAGACAGCTACTGGCTATACGGGCACATCAGCCGCTAGTAGGGCAAAGGCGGTAGCCAAACCAGCTTCTGATGCGACGACGAAGCGAAGTCGGGAAGACGACTCGGACAGCCGAACCGTCAAGAAGGTTGTTGTTGAGCTACCGGGCAGCTCTCTACTGAAGAAACTTGCCCAACCGAAGGCGCAACCGCAAGCAATCTCTAAGCCCGCTGCAAGTTCCATTTTGCCCGGCAAAAGCAGACCAGCTGTCAAACCCGTCCCCAAGTCAGAAGTTGCAGCCAGTGCAAGTAGCCCTGCACCTTCTAGTGACGAGAAGTCAAAGATCTCGGTCCGTAAAGTATCCGACAGCAAGACCGAGCCAGCGAAGGTGTCAGTGCCGAAGCCAGCGCCGACGGCAACATCTAGTGCACTGTCTGGCATTGCATCACTTCTGGACTCAATCAATGCACCAAAGGCTGAAGCTGCTGCTGCTGCCACTGCCACTAAGGAGGCTGAAGTCGAAGACGACAGCGAGCCTCCTGCGGCAAAGGCGAAGAGGCTGCGAAAGTTGGAGCGTCGCAAACTGCGTGTTACGTGGAAGCCGGATCATGACCTTGTTCAAGTCAGGATTTTCCAGAAGGACGATAACGAAGATGAAGGACGCGCCATGAATATGATTCGCGATGCAGCCGATGACAAGTCTGAAGGCATGATGCTGAAGCAGCGTGTCGGGATGGATGAGGATGAGGACGATGACGATGTCCCGTACCAACCATGGACTGGCCCTGTAGAAACGGACTTTTCTGGGCTAACAGCAGATACGAGAAGCAAGAATTTTATCACTCGTGGTGGTACCGTTGACTTTTCGACTGAAGAGCAGAAGCGTATCGCTGAAAGAGAGCAACGGGAATTGATGGCTATATACACCGACCCCAATGATATTCCGCCAACGCCGAAATCACCCCCTCTGGATGCCACGAAGCCTACTGTTGCTGGCAAAGTTGGGCAGCTACCAAGTGAAGATCCCAAGTTTGCTGAAATTCAGCGACGCTGGGCCGATGAGCAGCAAATGGGTGTGGACCAGGCATTGCTTGCGGCAGTGCAGCGTCTTGATGCCAAGCAAGGTCCTGTCAACAAGCTCGATGCGATTCTTGGACGCCTCAAGAACAACAATTCTGCCTCATACGCGAATCAGCCGACCTCAGCTCCCGCTGCGGCCCAGCAGCCTATTTCGATCGCAGCAAGCAACGTTCCCCTGATTGCTGGCCTCGCAGCAGAAGAGGGTATCCTTGCGTGGCTGCGTTCAGACAAGATTGCTGCTTGGCGCGACCCAAACCCCGTCTATGGAGATCTCTCACAGCCATATAGATACGCTGACGCCACTACACAGGCTGCCGGCCAGGTTATCGAGGCTGTTGCGCAGTACCTAACAGGGAAGCCATACCCGGCCAACGCCCCTCCAGATTGGATGCTTCAGTACGAAGACAAGGTCAAAGAGTGGTGGTTTGGCTACAACAAGGAAGCACCAGCGAGGCAACGCAGAGAAGATGAAAGACGTGCCAGAGCTGCAGCAGATGCTGGACCGGCGGCTCTTGCACAGAGCATGCAAAACTGGTCCTACGCACAGCAGCAAGAATATGCACCTTACTTGGCCATCCTGCAGCAGATGAATGGCGGCAACTCAGCAGCAGCAATACCGCCTGCGCCTGCGCCTGCGCCTGCACCTCAGCAACATGGTCATATTAATGACAGTCAGCTGCATTCCATCTTGTCCGCCATCAACCAGGGTCCACAACAATCATCCCAACCCAGCAGCGATGCTGCATACCAGATGATGATGCAAATGGCACAAGGACAAGTATCACAGCAGCAGCAGCAGTCGCAGCTACAGGCACAGGCGTCGGGCGGAGACAAGGAACGTGATTGGGAGCGGGATGATGACCGGGATCAGGATCGAGGACGAGGACGAGAGTGGGATCGGGATCGCAGCCGTAACGACAACAACCGAGACGACTCATACCGCGAGAATCGGAAAAAGACGAAGGCGACGCTGCCGCCGCATAAACCGGCCAACAAGGCTTTGATCGGCACCAAGGCGTGCACGTTTTGGCAGCAGGGCAAGTGTGCTCGTGGTGACCAGTGCACATTCCGACACGACTGAGGTTTTTTGCGAGTATTTCTAATGGAGTAAGGAGGGCGGAAAGCATCATATCTTGGCGTTTGGGCATCTAAAGCTACATCCAATATCTGGGTTGGTTGGTTTCCATTGCTTTTTTTGTATTTTTCATTTTCTACCATGGGATATGAAGGTCCCAGAAATGAATCTGTAACATCATCAAGAATTCTTTTTTTTTCTTTTTCCACGTGGGCTTTATCCAAGGTGAACAATATTATTGCTATGCTGGAGGTGGACGGCTTGGGATCTATTTGTGTTGCTGTACAGGTTGGCCTGAATTGACGCCTTTGCAGCACTTTTATTCTTACTTGATAGCCAATACTAGATGATGATTCGAAACTACCTATAGACAGATTTCACTAGATTGTTCTTTTATTCCGACTTCATCTCGGCATCCGCCGCACCTGGTCTCGGCACCAGGCCGCGCAGGCTCAAGTCGTAGACGACATCCTCGACCCTCTTGACGTCGTACTTGACGGCATCGGCCCTCTTGCGGAGAATGTCATTCTTGAGATTGAGCAGTTGGAAGCCGGCAAACAGGTCCTTTAGAAAGGCGCTAACGGTCAGCGGCAGCGCAAAGTCGCCGAGGGTGACGGCGTTGGTGGCGAGACGGCCGAGCTCCTGCGTCAGGTCCGTCAGGGCAAGCAGGTATTCTTCGATGGTGAGGTGAAAGGCGTCGCGGTCCTTGAGGTTAGTGGGCACGGCAAAGACGGTGCCAACCTGCTCGAGCGTGAGCAGCTGGCCAAGGTCGGAGGAGCCGTTGGTGAGGGCGGCGAAGCCCCCGAGCCAGGCGGTGTAGAGGACGGTACCGATGGCGTTTTGCATGATGCGCGCCCAGCGCGAGTTGTACCTGAAAGTTTCAAAGGTCAGCTGGTGAGCGCAGAGTGAAGGGAAAAAAAAGCAGGTGGGCGACGAAACTTGTAGTAGGGGTGCTTGGAGGCGAGCTCGTTGAGCTCGGCTACGATGACGGCTTCATCTTTGACGGCGGCCTCGAGCTGCGTCACCAATTGAGGATCTGGGTAGTTCATTGGTCAGCCGCGCGGGGGTAAAGGGGAGGATGCGTAAAAATGAGAAGAAGCGGAAAAGACGGACAGCTGGCGCGCGGCGTCGAGTGCACCTTTGTGAGCAGGCCTTGAGCGGCGCCGACGGAACGCTCGAGGCGCTGGAGGATCTGTGTGAGGGCGTCACGGATGCGCGTCTCCTCTTCGAGCTTGGACTCGAGGCTGGAAAAGATGGACGGATCGAGGAGGGAGTGCTGTGACATGGCTGCGTTGTGTGAGTTGTGTGTATGTGTGTGTGTGTGTGCGGTTGGAGGTGGTGAGGCGTTGTTGTGGCGTGAATGGCCGTGGGGGCGTCTGGAGCGGGCCTGAACGGATGAGAGATGCGATGTAGGCAGATCAGAGTCTAGAATACGTAGCAAAAGGTATTGCTTGATGATGGGGGTGCAGGGCAACTCCGGGGGATGTTGTAATCAGGCTTGGGTGATGCAGGTGGGTTTGCGGTTGGGGTGATGGCAGAGATTTTTGGTGGTGACGATGGCTCGTTGGCTGTTTTTGCTGGACTCGAATGCTGGGCGGTGATTCGAACACGCATACGATGTCTACACTAGCTTTGTAATGTATAAAAAATACAAAAAACTGAGAGGTTTTTCAGGAGTGGATTACGAAATAAACATATGAGACTTGAAAAGACCAATCGAAATTGTTTTCTACTATTGAACAATGCCAGTGTTGGTGCGTTGCGCGAACCTACAGCAGCGGCGTCCATCTTCTATCACAAGCTGCGGCCATAGTCAATTATAACCGGTGAGTTGTCGTGCATGAAGCCATCTTTTTTTTTAGCTCAATGCATATTTTTGCAACCAAGTTGTTTGAAAGTTCCAGCAGCTTCGAAATTCAATGTTGCGGGCGCAAGTAAGACTGCGAGAAGCCGTACCGGTGTGAGATGGAGCAAACAAACAAAATCGCGGAATTATTTCCAGCACCATTTATTGATGGCTTTGGTGAGTTTTCACCAACTTTGATGCATCTCCAGCATTGAAATCAGAATGTTTCGGTGAGTCCGATCAATGATGCCAATTTGTTCCTTGTCGGAGCCGAAATGGATGGCTGGCACGGGGCCAGTGCAGAGAACAATACTATGCTATTGGGCGCGGTTGGGAAGGAAATACATCTCCAAAGCAATCCATTATAGGAGCTAATGGGCTGCGCATCGATCGCTCTGACTACTGTGTGGCATCTCGATAGGATTGTCACATTTGCATCGAGGCAACAGAGGGGTTGGTAGAGGCGCTGATAGCCGGGCTACCCGCGACTTCGATACAGATCACAGAAAGCTTTACTAGTTACCATCTTCTAGCCCCTCTACTGCTAGTTGAGTATTCAAGTTGGGAGCTTGGAGGGATTCCCGCAGTTTACTGGGCTACACAACGATGCAAAGAGCCAAGCAAGCGGGAAAGCCCGTTCTTATTTCCTCTCTCTCTTCATGCACAAAGCAGCCCTCGTCGAGTAATTGCATTCTCTCCTAATCTCGGCGACCTCCTCGGTCTATATATGTCTGTCGTGCAATAGTGGTGATTTCGTAGGGCTGAGATTCCAGGAGCTGCCCTGATGACGAGGATAACACAGGTATATCAGAACCGCAAGATTTTCCCAAGGCATTTGCCAAATCCCGGCAGCTAACGTGACTCTGTTTGGGCCGTCGCCCAGGTTCAGTCGCACCAGCACCTTCTGTCAACCAACACGCGTCCAATCAACCAGTCATGCACCCATGGAGCGTCTGGATTGTCCAAAACTCAAGTTCCTAGACATGATAATTACACGATCACATGTATCACCGCCAAGTCTCATCCAAACCAACCAGATGCCATTCCGTCCCTCCCTCTCGGACTTGCCGTCCTGGTACCCGGCTGGAGATGGGTTACACAAGAGAGGGACCCCAACCAACCAACAATTGATGGCAAAATCATTTGCCTGAGAAATCCACATCACATCTCTCTGACCCCTGCCCATTGGGCCAGTGCCTGTAGCAATACGGTCAAGAGGTACTCCGTACTCCGTACCAAAGACGATGCCCGCACCAACTTGGACGCCCGAGGGGGCCATGCATCATGATTTGCCAAGGCTGACACTTCTCTTGCAAGGCTGCAGCATGCACGTGTGTGTGAATGAAAGGCACACAAACGAAAACAATCGATTTGACATTTTCTGGCTGGTTCCGCCCTCGATCTGTCGCACAGCAAGACCGTTATATAGGACCTGTCGGCTCCCCCCCCCCTCTCTTCCTTCGCACAGCAGCCGATCGCCCAGTCTTGTGCTGCCTCTGCATCGCGAATCAGAAACATGACTACGAATTACATCTCACGCCTCTCCCGCAGCGTCTGCCTCGTCGCGCTGGCCTTCGCCGCCGCCGCCGCCGCTCACGCCCATCCCGCCACCACGCCCGCCGTCGCGCGGCTCACCATTGGCCTCGTCCCCGGCGACGATGCCCTCCTCCAGCAGACCGTCCAGGAGCTGTCCGACCCCACGCACCCCCGCTACGGCCAGTACCTCTCCCGCGAGGCGGCGCTCGACCTGCTGCAGCCGGACCCAGAGTCCCTCGACGCGGTCAGGGCGTGGCTCCGCGACGCCGGGGGGTTACACGACGAGGACCTCGAGCGGCGCGGGCAGTTTCTGCACGCCAACGTATCGGCCAGCCAGGTGGCGTTGCTGCTCGTGAAGCGGGACGGCGACGGCGCGGAGAGTGGTCTGTCTGGCGCGTTTGCCGTCGCCGACGAGGCGGCCCGAAAGCACATTCGCATCGTGCACCTCGATAACCTCAACCGTGGCGTGCTGCAGAGCCGATGGCACGCGTTGCACGCCGTCGAGTCCTCGCAGCAGCCGGTACCGCCGCCAAGCAAGGATGTGCTGAAGACGGTCATGGACCGCTGCGAGGGCAGGATCACGCCGGCTTGTCTGCGAAAAAGGTACCAAATGGACAACGTTCCATCAACGCCAAAGAAGACGATTCTCGGCGTCTTGGGTTTTGGAGGGGCAAGTTTTACCCTCTCTTTTCATCTCAACTTGCACATGCTGGACAAGGAAATTCTGACGTGAGATGCTTTTTAGCAAACGGCGCAATACGCAGATCTCGACCTCTTCCTCAGAAACTTGGACCCAACAAGGGTCGGCTCCAACTTTACCGAGGCCCTTCTCAACGGCGGCCAAAACCAGCAAGGCCACTATCCTGCCGCAGAAGGTAATCTCGATATCCAGTACGCCGTGGCCTTGGCCGGCGCCAATGTCGACGTGCGCTTCCTTTCTGTCGGCGGCAGAAATCTAGACTTTATTCCCGATCTCGAGTCCGTACCTCCCTCTCGTCCATGTTTCTCCAACTCAAACCCCAATTAGCTAACACGCAAAAAAACAATCCAGCCTCCCCAAGGGCAAAAAGAGCTTTACAGAGCCCTATCTCGAGCTCGTCACCGCCCTCGCCGCGCTTCCGTCCGTGGAACTCCCCTCCGTGCTCTCCATCTCGTACGGCGTCAACGAGCAGCTCCTCTCCAGGGACTATACGCGGCACGTCTGCGACGTCTTTGGTCAGCTCGCCACGCGCGGCGTCTCCGTGCTCGCCGCCTCGGGCGACGCCGGCCCGGGCCAGTCATGCCAGACCAACGACGGCTCCGGCGGCACGCGCTTCCTGCCTGCGTTCCCCGCCAGCTGCCCCTACGTCACTGCCGTGGGCGCCACGCGCGCCGTAGGATCCCTCCGCGACGAGACGGCGTCCGACTTTTCCGGCGGCGGCTTCTCGGAGCATTTTGCGCGGCCGGCGTACCAGGACGGCGAGGTCGACGCGTACCTGGCAAAGCACGGCGCGGAGTGGAACGGGCTGTATAATCCCGACGGCCGCGGGATACCAGACGTGGCGGCGCTGGGCCACGATTATCAAGTCTACTCTCACGGCAAAGTTGAGAGTGCTGATGGAACAAGGTGCGTCGAGAAAAAAAAAATAATCGAAAAAAAAGCATCGTCTCGGCGAGAGACTTGAAACTAACTTGCAGCAGCGCTTCGACACCCGTCTTGGCCGCCATGGTTGCTGTTCTCAACAGCCTCCGCGCCCAAAAGGGAAAGCCGACAATGGGGTTTCTCAACACCTGGCTGTATAAAGCAAGCCGCTTCGCCTTTGATGAGTACGCATCAATCTTCTTCCCGCCTTCTGTCCCGAGTCCAACTAACCTCGCGGGCAGCATCACGACCGGAAAGACGAGCGGCTGCCTAGGAACTTCCTACGCGGGCCTGGGTTCCCCCAAAGTAGAGGGCGCTGGCTGGCCGGCCGACTGGGGCTGGGATGCCGCGACAGGCTTGGGGACGCCCAATTTTGCTCGTTTCCGGCGCTTGGCCTGTGTGTAGAGCAGAACCAAGGGAACATGGTATAGTATGTCGGGTGTGTAAACCGGAGTCAAGGTGGGTAAAGAAGATAATCGGTAATGGTGCATAACGCTGATGGGCGTACGGCACAGAATCAGAATCGTTTTCGGCATTTTTATAAATTACTTGATCGGTTTAGATTCAATGCATCTATTCAACAGCTTTTCAAAGGTTCTCCGAAGGTACAGACACACAGCAGCATGAAGTCTCCCTCGACGCCAGCACTCCGCTGAACCCAACTATTCGTGACAAGTGTGAAATGGAAAGAGAACAGAAACAAAAAAGAGTCGAAACAAAATAAAAACCAGCCTAGTTGCGTTGCGTGAGTGAATAAGCATGAACACGTGAATGGCCAAACAAAGATGCGGCATTCAACAACGAACCCACGTATTGCCGTCCGCGGGACAAATTCTGGCTTCCTGCCAGCAAAAAAGAATTCATCTTCATCATCAACGACTTGAACCCCTTTTCTTCTCCTTCAGCTCGTCAATGATGAATGAAGTGAAAGGTCGTGTGCGACGGGGGGGTATATTCCAGAAATAAAAAACTACAAATGGTGAAAAGGGCTGATGAAGGGGTAAACAGATATTTCCAGTACCAGACTAGCGGCAAGTAAAAGAAGATTTGATCATGAGGCAGATGGACACAAAAAAAACATAAAAGGACTCAAAGTACAGAAAGCGTCGAGTTGCGGGATGACATCACCAGCAAACCAACTTTAGACGCCACGGAACATTCTGACAATGAGGAACCACATGGCGCCCAAGAATTTGAACGCGCTCAGCACGGCGACACTCCACAGCACGACAGCCATGTAAATGGTGGTACGCTTGGTGCGCTGTTCCGCCTGTGTGGTATCGGGCGTGACGTCCTCGAGGCCGGCGGAGCTGAGGACGACGGCCACGACGGCAAAATTGGTGAGCATCCAGACGAGAACGACGCCGGTGCGGACGCCGCGGTAATAGTCCATCTGCTTCTCCTGCAACTGGGCGGCTGTCGGCGGTTTCTTGACTTCTTTGAACTTGGTGGCAAATACTTGGAGCTCGCGCTGGTACTGGGCATTGAGATCGCCCTCGTCGGGCAGGTCTGTCTTGCCTGTGCCGTCCTTTGTATTGACCGAGGGTAGCTTCTCGACCTTGTCGTCACCCTTGGTGCCCCATGAGACATCGTGCGTGTTGCAAAAGGCATAGACGTTGAGAACGTTGGTGTAGGTGGGCGTGAGGAGCATGTACTGAAGAAACGAGGTGAACATGTGCCACGGGTCAAACATGATGAGCGAGGCAATGAGCCAAATGCCAAAGGTGGACATGACGGAGACGATGAGTGTGGCAAATACTTGATTCGTAAAAAGCTGGTCGATAGAAAAATTGTGCTGGTTCAGATCGGTAATAATGGCATGGACGGAGATGAATATGGCGGCGAACATAAGATAACTGTAGTCGGTTAGCAGCAAGATCGAGTCAGGCGGCAAGTAGCGCAACTTACATCATGAGGATGGCCCAGAACCAGACCATTAGTGCGTACAGCTTCCCGGAGCCAGCAGGACGGTTGCCCATGGACAAGACGAAGCAGGTCATGAGTGACACGCCGTATAACCAGGTAAAGATGATGCTGAGAATTTGGCCGGTCCTACCGAGCAAGTCTTTGGCACTCAGGCTAGACGTGAGAATTCTAAAGACCAAAAAGAAGTTTCCGATGGCAAACCACGCAAAGATCATGTTGACGGTGTTGAAGACGAACTCGATGAAGAAGCCCATCTTACGCAGCATGGAGTGATCGGAGCGGAAGAATTCGTAAAAGTGCGCAATGGCATAAATAGCGGCAAAGAAGGAACCGTTCAGCCAGCGACGACGCTGCAAGACCAGTTCGGTGACGGTATCAGGCACATCGGTCTCGCCAGTTGCCGATTTGACGTACTGCAGGATCCAGTGACATTTGCGCTTGGTGACGAGCTCGAAGCAGAGAATACGATCCTCGGCGAGATACATGTTGGACTCGAACAGTCCGGCGCTGCTACCGCCGTGGAGAGTCTCGCCAAGAAAGTACTTTTCGAGGGGTCCCTGGCCGTTTTTATCGTTTTGAAGGGCGACGTAGCGGTACGCGGAAAATGCACCAGGCAGGACAGAGATGAAGCCAAAGGCGGACTCGAGCGGCTTATCGAGAATGTTACTCATCTTGTATTCAAAATTTTGCGTAGCAACCAGAGGGTTAAGCAGGTTCTTGCCACCGCGTCCCAACATGGCCTTGATTTCGCCACAGGCACCGCCGCACATGGGCTCGAGATCAAAGGCCTTCCAGAGGTGGTAGATGGAGTTGTGGCCGGGGCGCGTACCGGCGTCAAGGAGGACGCAAATGTTGGGATCGAGGACACGACCAAAGGCTTGGAAGAACCAGCGATGCGAATTGATCTTTTTCTGGTTCTTTTCCTTTAAGCAAAAGAGCATCTGTACGGGCTGGCGGCGGTGAACAAGGCCGACAACGTTATTCTTGAGGGTGAGGTGCGTTTGGGTAGTGTACTCGTAAATGTGCGCAGTGACGTCTTTGCCGTTGACCTGCTGCTTGGCGATACCCTCTTGGTACACACCGAGACCGGAGAGAACTGCCTTGGTTCGCTCGTTGATCTTAGCTCGACCGTCAGAGACGACGCAAACGACAATCTTTTTCCAGGCCTCCTTGCCCCAGGTCTTGCTGTTAGGGCGATTGCACATGTACTCAATGTTCTTGAAGACGCCGATCATGGTGCGCGTAAAGAGGACATCGTCCTCGTTGTACATGGTGACGACGATGAAGAGCTCGGTGTGGCGGGGCTTGGTGAATAGCTTCTGGCGAAGGGTAAAGTTTTCATTGTAAAAGTCAGAGGGGTCGCAGGTGGCGGCCGAGTAGCGCATGTGAGTAAACTCGTCGCGCTCACCGTGCGGGTTTTGCTGGAGGAGAATGGGAGGGACCGGACAGTCGAGGACGAGGTTGCCGCGATAGAGGAGAACTTGCTTTACAGTCTTCCACCTCTTGATGGCGGGGCCACCAGGAAGAGAGGGTTGCGTGGGAACATGATGCTGCGAGGCGTCGTCTTGCAGAAGTCGCTGGTCCTGCTGCTGCTGCTGCAGCGCGGGGTATCCAGTGTCGGAGTAGTCATTTTGCTCATAGCCCTGGTGATTGTATCCGGCGCGATCATATCCGCCATCGTAGCCGCCATCGTGCAGGCCAGGCTCGTAAGGCGAGTTGTAGTACTGGTCGTGATGCGCCTCGGGGTTAACGCTGTATTCACCGCGCTGCTGGCCGACGTGGCTGCCATGGTAGCCCGGGTCATACTGTCCGAGGGTGTCGACCGATTGCTGGGAGGAAAAGGAGAGGTTAGCATTGCGCATCGCAGGACGGGGAAGGGGACATGTGCGCGAGGAGAGGACGGCGACTTACGGCGGCATTAATGTTTAGTTGGTCAGAGGGCGTGCCAAAACGCTGAGGATGGCCGACGGAAGTGCTCGACGTGTCATATTGCTGGTGACCGTACGGTTGGTCGTCAAGTTGGTAGCCTTGATGCAGAGGATGGCTTGGAGAGGGCGTTCTGCGCTGGGGCTGCGCGCGACGAGGATCCATTGGATCGAGTGCGTTGCGCGGTCAAGTGAGTTGCGCCTTTACTTTTGCAGATTGGTATTCGCAAGTCGAGATTATCTTGTCTCCGTTTGATCGGTGCAAACGCTCGCTTTGCAGCAGATCTGAGCCACGGACCCTGTGTGCTTCTGGGGCCGGGGTCAGAGAGTTGATAGCTATGCTGTATGTTATGAAGGCTGGAGGAGGACTCAAATCTACTTCGTATTGTGTAGGTATTGGTACATCCGGACTCTGAAAGACGACAGACGAACTTCCAAAGTCCCGAGTTGAGTGCGCATCTTGCCTTTGTTACAGACTCACGTGATAATGCTAGTGGGTTTCAGCCAAAGAATATTAGGCGTCCCTGAATTAACTAAGATGGAGAGGAGTAATCCGTATGTATTATTTACTAGTTAATTACTATTCAAAGGGCTGGTCAAACAATCCAGCATTCTCTTTGCCAAGCCAACCACTGGTATGTGCCCGCCCTGGCTGCTGATATGTAATGGGTACATGAGGCTCCCCAACCCAGCCAGGCAACAGGTAACTAACTACCTAGTTAGGTGTCGGCTCGTCATGCAGCAATTATCAACCATCACATCGGCCCCTCCATCTTCTCGTCGTATCGCCTTGGGTAGCCCGCCACCAAGGCCTCTCTACGCCTTCCCCTCTACTGGTATCTACTTCGTACACAGCCTGTTGCTATTATTAGTTGCCATTGTTGATGCATCTCTTGGTGGAGGTAGGTGCAGCTAATGAATGCTAAATACCGCTAACTTGGGCGTCCCAGGCTCCCAGCCCACTAACCCACTAACCCACTCGACTACGGACGGATACGGAGAGGCAATGCTAGGTAATACTGGCTATTTACCAACCTACCTGGGGCTGGGGGTTGCTGGGTTGGATTTATTTTCCCCCTTTTCTAGGGGCTTGGGCTTTCCCGCCGGTACCAGCGAACTCCTCACGTTTCACAATTCAACAAAAGCTGTGTTGCAGCCCTCCGTTTGTAACATGTTGTCTCGTCATGTCGTACCGCCTCCTACCTTATCAACTCGTCTGACTAGTTCTATTTGACTCGCAGTTGCTTCCAACATGTCGTTACCTTTCAGCCTGCGCCTCACTTGACGCTCACTAGCTCGTAATCCACCCGATGGCGTCGTCACCTCTTATATGCAGCAGTTGTCGCAGGCTCTCGTGGCTCTGCGCTCGCGAGCCTTTGCCCCGAGATGTCAGGGGCTCAGCCTCTTTGTCCTATGTCAAACCTTGCCACTCGCTCTTGAAGCGCCGCCCTGTGCTCCGGTATTACGTGTCTTACCACCCGCAAAGCCGTTGTCGATCTTGGTCGGCCATGGTTAGCGGAGGCGCCAATCGCAGCCAATCAGCGACCATTGTTAAATCTTGTTCTTCCAAAAAAAAACCCCCGTCGAAAAAAAAAGGCCCTGTAAATCTGTCGAGAGCCCAAACTCTGTTCTCACACGGGAATAAGACGCGTTCAGTTGCTGGGAAAACCCGTCTTGCTAGCCCAGGTGCTACTTCGAGCGAAACAGATCTGTCAGATTTTCCTGTATCCAAGCACATTCTCGGCTTTGACTCAGTGAGCCCATTTGTTCAGGAAAGATATTGGTCGTCGAATTTCCACGACTCCGAATGCCGATCCTGCAGCTATTTGCCAACATAGTGTCTTTCCCCTGAAAATCTTCCCCAGCATGCCCACCAAATACATCTATAGATGCTAATTCGATGGATTTGACTTGGTAATCGTAGGGCATTCATAAAACTTCTGTCAAACTTCTATTCATCTTTCGATACACACGGGCGGCAGCAATCCGAATACGCAGCTCCTACCCAGCCCAACGGCACACTTGTCAGCAAGTCTACCATCAAAACACCCAGGATTTTGATGGCAATATCGCTTATGGCTGCAATCTGCTTACGTGTAAACTCAGTCAAGCATGCACTGTATGACTTGTTAGATCGACTGAAGCTGTCTTACAAAAATTGAAAACTTACTGGGCACCAAAGCTCATGATGTTGGCATCACATCTCGCACCACAGCCGCCTGCTCAGATTTGCTCTGTCTGTTTGTGGTTGTGCATGTCAATGTAAAACTCACTCGTTGCGCTGACCATCTCATTAAAGCCAGTTGGGCTCACAGTCCCCCGCCCTAGTGAACTGCGTGTGTCCAAGTCCGAACCAGTGACCGGCCTCATGAGCAGCCGTCACACCTAAATTTCAAACAGGGTGGGGGCTACCAGGAACAGTGTTGATCGCAACAACAATGCCATACAACTCATCGTCGTCTTCTTCAATGAAGCTAACCGAGGAATCAGCGAAAGCGATGGAGCGGAAGTCGATCAAGAACATGTTGAGTGTTGAGATGTTGCCCTTGTGCAAGCCAAGTGTCAACTCGGAGTCCAGCGCTTTAAAGGCTGTGAAGTGCGATTCATCTCCTAGGAAATCGATATTCGTCCAGTATGCATCTATTAGCTGGAAGGAAACATTGGCTTACTTGTAGTACTTGTTCAAGGCATCAATCTGCCTGTTGAGATCGCCGCGCTGTAAGCCTCTTAGTAAGTGTACTCTGTTATGGGATAGACTTGAAATATGAAACAACATACGCTAAAGAGAAACTCGGCCGATGCGTTGCTTTTGTCGGATATCCCTACAACATGCATATAAACGCCGACATTGAGCACACACGGCCATCAACGGCCAGCATCGCTGGAAGGAGGCTTGCCAGAGTTATTTCAGCGTCCTTGGGTCTGGGCTCCTCCTCACCGGCAGCAAGTGGTGGAACAGCGATTCCTAAGAGGGTTGTCGCGGGGTGGACGCGGCGCTAGAGCGTGTCGACGCACCCCCGTGTTTCCGGGGACAAGGTCCGTCGCCGTCGAGGACACAACAATTAATCAACAGCCAGACCATGGACAGCCAGTCATCCAACACTCATTCAATCAAAAGTTAGCTACCTAGATAGTACATATGAAGTCTATGCTAAGCATTCACCAAGTATATACTATGTGCCTACTGGTAAGTCGCTCGCTGCGCTCAGCAAGATATTCTCGCTCTACATATGTCAGCCGTCAGACTTTCATGTAGAGATTAGACTATCCGCTAGCCATCATACATCCCAATACTACTCTATGATGTGTATGCTATATGGCCGACCAGATGGGCCTTTCTCCTGCTCAAAAGAGGCACTCGCCGATGGTGCCTCATGCGAGCCCGACGCCAGCTGTGGTAGTGCCACGCTGTGTGCCTGACCCGGCTACGTTCTGCATGACCCGGAGTTCACATTATGCCTTCAAGCAGCTACAGTGGTGCAAATGAAGGGAGAGAGGGCCCCATACCATCCGCCTAGCAATGTAGCAACGCGGACGTGTTTGCTTGTGTAGGAATCCGATGTACAACTTGTCGTCCGAAGTTGACGACGTTGGAAGAGACTGGTCGTTGAGCAGTAGGTTCGACTTTTCCTCTATTCTGGGCAACTGTGGCGCATTCGCACATGCCCGTATGTATGCTTTGGGTTTGGGGGCGAGGGTTGGCAACAATGCTCATGAACTTCGGCGGTAGAATGTGTATGCCACCTCCTTACTTTCCTGTCTACCGCCGCAGGCTCATGGAACTCAGCGCCAAACATGGAAACGTGCGAGAGAACCATTCCAAACTACAGAAATCAAGGTTTTCACGAGTCGAGGGAGTAAGATATGGGTCACAATGAGTAGAATTGCATCTGTTTCTATCTGTACAAGAAAGACTTGGCAGAGCCATATCCGGCACCCAAGCTGCGTACTGCGTCATCAAAAGCAGCTGCATAAAAGAAAAAAGAAATAAACGACAAAAGCTCTCCGACTCCAGTTGGTACTGAAGGAGTGCTGTCAACCAAGATGAATACTTTTTCTATCGCCTATTACAATGAAGATGAATCCAACAAACGCCATGCCGATAATGTATGCGTGGTAAATAATGAGAAAGACTCCCGCCTTTGCGCCAAGCTAAGAATCGAATAATCAAAAGTTGGGAGTCGTGGTGAGAAACAAAAAAAGAGGGCGGAGGGTGATCAAGAGAGTTTCCATGTCGGAGCTGCAGTGAGTGGTGCAAAGGCTTTCCCACATGGTTGAGTTGTTGCATCGGTCGCCATCGATATGACGAGACCGGTGGGGGGAATCCGCCATTGGTCGACGGAAAAGGCAGCCTCTTCTTTTACATGGCCACCTTTTCGCGTAAAGCCTTTGCACGCTCCTCAGCAAAGACGATGCGGCTCATCTCGAGGACACGCTCGAAGCCCTCACGGCCCTTGACGGCATTCTCCTTGAAGCGAGTGACGAGAGTGTCCTCGATGGAGTTCTTGATGCGCTGCCAGCCGCCGCAGAGGGCGGTGATGTTGGCCGTCTGGGTAAACTGGGTTTGATGGTCGCCGAGGGGGCGGTAAACAACTTCCTCCTGAACGCTGACGAGGTTGCTCCACGTCAAGTTCTGACTGACCATGGTGACGGTACGGGTGGCCGGATCAACGTAGCTCGCCTCGTATACGTAGCTCTCGTCCATCTTGGCGCCCATGATGGACTTGAGCCAGTCCGGGGCCGACTGGCGGCACGCGATGAGTCGCTCGGTGCGCAGGATGCCGGTCGTGGGGTCGACGCGGCGCGAGAGCGTGTCGACGGCGATGACGTGCTCCGACTTGTTGTTCCAGGGGCCGTACTTTTGCCAGTTGGCCGACGATACCTCGTCCCACGAGTAGTTGAAGGTGACGGCGTTGGAAAAGACCTTCATCTTGTGTGCGTGCGAGTGCGTGGATTTGTGGCGAGAAGGGTCCGAAAGCAGGCAATGATAATTCGAGTGGTGTCGCGAGGTTGTCGCTGAAGAGTAAGAACAAAAAAAGAAGAGATGGATAATTGTTTGCCTCAGGGATGGATGAGGCAAGTCTGTTTTTTTCTCTTCCTGCTCGGCGCCTTTTTTTCCTAGGTCGCGTGCGTTTGGTGATTTATGCACTAGGCTTTTTCGAACAGTCTATCGTAAAAAAATCGTCGAGTTGCTCTCGTCGGCTTCTTTTCCCGCAGATGGAAAAGAAGGAAAGAATAAATATTAGAATCAGGAATCTATAATTCGTCTAGACGTCGATGGGTGTCGGAAAGATGACGGGAAAGGTGTGTGTGGTCGGTACGAGGTTGTTTTAAAAGAGGGAGCATGGTATGAAAAATGGCGACTTCGGATGCGGGTTTTTCAGGGGCGGCGTTTTTTTTCCAGTGGCGTATAAGGGCAA